TTAAGTCTGTATAGTCAGTATCCTACATATACTGTTCAGAAAGTCTTAGGCTGTAGTCTAGCTGCAGTTGACGTGCAGATGATCATGAGGTCCTAGCTCAGGAGCTCAACTCATTGTATCCGAAGTTTAATACATTAGAAATTTAGAATGATTTCTCAGATGACTTAGACAGTTAAGGCTACCTCCCAGAGAATTTCCTGATACACTGCTGCATCTTGCCAAATCTAAATTAGGGCTGATGAAAAGCATCTTTGTCAATATATAAATGAATGTGACTGAGAAAATCTGTGTTGGAGACCTGACACTTCAGGATACCCAAAGTCTCTAGCAATAAGCGACAACAGTTTCATAGTTTTCTTATAGCTAGAAGCTGGTCAGGGGTAGGTTAGTCCATGGTCTAATAATAAGGATCATGTCCCTATGTGGAAAGTCTGTAATATCTGAACAGTCCTGTACAGGAAATTAGTAAGCTGAGAGTACAGGAAGGTCTTCTTCTGCCCTAAAGCCCTTACTTATTCTTATCATTGTCCTGATATCCCTATAGACCGTCACCTGTCACGTGGTGCATGGGGTCATTCTTGAGCTATCCTTGTGTGGACTATCCCAAAGCTAGGCCATTTAATTCTAGCTTGCATTCAGGTGCACTTTTCAAGTAAGCTAATTATGAAAATATAGACTATAATAGCTGTTTTTATTTAGATAAAATCAAAGAAGAAGTTTCTAAAGAAGAAGGAATATTTACAGAATGTGGGATATACCAAATGAAGTTTTTAAATTTACTTATGAGCTTAGAAACACTATAGCACTATACACAGTGACTTGAATAGATAATATAAGCAGTGAAACAGGCCAAATAATAGTGCTTAGTCTCGTGTTTTAAAAGATATTTGATACTTTCTTTATAATATTTAATATAGCATGGTATAATATCTATTGTACAGCATCTGACATGGACATTTTATAACTTTTATTATAGATATTAAGTAATAGACAGACTGAGTGTACTTATATACCAGTAGAAAAGATAGTATTCTGCATATAAAAACACACTTTAACAGAAAAGCAAGGTACTTAATTCAGCATTTTAGAGAAGTTCACATACACTGTTCACTGAACATATGTCTAACCTGAATGTACAGTTCTCTATCTAATGGGATGTATAGACTGATGTCCCATTAGCCCAATATAAAGGGATATCTCATTGTCCCATCATATATAGGACAGTTCTTTAGTATAAGTGTATGTTCATTGAACACACCTGTATGTAAAACTTCTGTAGAATGCTGAACTAAGTACCTTGCTCTTATGTTAAAGTATATTTTTGTAGATAGAATACTATCTCTTCTACTGGTATATAAGTACACTCAGTCTGTCTATTGCTTAATATCTATAATAAAAGTTATAAAATGTCCATGTCAGATGCTGTACAATAGATATTATACCATGCTATATTAAACATTATAAAGAAAGTATCAAATATCTTTTAAAACACGAGACTAAGCACTATTATTTGGCCTGTTTCACTGCTTATATTATCTATTCAAGTCACTGTGTATAGTGCTATAGTGTTTCTAAGCTCATAAGTAAATTTAAAAACTTCATTTGGTATATCCCACATTCTGTAAATATTCCTTCTTCTTTAGAAACTTCTTCTTTGATTTTATCTAAATAAAAACAGCTATTATAGTCTATATTTTCATAATTAGCTTACTTGAACAGTGCACCTGAATGCAAGCTAGAATTAAATGGCCTAGCTTTGGGATAGTCCACACAGGGATAGCTCAAGAATGACCCCATGCACCACGTGACAGGTGATGGTCTATAGGGATATCAGGACAATGATAAGAATAAGTAAGGGCTTTAGGGCAGAAGAAGACCTTCCTGTACTCTCAGCTTACTAATTCCCTGTACAGGACTGTTCAGATATTATAGACTTTCCACATAGGGACATGATCCTTATTATTAGACCATGGACTAACCTACCCCTGACCAGCTTCTAGCTATAAGAAAACCATGAAACTGTTGTCGCTTATTGCTAGAGACTTTGGGTATCCTGAAGTGAAACTTGACTCAGTTTACAGAGCTCTTGCTCCTCCTCTGACTTGATATTCTAGTATTTAGCATGCTGTCACCTCCTAAAAACATTTGGAGAGTGAGAAAGTAACTCAACTTGCCAAGAATGCTGACTCACAGATGATCAAGGAGGCCAGACCTGATGAATTTGCCCTTGCAGTGTGATGTGAACAGACATGAGAAGTACATATAGCCTGGCTTAAGTGAACGCTCCCTGTAGGCCTTCTTCGTTTTTGTGCTCTATGTTTCTTCTTATTTTTGGCCATGTGATGCAAGACTTGAGTGGAAACTGAAGCTGGGGCAGCAACATCTTGGCCTGTTGTTGAGGTGCTAGTAGAAGCAGTGTCAAGGATGAGTGGTTGAGATGATTTTTCATCTATTGCATCAGCCACCTCATGTTCATCAAATGTGAGTGGAGGATGGGAGCTGTCATCCTCTTCCATGATAATTGGGCATCCAGAATGATTAGAGGACAGCGAGGACCACACATACCAAAGGGTGGTGTAAAATTGTAGTACGTCATCGCCACTTGTACTCCATATATGCTGATAATAAAACTGGGCAATGAGATCCTGTATTTGCAGCAGAGAGAAAGTTGCATGCTATCTTAATCACATTCATCTCATTGCTGACCTGAACTCATGAAATTACTTTTACAATCTTAGAAGGGAGCCTGAAAAATCAGACCTGATGTGGGCAGCCAGCTGGGATGAATACCACTTCTCTCAGATGTTGATACACTATAGGTTTTTGACCAATCCAGATGAGGGTGTGATCACAGACAGCTTTGCCATAATCCAGACAGGCAGACAGGCTGGACATTCTCTACATGTTTTGAATGTCCTCGCACTGCAAGCTTCAGGAAATTTGCCCAAAATGGCTAATGGTCACATCTGGACACCACCTATGTGACACCAGACAGAGTGTTGGATTCTGAAGGACCACCACAAATGCTATAAGAGGTTCAATCCTTGAGCTGGCACTTTTGAGGGTCCTGGAAATGGGCATTTTTGGGGATTTTCATATAACATTTTTCCAAAAGGGTCATTTTGGGAAAAATTTTAGATCAGACCTCACCTAGAGGCCAATTCAGGGGGAAATTCAGGATCGAACATTTAAACACAGTCCTAGTGTACCCATAATGTCTGTACACTTCAATGCTGCAGCTCTAGTTAATGTATAAAGACAGTTTTACCTTTTTAACACCCTTCTTCACCGACACTGTGCCTTCCTCTTGTTTACATTTAGGATGTGCTTCAGCAGCCTTCAGAAGTGCTTTCACACAGGTCTTGAGCTGCAGCTCAAGTGTTTTGAGTTGATTCAACCTCTCCTCCCTGGCTACTCTGAAGATTTCTTTGTACTTATTAACTAAGCATAATTTCACTTGTAAGTTGTGACTACTACTGTTGAAGCCCAGAATTATCTTAGAAGTCGGTACAACAAATGGTGTTCAAAAACCTCGTGCAGTTCGGTAACTGTCGGTATGACTCATCACCAAAATGTACTACTTTCGGGGGTTTTGTCCTCCAGCGTTAAATTTTTCGGTCCGTATTTGGGGGGTTGTGAGATCTAAGAGTTGTGTCCAAGAGGGTCCCAATTCGGGAATTTGGATTGAACATTTCGGCCTCCGAGGTCAATTTTCGGGAATTCCGAGATCGGGGCTCAAAGTGCATTTGCAGTGGTCCTGATTTCAGACAGGCCAAGGTCCTTGTGACCTGTGACCGTCCGGATTGCCAGTCGAAAACCTACAGTATGACTAGTGTCTAGCATGGGTATTCTATGGGTGTGGGTCAGCTATGGGTCTGTATGGGTCAGGACCCATCATGGGTATCCCATGGATTGCAGTGTGGGAGTCATAGTACAATAGTAGTATGCATGTCTTTGTGTCATCACCTGCCATGCTTTCAGAGTGATGAGATGGGTCTTCTGAGCTATGTGTGATACCAGGTTGAATTACCTCATAGAGGTACTATACAGTTATGCCACCACCATACTGCTGGAACCCTATGTTTACAACAAACCCATAAGATGGCCCATGGGTTTCCATGGGTTACTCACTGCTGACCCACACCCATACCCATGGATACCCATATTTACAACCCATGTGGGTTAGTGATACCCATGCCATACACTAAGTATGACATATGGTAGAACATCATATTTGGCTGCAAGAGAATCGAGCATCTCCGGAGTCAAATACACATTCTGTGAATGTATCGGGTCCCCGACTCCTGAAATCCCTGAGTCGAGTAGAAACTTGCGAATTAATGGTGTCCATTCTGCTTTGAATAGGTGCCAACAAGGGGCTTTCACGCCGACAGTTTTTGATAGCAGGTTTCAAAAGTTAGACGCCGGACCCCGAATACCAGTATGAGGACCACCTTGAAGATAAGATCCGTTGATAAGATTATATGTGCGGCAAGCCTACTACGACACCGTATAGTATCGAGCACTTTTCTTAGGACCCGTGCTGACTGTCGATGCCGCCCTTCCACACTTAAGACCTTCCTGTAACTCCTCAATTTCGTCGCTGTTTGGAATCGCGTTATCTTCCCGCCAATCCCGAGTCAAATCTTCATCAATTCCCATCCAATTCTCCTCACGCGTGGTAATGAAAGCATCGACGATGAGCTGCGCAGGTATACTGGGCATATCACCATCATCGGATGTGTGCTCAGAGATGAGGTGATATAGCACATTATATTTCCATATAGTGCGTGGCTGCCCTAAAGCTGTGGTTGGACATAACGGGCAGTGGATGGGGACATTCGTGCATGGCGAGGTCTTGGTCAGGTTGCACGCAGCGTGGTATAACATCTCTTTGTAGTGGTATCGACAACTTGAAGAGATGGTCGCAGATTTCTTCTTGTTGAACGTGAGCTGAATAACACAGCTATCTTGTCCACAAAAGCCACATGGGTTGGGACCTATCTGTGTGTGAGGAAGGGCAAGTTCCCCACTGAGAGTGAGATCAACCTATTGATGGCATTGCGACACACCTCCTTGAGGATGTCCTCCTCATCAATATCCCTCTGAGAGTATAAAATATGGATCCTGACATGGTTCCGCATCCCCTTCAGTGGCAGTGATACGGGGCAAAAGTGACACTTCACGATGGTGTCGCCCGTCTTCAATTCCATGCTCAAATACTCTGGAACATCAAGTACGACCAGCTGCAGCTGTTCTGCATCACATTATTTAGTATCCTGATATCTCGATAACTGGCAGGAACACTATACCTTGCGAATTTTTGTATCGCAAGCTGGGGGTGAATAGCGATGGCACAAGTGCAAAATTCCTGATGATTTCTTCAGTTTCTGGCTTCAGGGAATCCCACGAATAGTCAAGGACTTCTTCAAGCTGAGAGTGCTCTAATAACCATGTCGGCTGAGAGGTAGGCAGCAATTGAGGTTCGTCACTTCGTATAACTCCCGCCATCCCACCAGGCACCGTCGAAGTTCTCACCGCGGAGCGAATAACAGAAGGTGCTAGGGGATGAACAAGAAGGGCTGGAATCGATATCATAAACTGGTGCTGCGTGGCCTGCTTGCACTCTGGCTGTGCTTGTCTGCTATTGTGGCAGACGTATTTGCGCTGCCATACCCACCCTCGTTGCTCTGAGTCTTCAGAACGCTGCTCCTGCAAATCAAGAATCTGTGCAACTACCACAAGCGTGGTGCCATCCTTCTCGAGGTCTTTCATATCGACTGAAGTGAAGTGACAGCTCTTGTCTGCAGAATCTTCGAAGCCGATAACCTCCAGCACTGCGAGGCAAGCTATCTTGTCGACTTTCACCAGTGATGCCGCGAGATCTCCGCTCTTGAACAGGTCACCCCCCACGAGATTGGTTGTGTTCCAATCTTCACTTTTACGAAGGTCCTCAATTGTGACTCCTCGTGCCCGCAGAGTACGGAGAGTCACCTTTCATGACCAGTTAGAGGTGAGTAGGGAGCTTATGATTGATGACTTCAGGTACTTCTTCTCATCCATGAGCAGGTAATTTGACTCCCTTGTATCGGCTGACCTTTCTCCCTTCTCGATGTCATCTACAGTGTCGGGAAAGAAGTCATCAATGTCAAGCCCTTCTGGTAAGTCCTCAGCCTCATCTCCAAAATCTTCCGGACAGTCTCGTATCATTTCACTTGAACTTGCAGGCGCATCACCATCGTCGGAATCCTTCTCCATGCGTGCATCATCGGGCATGCTCTTGACACCAACATAGGACCCTGAAGGTCGGAGAAGATCGTGGTCTACTTGCTGAAAGTGCCGCACAAAATCCATTCTTGCGGCAGGTGAAAGAAATTGCTCCAGTATGCTGTTTGCTTCTTCTCGTGCGCGTATTGACTCCTGCACAATGTTCACTTGTCCGACCCAGACATCACTCTTCCAGGATCTTGGATTAACATGATCGACACCCATTGCATCTTTCAGATTCAACTGCCGGTTTCCCCGGTCAAGATCGATTTGGCGTTCAAATGCAAGGTTTATAAGCGCACTGATTGCTAACTTCTCCGTAAGTTGCAGGATGTCAAAATTGCGGCTGCTATCCTGTGTACAGCAATCTGCAAAGAGCCCTTCAAGGCAATCCGTCCCCTCCAGTATGATGTAAAAAGGTATGTCGCCACATATCTCTTAGAGTCGAAGGAGACAGAAGATGATACTTTTGACGATGGCCTGGGTATCTGCATATAGTGCTCCTGTCATGAAACCCATGCCGTGCCTATCATAGAGTGCCGCTGCGAGGTATGCATATGTCAGAAGTGACTGCACTTGCTCTGACAAGGTCATTTCGATATTAATGAACAGAAATAGAAAGTGAGTGAACACAGTGGTCAGGAATAATATCATCTGACGGCGGTGAGCTTCAGATGGTAGTGGATGCAGAGGTGCCTTGTGAAGATGATCCATGTGCTGTAAGAGACTGACAGCTTTTGGGACGTTCTGCTTGTCGGCAGGATCGAGTAACCCTTGAACTTTCTCCACCGTCAACCCGGGAAGTTCTTGGAGGTGTCTGGAAATATCTTGTCTCGTTATGACTGTGTCACCGAGCATGATTCCCGCAGGACTACGGATAAGTGTAGCAAAGCCTACAATACTTTATTAGCAAACCACTTAAGCTGCCTATTGAGCATCTCTACTCACGCTTAATGACATGCTTAGGATCACATGTCCCGACAACTCCGTAAGGGCCTGTCATTCTGTTCATTCCATCTATCTGGCGTAGTGTGCGTCCAAGAGCCGAATCCTGGCTGACCTCCTCTGACATACAGAGCAGAAACTGGGCAAGCAGAAATGATGCCTCGCCATCACTACCCAATGACCAAATAGGGCCATGAAGCTGTTCACCGTAAGGATGATTCCGATAGACATCCAGAGTCATCTTGAGCCAAGATGAGAGACCTTTACCGGTCTCTGTCTTGCAAGACGGTGACACTAGTATCGGGATTGGACTGTAAAAGTCATGCCGTGCGTATGGTGCAATTGCCACGACGGTCCCGTCTTTGCCATAACAGCAAGTCTTCTCCTTGTGCAGTGCCCCTTCAACTGCTTGAACTGCTGCAACATCTGTGACTTGAGTTTGGACATTGTGGGCATGTTCACGGCACAATCCAACAATACAGTTTGTCTCTGCAAAGTATCGGCATTTCTCTTCAAGCGCCACCCCGTCAATCATAAGTATGTGCCCCGGAAGCTTGCCATTAGCATATTGAGCTGGTGCAGATTTTCGATCAGGATGGAGAAATGCAGTGATATTTGCTTCGACTTCATGAGGTGCAGGGACTGCAACGGAAGGAACCAGACGTGGAATCTTGTGTGCACAATGCACAACAGAAAGTGATGCAAGGCCATGTGATTTGTGGAGCGCAAAAAGGAGATGAGGTCCGCCAAGAGATTTCACAAGAAATGCGATATCAAGATCACGCTGTGAAAATCCACTACAAGGTGAATACTGGCGCGAGATGGCACGTTCCAACTGTGAAATGACAGTCTGAGTGCTCGCACCACGCCGCAAGGCCACTGAGAGAAGTTGCCAAAGACGAGGCAGATCATCTTTTGTCAGAAGCATGGTCATGTGTTGTAGATCATTCAATCTTCTATGAACTGTGCCGAGTTTGCATTTCATATTGTGGTTCTGTTATAATTGTGAGTACACTACAGCTATCCATGGCATCTAGCGATAGATGTACCTTTAGCATGGCATGTCGATACTTCGCACTACTTTGTCTCGCAATAGCCAAGACCTGCTTTGCTGAGAGAAATGCCCAAGGTGTATTCTCGTGGCTCTCCAATGCATTGTCAACAAATTTCTTGAACTGTGATGATGTCAGTATATCCTGACATGTTTCACATGTCTGTCCTGCCTTGGGAATCTCGCCCAAACAGTCCTTCGAGCGAAGACGCAGCCATGAACCGTTCTCGAACCCAACAGGCTCCCACAGAAGCTTTTCACTCTTGTGATGCTGAAATGGATAGCTGTCCCACACGGAACCTGGCCTCCACTTGACAAGCACGCCAGCACAACCTGCATCAGTTGATACTTCCTACTCTGACAGGCTGTTTTCGGGAAGCAAGCTCAGAGATGGCAATAACAATGAGTCTGCACTGCGACCAGCTGGACAAGGAGAATGCGACATAGGAGGAACATTATGTGGGGAAGGGTATACACTTGTTGACGGTAGCTGTGAAGGTAGCTCAGATACGGGAGAGCAAGAGCCAGGGGGGGTTGTTGCGGGAGTAGGTGAATGTGAATGTATAGGAGAAAGATGTGAATGAAACACTACAGGTGCAGAATTACTGAGGGACCCTCCCGCAATCCTCGCATCAGTGTGCCCACCGGTAACAGTGTGTGACACAGGATGTAAAGGGGTGTGCGCAGCTGGTACTATGGATGCTAATGCATCCCTAGCATTGCGAAGTTCATTCCGCTGTTGCTCTTTGCGACACTGTGCTGATCCTCGGTGGGCCAGGAGCGATCTAGGATGACTGTGTACAGTGAGAGTGACAGTCTTGCCGCACAAGTCGCATGCAACTGCACGTGTCTCTGTCTGAGGATCGATGAATGCCGGTAAATTGAGTAAAGTTCCATCATGGAGTTGCACCTCCAGTGTTGTCGCGGTCAGTGGGGCATTGGTCGACTGGGTAGATGAAGCGGAGGACGAGGATGACATGATGGAGCATACAAAGATCGACGAGGGGTAGCAGGTTGTGACCTGCCAGTGCTCCTTGCATAATATATCACTGCTGATTCAATGCACTAAGGAAAACACGAGGCAATTAGTGTTCTCCTCAGATAGTAAAAAAACTCACGGAGATCATAGCGGGTAACGAATCCTAGGACATCCAAGATCCCTGAGAGACAGCATTTCGAACACAGTGAGATGTAGTACCTCGCAGAGAAACTGCGACAAGATGTTATCCTGTTAGTAAAACACCGAGACGTGACCACAGAGGGACAAACATAAATGCGTTTGAGACACGTTGTATGTAGGACGCGGTGTCCACATGCCTCACTGATAAGATCACAGAGCCAGGGAGAGCATCTCTTCCTCAGTGACTGCTTCCACTACACTAACTCAGAAAATAACTATAGAGGAAGATGCAGTATATGTTATTCAGCTCAGATCCTGCACCGATTGGCAAAACATGTAGAGATACACTCGTAACCAGAGAGTTGAGCCAAACTGCGTCTAAGAGTGCTGATCAAGGACCCCGGCTACCAGTTTGGGGTGAACAACCTTATAGCTGCTTCGCCGGTTGCTCGGCTGGGAGCCCCTTGGGTGCCAAACAGCGTGACCGGGGCGACCGGAGATTCCATCCGCCGCCCACGACATGATGTTAACCGCATCGGTGATATCTATGTGTAACTTCGTCGAGCTATGGTGGTGGCTATCTTGAGGAGAACCGTACGCATTATACATCGGGGAGACGGTGGCGTTTACATCACTTATGATATCGGCAGCCAACAAAACCTTCCTTATGAGGCGGCATGTGCACCACATTTGAAATTCACCAAGGCTTGACGGTTTGTTGGCGGAACATATCGTATGCGTATTAAACTGTATTTATTAGAAAGAGTCGTCCGCATCCAATTAAATGGTATGAAGTGCAAATATTAGAATAAATGGAAAAGAGACGGGCAAGTGCTATGTTGTCGACGCTATCCGATCTACCCCTTGCCGTACCTTCCCAAACAGATTCTTCACCCCATCTCTGATGCCCTCTGTCTGCACGCTGACGCCCTCAGAGCTTGTCCTATAGACGCCAGAACCACTCGGTCCGCCCAAGCTGACGTTCACACCACCGAGGTTGAGGTTGAGAGACGGCATTGTGCTCGATGACCCCGGTGGCGGTTCGTACACAGAGGCAAGGAATGAGGCAGCTGCAGAGCGCACCATCTCCACAAAACTGGAAAGAGTCGGACTGTGAGCACCCATAGAGCACAACAAGAAGGCACATCTCACCTGGACGAATTGTGCACGCATGTGCCTCCGAGGAGCAGGTGCATACCATAGGCGCTGCTCTGTCCACCCACTGAAGCCGACTCCTGATTGAGCAGCGCAACGGTGCGAGCCTCTTCGTAGGTTGTCTCGCCTACCATGAATATTATCACATCCTGTGGTCTGTCAAGAAGTGCATCAGCCCCATAAAGCATCAAACTACCCAGCAAATACTTGCCGTTGCAAGCTAGCATTCGGGCCGGCTCCATCCAGGAATGGATGTGTTGTATCTCTGAGGCGACCCTTCGTGAGATTTTCAATTGTTTGCGCAAGCTGTGGCGTGTGCTGCATGTACACGTTTTCGACGCCCTTCAGGCCCTTGAGTGCCGAACGACCCTTCGCTATCAACGATTCCGCAGAGAACAGATCGTCTTGACGTTGGTCGGAGCCTGCAATATTCAGAAAGACATAGACTAGCTGCGGAGTGAATCAACACATTGCCACAGAATATGCGGCAAGAAAGGGAGACGAACTCTTGCATCTTCCCGCTGGACACCGTTTTCCAACATGAGGTTGATCAACGACGCAACGTTATTGGCATGCGTTTTCTGGTACCGTAGCGCATACAAGATTACGAGACGCAGCTTGTTCCACGGCTGAACAGCCGGGTTCGTGATCAGTGCTTGCACACTCTGCGGTGTCTTAAGTGTCAACGAACGTAACCACAGCATCAGTGTGCGCCCTGCGTACCCTGAAATCCGCCCCAGACCCCGTGGCGAGACCCTGCTCGACCTCACCGATATCCAACAACTTATCGCGCTCAACGAGCCTGCTCAGCTCGCCGACGATCGCAACGTGCTTGCTGACATTACCGCCGAGCTTGCGGAACTCGGGGTATTCCTCGATGAAGCGCTTCATGTCGCTAATCGAGTTGATCGACTCGGGGTTGTGCGTGAGCGAGTGCGACTGGTACGATTGCACGTACGCCTTCAGGGCGGTGCCCAGGTCGCCGAACGTCGCGAGGTGATGCGCCTGGAAGAATGGATCTGTCGACGTTGTTAGTGTGACTTCCTGCAGACCAGGTCAGCTGCAGAGAGTGGCTAGAAGGTGAATGACGTGCCTTCAGCTCTGGTCGGATGTCGGGCACAAGGCTGAGATCGACGCGGCCGTTTTGGATACCGAGGAGCTCGTGTACGAGCGCCTGGTATGTCCATTGCGAGAGTAGCGGGGTGACAGGGTCGTTGCGCCGGTCCAGGATGAGTAGCAATGGCGGTACTTGCGTTAGCCTGAAATCAAACAGGGAGGCTTCCAATTAAATACGATGCTAGCATATCCATAGAAGCTCAGTAAAGATTCCATTAATAGGTAAACCTCACCCACTTGGATCTCCACACCGAGCTTCTTCGCCATCGAGCTCGACTTCTCGTATCTGATCACCGGCTTCTTTTGCAAGCTCAGCAGTACGGCCGTCACACCCTGCACGGCGCGCTCGAGCGCTCGCGGGTCCCACGCGTTCGGCGAGGACCCATACAGCGGGTGCGCGGCTGTGGGCGTGTGGTTGAGCGAGAAGAGGCACGGTAGTATCGGCGCGTAGTCTGCAAAGTATTCCTTGAGTATATATCAGGCGATACGCAGAACAGCGAGGAGGGCCACAATCACCTGCGCCTCCCGCACGACCTCGTGCTCGTCCACGTCCGCAAGCCGCTCTATCGCAGTCTTGGTCAAGATGTTGCTGAAATCTGCCTGCGCGTCAGCGGGCTGTGTAAATGCCGGAGAGGAGTACTGACAGAGGTAGTAGTCGCCGTACTTGGGCTCGCGAAGTTCAGCTTCGAGGGCCTCAAGACTTTCCTCGCTTGCCTGGAGGAAACAGACGCATTTCATGTGCGGCATGCGGTCCCGCTTCGTGTTGTCGATCTTGTCAGTGAGGTAGACCTGGTGCGCAAGCAGTATAGACTGTGTGGAGGCGAGGGAGACAATGGGTGTCTGGAAGACAGTTGTGAGGTTGCAAGGTGCACCTAAGCATGGCTACATGGCTTACTGTATGTGCATCCAGGAGTAATACCTTCATGGACGAAGGCTCGGAGACGAGCTTCGTGATATAGGTTTCGACCGCTTTGACGACATCCATGAGGGCTAGGTATAGCGGTCACCAAAGGCACAGAAACAGTAGATGACCTGAAGGCTGGATTGTGATGTGTAGCCCGGCGCCCCCGACGACAAAACGACGTTTCCTGCACTTGAAACATCAAGGACCGGTCAGTGAAGACTAGATGGAATTATGACATACCTCAGCGACCGAGATACCGTGCCCTCTCTATACGAAGGAACAACTGTCCCGTAGTACTATAGGCTGGAAACAAGCCTATGCCCTCTCAAGGTATGTATCGCTCCCAGAGATTCGCTGTTGTAATAGCCCGCTCTTGCCGAGACTGCAATGACCTAGAACAATTAATAGACGTGGTCTGCGGTAAGGATCTGAGAGACTTGTCGATGGGCTGCCGGCGGCTGTAGACGAGCGCGCTCTCCAAGCTCGGCCGCCACCCGCCATCATCCCTGCAGCTGCAGCTGCCCTGCTCTCGTCTCTGGCGGCGGGGGGCTCCACTTTCATGGCATCGGACCCGCCTGATGGAGAGTCTTTACCGTTCGTTTATTCGGAGCTCACGAACGCCCTGCGGGAGCAGGAGGCGTTTGGAATCAAGAACGCGGCGATCACCCACTTTTCGTCTTTCGAGGCTGTAGCTCACGTTGTCTTACTCGAAGGGAGGACGGTGGTCGTCTCGCTTACTTCAGGAGGATACACCGTGAGTCTCGTGATGATGCGCGTTCACGTCTGTTGATGCTGATTTTTTGCGCGTAGCTTGGCGTTGAGCCAAATACGACGTTTGAGACCATAGAAGCATTGTTGCAATGCGTTAGTCCCATGTACCTTGCCGCAAGGCAGGCTGCGCTCTCGAGCAAATTGGATCTGCTGTCTTAGGGAGATGGCATGATTTCGACTACGGTGCTACAAAGTGCGTGTTTCTATGGTCTTAGAGCCTACTGAGTTGTGTCGGTGCCAGCGTCCCTTCATGGACATTGGTATGTCCACACCTCTGTAGTGGACCGTGGGTCGGAGTCATGCGGTTCAAGGTTTAAGCAGATACTCTCTCCGCAGCCCTCTTTCTTGAGTGGAATGAACTTCTTGACGCTTATTCCCTAATTTGATGTCCTGAACCGAGCATGGCATCATACATCTGAAGGTCGTTCTACCTCTACGTCTACAACCGCGGATACTTATCTATCACGGCATCAAGCTCCATCGGTCGTCGTTGAAGTCGCCTCTGCGGCTTGGCATTTAGCTCCCAGATATCCGGTATCCCTCCTCCTCTCCAATGCCTGTTCGTACATTTCCCGCGTGAACACGTACCCATCCTTCGACCTCACCTTCTGAATGGTGTCCCGGACCCACTTCCGCTCCTCCTCATTCCGAATGCAGTTCGCCCACCATCTGTCCATGCTGCTGCGGATTCCGGCAGTGTTGAGCTGATTGTGCTCGCTCTGCTCGTTCAAAACGTGCAGGAGGAATCCTCCGTTGAGATGTTCGAGGCCCAGCTCGGAGAGGCATTTCAAGACGCGAGAGATGCGCAGGTAGTTGTGCGATGATCCTGGTCCAATGCTCGTCACCATTGTTCGACGGAGCCGAGCCTCAGAAGATTGACAGCACGACCTCTGACCTCCGCGTACAAGAAGTCTGCTCGCACGGAGAAAGGATACTCCTTACAGGCTGAGGTGGGGTTCTCGAAACAGATACCACTGGGAAGTTGTCTAATCAATTCCCACAACAAGTCGACTTCTGCAGTGAAGCACAGAGGCGATGCTGTATCTCTGACACGCCGAAATTTATTCTCACTCACTGACAAGGTTTCTGTAACGCTCGGCGTGGTTGCGCGAAGAGCGTGCCGTCAGACCTGTTTCGCGGGTCTGGAGGCGCATGCCGTAGAAATCGAGCATCAGCTCGTACGACCGGAACACACGGTCAACTATTTCAGGATCTGCCTTCATGGATGCGATTTCGTGGGCTTGGAGGGGCTGTGACTCGTAGTTCATTCCGTACTCTTGGATAGGAAAGCTGATGTGAAATGGATAGCACTCGATGAGTGAATGAGACCATCAAGTGAATTGAACTACAATCTTCATCTCTCCACCATTGTAGCCATACCGCTGTCACCATGCAAATGCGTCTGCTAGCTGCAAGCACTACAATTCCGAAATGGTGCTGCCGACGCTTAGCGTGCGCATCCGGACGCGTCACAACGAGAAACTTCATCGTTTGGAGGGCCTACAGAGATTGGTGGAAGTGACAGTAGGACTTACAGCCATTGGATGAAACCATGTTTGTGTTCTAGTTTCGAGTAATCGCCGTGCCATCTAGCGGTAGCAATCGTTGGACCACAAATCCACAGTACAGTTTCGCGAGAATGCCTTACCGGTCATGTATCTCGTCAATGAAGAGGTTATCAGGGCGGCAGCGCAGCTTGTTGGAGTAGAAGCGCAAATTCGCGGACATGGAGGCGTCGTCGTCGTTCTCTGGGTAGCCCTCCAGGAATTCGCGTACGTCGCGGGGTATAGACATTTTACCAGACTGAGCTGAGATGCTCGTAGAAAGAAGGCGTTGCGATGCAAGACGAGAAACAGAGAGAAGGTAGGTGCCACGACCCTTCGGAAAGACGGAAAGGCTCGCAGAACTATTTCTCGTTAGGTGCGGAGTTTCATCCCCGACTCCAGGAACTGGAGGAGGGCTTTGGCAAGGGGAAACGGCAGACGCCTCTGCGAGTGAAGTTGCCCGAAAACAACATGAGTAAATAAGTTGAGTAATAACACTTACAATTTTGAGTCTTGACTCCGTCTAGGGTTCCGGTCGCGAACGTCGCTGTTGCACTGGACCTGTCGACACTGTTCGAGCGCAGGTCTATTTACGCTTGCGAACATTATGCCCTTGCACATCATTCTGTTTTGCATGTGCGTGTATTCCTCTTCTCGTATTATTGCTAATCTAATGATCCACCACTAAACCATGTGGAATCTATGTGGACCTGCTCTCTTGAAGACTTAGTTTTCTCGTTTTTTGCGACTGTTTCTGACCAGTGTAGCTGGAAAATAGGTGCATCTATGGATGTTCACTTGTTCAAATAGATGCTTGCCACTACGACACTATACCTATTCCACTAACTTCATTACCTAGTGATGATGATGCTTTATTGGTGTAGCTATGAATGGCATTCCCTTGAAACACACACATTTCCGTAGCTACTACTTTATGTACTTCTACTTACTGCGTATTAATCACAACCCCTCATGTGAAAGTGTGACTGCACGTCAGCCTCCAATGGAGTCGGGGAATGGCGCTCGCGCCGCTACGATATTTGTAGTCTTCTAAGGTTTTTTGCTTACGTCTCTTCAACGCGTATTTTACACGCGGTCCATCGCTTGGCGAACGCGGTCTGCAACCAGCATGCCGCCGTCGCCGTCTACCATCCTCACCGATGCATTGAGCTCCCTATCGAAGGCAACCAGTCTCGCGGTATGTCTGTACTACGTTTATTTGCTAAACACAGCTGGAACTACGCTTTAGTTGGCTACTGCTGAAGAACAGGCGCGTGGGGAACTGGAACGCGCTGATGCCGAAGTGGCTGAAGCCTGTGAGGAACGGGACAACGCACTGAAGACGCTGCGCACACTCGAGCTTGGGGAGAAGGATTGGCAGCGACGCGCTGAGGGATGGAAAGCTGCGGTGAGGAAACTCCTCTTTCTCACAATTATAATATTCAATGCGCTGCTCAGGTAGACAAGTCAGAACTTACGGTGAGCATCTGGGTCACACATGGTTCTGGTAGCATAGTACATATACGCCGGCGCACAGATCAAACACCAAGCCGAAACGATTACACATCTACGTGCAGAAGTGCAACAATGGAAGACGCAGCTTACGCGCCTCGAGGAGGCATCACGCCAGGAGCTTCTCGACTGGAAGGAACAATATCTCCTTGTAGAAGAAGAGCGATGCAGGTTGTCTTCAAGAATCGATGAACTCGTTGCGGAACAACTTGCGGTATGTTGTGGTTTTTCAATTCTTATAGCGTCTCGGATTGATTCACCTTCAGTGGAACACCCAGGCCAACGCTACGCTTACTCCCAAGACACACCCTGTAGATCTCGCAGAGCCATCTGCAGTATCGACCACGACGAAACGATCGTCGACATCGTCGAATACTGCCACCGGTCCGTACTTGACACGTAAGGGCACTACCCCTCGAATACCTCCAGACACTGCTCCGCGCAAGTCAAGGACAGCCGTTACACCATCCAAGCCACCTAATCACGATCCTATGTCCACACAGCCGTCCAAGCGTAAACTTCCTGCTGATAGCGCCTCCACTGCTTCGAAGGCAACTCCTCGGGCAATCACAAGAGACTCGGGAGTAGCGTTCGTCCCGAGGCAGCAAATTTTACGACGACACGTTCGTGCCGTCATAGAAGTTCCTGTGAAAGAGGAAGAGGACTCAGAGGAACAGGGGTTTGCATCCGACGGGTCATACGCTTCAGGATCAGCGTATGAGCCCGAGGAATCTACGACGCCAATTACCAGTAGGACGACGAGGCCACAGAGGATGTCCGTGAGGAAGGGGGTTCCACGATCGTGGGGAGAGGACGAGGGTGAAGAAAGCGACTATGGCAGCAATCAGGTACGAGGGCGTCTAAACCACCGTCCACGTAGGCGTATGCCCGAGGATGACGATATAGACGAGCTCGCGATGAGTGCTGAAGTCCGTCTCGTACCATTTTTAACTCGGATGCTCAGCGCTGATCCGATTTGCAGGATGATGCTACTGGATGTTACGTAGCCCAGCCTGTTGCGAGTTCGACGACTAAAGCAAGAGGAAACCAGCGTAACACTGCACCAGCTCAGTCATCTGCCAAGAAACGGAAGCTCGATAATGGTGTTGGAACCGCCGCGCGGAGTGCCACGGCGAAAGTGTCACGGAAGAGATGATTGCCGGTGTTGTACGACCTATGTTTTCGATGGACATACTACCGCCAATTGGAGGATATGTACGTTGCAGAGGTATGTCTGATTTATTGATTAATTTCATCCTCCGCCATGTGTACTGTTCCGGTTCCTAACTTAAAACTACGGTGCTTGAGGAAACCGTGACGTCACTTGCGCGTCCTCTGTGTACGCGTTGTTTGTCTCCTTTGCCTCTTTGGAATATTCTGCCGTATTAGATTTCGACTCCCGCCGCTGCAGCGACTCACTAAGGAACCAACTCTCATTCGTCTTCACCGTAACTACTAGTGGATCTGGAATTGATTTCTCATCGCCCTCCTTCGGTATTGTGGGCACGCCATGTGTATACGGTCTTATACCGGCCACTGAGACAGTACCACTCAGTGAGACACTTGATTTTTCTTGCTTGCATGCTCACATTCAGCCTCAGACTTTATATTACTATATTCTACTGCCATGTAAGCTTCTATGACGAGAATATAAGGAGTAGTCACTGAGAGGAAGTATTCTGATTTCACAAAAGAAGCAGTTCTGTGCCTTGGAGTAATATCTTGCCGGAAGATCTAAGACATACATACAAGCTTCTCTGGCCATCTCCAAGCTGTACATCCCAGTAGCACCTCATACCCTCAAGATCAGCTCTTCTCCATGAAGATTGGCACACGGAAAAGCACAGAACACACAATATGCACGTAGGATGAGGAGAATGAGACAGCCAGGCTGGCGGACGTTTGTATGATGCACCTCAGTCACTCATTTGCTATCACATCGGGACTGAGGTGAATGTCCTTTCATTACTTAGTTTTATGCCTTTACTGACCTACAGTAGCTACAAGTACTCTGTCTCATTCCATTTCAACTTACATTTTGTGCGTTCAACATGGTCACATGATCTCGACGCGAACCGAGAACCACGCGATTGTTCCCTTTCCGAAAACGACCATCACAGCGTCGGGGGCCCTCCCGACAACGACGACGAAATCAGCTACGACGACGATCATGGCCACAACAACGACTATCACATCCTTACTCAACTCCCTTCATACCCACCTCCAGTCGCAGACCCAGCTCCTCCCGACGTTGCACGCGCAGCTCGGGCTCCCACCCACCGCGCTCACGGACGAGCTCGCTGTGCTACAGCAGCAACTCGCGCAGTGCGTTGAACGCCAGATCGACATCCGTCGCCGGCAGGTGGACGAGTGGACAGAGCGTTGTGAGGCCGTCGAGGAGGGATGTCGACGCTATGGACGCGCTCTCGGTGGCCATGGGAAGGCCACTGGCGGAAGTGTCTCGGAGATTGCGAAGGAGCAGGTCTTACCGAGGCGGTTTGAGGTCGGCTCGGAGTTTCATGAGAGGCTACGGCAGGTGAGTGGCAGCTGGGGATTGGTGCTGGTGCTGGGTTAGTTCGAGTTTGAGATTTGGCAGTGGGTGAAAGCAAGATCGAGGTGGCTGCATTTTTCCGATGTTCCGTGCTAAATGTTGATTGCGAGTTGGGTGTGAACGTGCTGGTTTGCAGTGACGGAGCTTGCTGGTGCATAGACAGATCGCCACGCAGGCAGCTCTCGAGACCGTTCTCAGTACATCAGCCGTTTCCGATATTTTACTCAAACATGCCTTTGCCATAGCGTTAGTGGGCTGACGATAGCTTTACAGCTATATCACACCAAACTTGAACAACTATTAACAATCACAGGCAGGCTCGAGGCTCTGTCGCATACACTTGGTCCCAACTTCTATGCTGAAGATATAATTGAGCCACCGCCTGCATCAGGCGAGAACGAAGAAGATCCCTCTGCGCATCGAGATGTCACACCCGAACGATTCTCCAAGCTGGAGAAGGAGCTCGTCCGAGGCAAGGGCGAAGTAGTACGTTCGACCCGTCCGCCTGCGCAATGTGCGCAACTGACAATGCTCGCGACAGACGAAGCGCCTCACACAGCTCTCCGCGACGATGGTGCAGATCGACTGGCTGTACACCGAGCTCGGCATGGCACCACCGATGCTCGACGATCTCCCCTCCTCGTCCTCTTCGATGCTCGGTGTCCCCGCGATGCCGCGATCGACGTCGTCTTGCAGCTCTCGCGCATCCCACACCACCTCTAGCTCCGGCTCCTCGGATCCCTTCCTTTCCTCCGTCTCCATCCCGTGCTCCACGCCCACGCCTGCGACGCGCTCTAAGCCCCTGCCACCGCTCCTGCTGCTAACCGTGCCCGACGCACCTGCAGAGCCCGACGACACCGCCTACCAGCGGATCTTCTCTCGTTTCGTCGCGCGCATGGAAGAGGCGTCGGACGAGGACCTCGCGAGCAGCGTTCGAATCGAGGGCATCGAGCCAACGCCTGGGCTGCTCGCGTGGGCGGAGACGACGCGTGCCGCACTCGAGGACGTGAAGCGCCGGCGCGAGGCACACATACAGACGATGTACGACCAACTAGAGGCGCTCTGGCGCCGTCTCGGCGTGCCCGAGGCGGACATGGACGCGTTCGTCGAGATGCAGCGCGGGAGCACCGAGATCACCGTGCGCGCGTATGAGGAGGAGCTCGAGCGCATGCTCGAGTTGAAGCGCGAGCGTATGGGCACATTTGTGGAGAATGCACGGGTGGAGATCACGAGGCTCTGGGACGAGCTCATGGTTGGAGAAGAGGAGAAGGCAGACTTTGCGCCGTTCTTTGATGGTGAGTCTTTAGCGCGTATCTTGAGTCTGCGTTCTGAGCTGGTCCACAGACGAACATACGGAAGAACTGTTGGCCATTCACGAGGAAGAAATTAGGCGGCTCAAGGAGGAGCGGCGGGCTAAGGGTCCGCTGCTTGCGGCCATTAGGAAGTACTTCGAGATATGCGAAGACGAGAAGGAGCTCGCTGCTGCCGCCACCGACCAGAGTCGGTTGCTGGGTAGAGGCTCGCGTGATCCAGGACGCTTGCTCAGAGAGGAGAAGATGCGCAAGCGCGTTACGAAGGAGAAGCCTAGGGTAAGCAGTGACGTCGACTGAACATTACGTGCAAAAGCTAATATCATGTTCTCTTCTCAGCTTGAGCAAGATCTCTTGGTGTCGGTCCCCGCATGGGAAGCGGAAACGGGATGCATCTTTCTGGTGCACGGCCAGAGCATCTTGCAGATCCTTATGGAAACTGTGGGTGCAGCGGACAAGGAGAACAGCGACAAGCGGGGGAAGTCTCAGGGACGCGGTGGTTCGGCCCCTCCACGCGCGAAAACCCCTTCCAATGGCACCCGCCCGCCCTCCAGCACTCACTACATGCCAATGCCCGGCTCCAGCCATATCGGTAAGAGCAGTTCGGTCACGCCCGCCGTCCGCCCCGGGTCCAGCATGAGCAACTCGTCCAACAAACGAGCCCGCCTCGGCGAGTCCACATCGACATATAACAATGGTGCGGCGCACCTCAACAGCAGCCGCGGGCCCGATGGGCACCGCGCGCCGTCGCCGACGAAGATCCGGAGCAAGACGCCGACGATGGCAGGATCTTCGCTTCCACGCCCCATTCCGGTCGCGATGCCCGTCCCGCGCCCTGGGACGGTGCACCATGCTCTGGGACACGGCCGTGTCCCGTCCGTACAGCCGCATCCGCACAGCTACCACCCGTACTCGGCGGCAGCGCGGACCGTGTCCAGCGCGACAACGCTGGCCCATCATGCGTATGGCGCCCCACCGCTAAACAGCCATGCGGCGGCGAGGAAGGCGTCGCGTGCGCGGCGGGAGAGCTTCAAGCCGCGGCCGAGCGTGGACGAGAATTGGACGGGACTCACAGTGTCTGTGGCAGACGGCGGGCGGAGATGGGCGGGCTTCTCAGGGAGTGTGGTGAAGGAAGAAGAGGAGGATTATTAGAGCACTGGAAGAATCGATATTTCCGGGTACTATCTACTTATGCCTAGTATTATCTTTTTTCCTTTATTCTTGTATGCATGTGTCTTTCATGTATGTCTCACCAACATGGCTTGGGCGTTGTACAATATGGTGATTACATTCCAGTGGAGTGGTCTACGCAGGACGCGTAGCCCCTTTTTTCCCGAGGAAACTTGGAGAAATGCGTGGAAATCAACTAGGTTATTCTGTGGGAAAAACACATAGGGAAAAACGTGTAAAAGAACAATAATTTTGTCCGGTTTTGGCATGTCCTGTGTGCTACGTTGCTCATCCGCAAGCCAACTGTCGATAGGCCCAAACAACTTGAAGATGAGTCGGCCCGAGAGAGACTTTGATCATGGGGTGAAGAGGGAATGCATGTAGCTTATAAAATCTGCGAGTTCGTCGTCTTCGCTAAGATTTCACACGCATCCAAACTCATCCATGCTTCATGGATTAATGCTTGCGGGGGGCAACTGAGCTGACCTCCCGAAGAAATAAAGGTAGGTACCGGGGCCATGATGTATTCCTGCGGGGATCACCTCTTTCTTCACCATCTGATCATACTGGGTGTGCTCTTCACTTGTGAGGCAATCCGGAGCAGCTTGCAGACGATGAGCGTCGCTCCTCTCGGTGTCGACAGTCCCCAGACTCGACGAAGGCGATATTTCCTGGCTTTCCCTACGAAGCAATGACGATCCCTGAGAAGAAGCAGATGCGATGTATTTGATAGGATCAGACATGGTTTCAATGCCTTAGTGGGGAGGCACAAAGAGCTCCGCCGTCCATGAACGTGAACACCTTCCCTATCGGGAAGGTCCCTCTCAAAAGGGATATAACTCCTCCGCGCCTCTCCACGTGTCCTCTCACTGCCCGCTCTTCTCTTCCTCCTGCTGCCCTTACAACTTTTTGTCTCACTCGCGCTTTCATTCCACTCTTTCATATCGTAAACCACCATAATGTCATTCACATCCGACTCTGAGCTTGAGCTGTTGTTCCCCGCCGAACACATTACGGACGACATCAAGGCGCTGCTGCACCCTGACCTTCACGTACGTCCCGTTGCGCCATCCGGTTACGCACCAATCACTCATGCTGACGCAGCTCCGCCCACTCGCCTCGACTGACTACCACCGCGGCCATCTCTCCGTGCTCTCCGTCCTGACCGTCGTGACCGACCCAGGCGAGGACGCCTGGCTCGCGCAGTTCAACGCGCTGCGCGCGTGTCCGCGCACTTACTACACCATCGTCATTGTCGACAAGCCGACAGACCGTATCGTCGCCGTCGGTACTGTGTTTATCGAGCACAAGTTTCTCCGCGGGCTCGGCAGCGTCGGGCACATCGAGGACATCGCCGTCGACAAGTCCCAGCAGGGTCGCAAACTCGGCCTGCGTATCATCCAGGCCCTCACCGGCATCAGCGAGAACAGCGGGTGCTACAAGACGATTTTGAACTGCAGCGACAGCAATATACGTGCGTGCTCTATCGACACTTTCCGGTGGCTCGCACGCTGACTTGCGTTGGTGTGTATAGCATTTTATGAGAAGTGCGGGTATGTGAAGAAGGAGAAGGAGATGGTACGTGTTCTTGTTCCTCGGATCTTGTTACCTTCTGCTCACAGCGCGTGTAGGCCAAGTACGCACCCGAAGATCGCGTCCGCCCACCAAGGCTGTGATCTACCAGGCAACGCATCGCATAGAGATAATAGAGATCTGACGGCCTCATTGGACTGGATACCTGCACTGGATACCTGCATATATATTCTGTATCGTACGGACTGACTATTCATTTACATCTCTATTATTTATATACAACATGTTCGCGAGAAACCGTCTGCCAGGGCTTCTTAAGTGTCGTATGCGCCCTGCTTAAGATGGGAGTGCAACGTTGGAAACGCTGACGCACGTTCAACCGCAGATCCCTGGTCCTTTTCACCGCATTCCATAAGACGACGGAATGATTGTGATCTTCCTTACAATACAATACGATACAATACATTGAGATACGTGAAGCTGCATCTGGAAAACTTGGATATGCGTAAACGACTTGAATGGTAAAGCAATGCGAAGAACCGAGGAATCCGCAAGAGAAAAATCATTAGGGTAATGGTCACCAGTACGTGAGCATAGTTTGCGCACATTCCTGCCAAACACCACCACCATCAGTTGTCAGCTGCACAGAAAAGCAAGAACAACGTACCCTGAGGCGGGGCAAATTGTGCGCCAACGACACATTCACGATCGTCCGCAGCTTCCGGCGCACGTCCGCTTTGCTCATGCTGAGCTGGTAGCTGCCCGAGCACGCACAGTGCCGTGATACGTTGTCCGACTGTATCTTCTTGCACTTCCCGCACCGCAGGTCCTGCTGCGCAAAGCGGCGTTCGAGGTCGAACACCATATCCATCAGGGCGAACTCAATCATCGTCCGGTCGTACTCGCCGCCACACACCACGCACAGCCAGCGCGCGTTGACCTCGAGCGTGCGCGGGAGCAGCTCCGGGTCTCGGCAGAAGTCGAAGTCGCGCAGGCCGTCGCAGTGCCGGCAGGGCACGTTCGCGAGCCGCAGCGGCTCGCACGGGTTGTGGAACGCCGCCTCGCCCGCAAACTCGCGCACGCCGACGACCTCGAGCAGGTTCCGCTTCAGCAGCCCCACCTCGATCTGGTACTCCTTAGCCAGCCCGAACACCGCACACGCGAACTTGACGAACTCCAGCAGCGGGTTCGTCAGGTGCAGGTGCGAGCCCGGCAGGAGCGGGAACTCCCACTCCGCCAGCGCGTCCTCGTCCATCTGCGCGTCGCGGTGCCGCTCCTGGATGCTCCCTACGGTCCGAAGGAGTTTGCGCGTGAGGCGGCGCGCGATAAAGTCGCGGCTGGCCTCCAGCTCCTGCGTCTTGGATGCGTTATGCTGCGTCGCGTCCGGGGCGCCGTTCGCAAGCACGCGTAGCGGAACGCGGTTCGCCTCCTTGGTCTTCTGGTTCGTCCTGAAGAGCTCGACAAGGAAGAAGCGGACGACGTTGCGGAAGTCTCGCTGAATGGCGGGAGGCAGGAATGTCTCGATGTTCCACCGCATCTCGATTGACAGCTCTTGCGGAGGCTCTATCGCCAGAGGATCCTCGCAAACCACGCCGGCCAAGTTCGCCTGGTCCATGAACAGCAGGAAGTCATAGAATCGCTCGGTGTGCAAGAAGACGTGCTGGAAGAGCTCGTGCGATGTCACAGCTGTCGTGATGTAGGTCGCGTAGGCGTGCGCTGTACCAGGAGGCTTGGACGTGACGAGGACGATCCGACTGAGATCTGCGTAGACCACATGTGAGCCGAGACGCTTGAACTCGGCCAGCATCTGAATGAAGGTCTTGCGCATCAGGCCGTGAACAAATCGGTGTATGCTTGGATCATACATGCACGAGGCATTCGAGCTGATCCAGCGCCAGAAATGGTCGATCGCGATTGTCGCTGGGCTTTCGAAGTTACCTTGGATCTTGTCAAGCAGCCACGTCTTGACCATGTTCTTTAGGACGCTGAAGGTCTGTGGGGACACGTTGGCATCGCCGAGGGTGAGGTCGCGCTGAGAATCTCCACCAGCATATTCAACCAAGGTGTGAGACGAGTCAAAGGCGGTTGCTCCGCCACTTCCTTCCAGTTCGTTGACGAGCACCGAATGAAGGACGGAGTTGACCGCGAGATTGCGCACCGTCACCTCAAGACAGACATTGGAATAACATCCCGGCGACATGAATTCCGTCTTGGGCAAGTCCTCCGACGGCCTTCTATCATCTTCGATGCCGCCCCAATCAGGACGATCTCCCGGAGACCACCAGAGCACCATGTCATGGTCGGTGAGTCGACGAGCAAAGTCGACGTCTGCCAGCAGCAGAGGTTGATCACCATCAATGTGGCCAATCGGCACGTCGTAGTAGTCCGCTAGAGCAATAGTTCGGTCCAGCCAGGTTCCCAAAGTAAGATAGCGGTTGACCAGCTTTTGCGCAACGTTTGTCTGCCAAGGGAACGCGTCCAGTGTATGAGGCCCCTTCGCTTTTGACATTGACACGACCGGGAACTTCGACAGTTTGGGGACTTGGGAGTCAAAGTACACTTGCTCTCTGCTCGAGGAGATCACGACTGTATACGATTGCGAGTCAACAAGTCCGAGTTCTCTCGAAATCGCCTTTAGTGCAGTGGAGTCGGTACCATGGTAGGTTGACAGGAACTCGCAAGTTGACGGATATGCATAGGAAATACTGGGGCCGTAATTTTGATGTCGTTTGCCCAGAGTGTCCGCGTAAAGCTCCGAGAGACGGGGAATTGACTGGCGACGTTGTGCAGGATCAACGATGTGTAGGCGCACAGCATTTCCAGGAATAAACAGTGCGAAGACATGTACTGCAGCGTTGCCGGAGCACGCGTGGTAGAGCAGGATGTATTTCCCTGCTCTGCCTTCGTCCAGATATTTGCGCTTGGAGAGCGAAGGGCCTGCACGGCTGAGCTGTTCCAGATCGATACCGCTGTTCTCAGCCCTGTTCAATGTCAGACCGGGGACTTCACTCGCACACGTCTTCCCAAGTTTCAGCAATGCGCGCATGACCAATGGAAGCTGTGACAGCGTGAGTAGTTGTATGCTGCAACAAGCACGGAAAACGAACCTGTAGCTCAAAGACGCCATCCACGTTTGGATCGTTGGTGAGATCAATGAAATGTTCACGGCCCTCTTGATAGATATCTTCGCGCACGGTTAACTTATACAGATTGACGCAAGGCAGCTCTCGAGGAAGACTTCGAACCACTTTTTCAGCCGAGTAGACATCAGTCTTGAACCTGTCGGCTTGAGGTGGCGTACGAAGATGCAGATAAAACTGGCGCGGGATACGGAGTGGGATGGGCACTAGACCAGAGTCAGCAGATATCCACAAAGTGAACCGACCGCGAATTCTGTTAGGCCTAATCTGCACGATATCCCAACGGCCACTGGCCTTCGTTTTGACACCCTTAAACAATGGCAATTCAATATTGGATGCACCCTCCGGCCGGTAGCGACGCGTCCATTGACGCCTCCTGACTGCCAGATAATCAGAATAATGTGTGACGGATTCTGGCATTTTCTCTGGGACAGCTTCCTCAAAGTTATCCTCCCGACCACGAGCCTTGCGATTCACTACAGCTATACGGGGACGGATTCCCTTTGAAGGCTCGCGCTCGCTTCCGAAGTCCTCGATGTCTTGGTTGGACTGCTCTCTCGGCCCAGTCTTGAAGAAATCAGTCACCTTCTGTTGATGGAACTTATCATCCAACGCGACTACCCGTCGGTGCAGCCAGTCAGGGTGGCGTATGCGGGGTACAGGATTGGCGACCTTCTGCATAGCCGCAGGGATGGTGATGAGCTTCTGGATCACAGATCCCAGACGTTCGATATAGTACCCCCAATCTAGGATCGACCGTATGTCGAAGTTGGTTAGACTGTTGTCCTTCAGCCACTTTCGCAAGTACGACCGCTTAACAGAATCCTCGGCGGAGAAAATGGCCACCGGCACAGCTCGTTCTGTGACAGGAGCACCCATGGGCCGAGCGGAGATGATGAACTTGCACGCCAGACCTTTATCCTTCACCATTTGGTCGCCAAGGAACTCCGCCAGACGTTTCGCTGTGCTGATAGAAGTGGACTTCTGTCCGCCATATTCGGCGAGAGTCCTTGACATGCTTCGGTTCTCGGCGATGAGATCCACCAGCTCATCATCCCCAAGAGTCTCGGCCTTGCTGAACAGTACGTCAAGCCAGCGATCCGCGACTTGTGCGACGGCCGCGTAGCATTCTTCCGTCGTCGTCCCAAGTAGGAACTTCTCGAAGATCTGCGACTGGAAAATCTTGATGAGCTGCAATTCACCACGCCGCTTCACTTCGAAACCTTTAAGTTCGGCGAGGGAGCCGTCGTCATTGAAGACCGCATAGCGCTTCTTGAGCAACTTGTCCTCTTCCTTCGATGACGGCAGGATCATGGCCTTGTACGGACCATCCAACTCAAAGAAGATGGAGTTCTCGCTGTGCACGGCGTATTCTCCGGTCTCTGTATTGAGATCATGGTACTGGTGGTTCGTGAATTGAGCGTGGACGAGATGGTTGAGCATGGTGCATGGGTACGAGAACGAGATGGCTTTCCCGTTCGCCAGCTTAAATTTGAAGTTCTCCGGGAAGATACCTGGCAACATGCACCAGATTCCATCCGTATCCAACTCCAGGGGACGTCCGATCTGTTCGACTAATTGTCTTGCCATCTGGATGATTGTTGCGCCAGTCAGGCAGGTGATGCCAGCCATCTCCATAGAATGCCACCGAGCGCCCTTGCGCATGACGTATCCATAGAAGGAGTTAAGGATACATTTGTGCGCCAGCTGGAGAGAATCGTACAGCACGATCATCTTCTTAGCCTCGTCCACCTCCGCGATGGAACGGTGTTCCGAAAGCACAGCGTCGAGATTTTTTTTCCATGTCTTGTGCAGACCCTTGTACTCATACCGGCGATCTCTGAAGCGGCGCACCGTGTCGATGTAGAATGGGTTCTCCCTCTGGCAGATGATGGCCTCGCGATTCTCCACCTTGGTGTCCTTGATCTTCTTGTACACCTTGCGCGAGTAGTCTCCGAGGCGCTTGTGCAACAACGCGGTTTGCTCTGCATCAGACAGATCGCCGAACTTGCGCTGCGACCCCCCTGCACGTTTTGGAGGGAATGTCTCCTGGTTCAGTGCATGCTTGATCATGTTAAACTCGTCTCTCCGCGCAGGGAAGAACTCGCCGCGCCATGCCCATGTCATGCGACGGTCACAACTCTTGCCCGGTCGATTGTAGTCGCATACCGCACATACCGCCTCATCCACCACCGAGTCTGGCTGTAGCCGATTCGACAACATGATGTTCGGGTACATCGCCGCCACATCCAAGTGGTAGATGAGCGGCTTGTCCATGCGTAGAGGGTTGTCACGCATCTCTTCGAGCCCAGCCTGGACTTGGCTTTTAACCTCGTCGTAATTCGTCACAGATTCCAAAGGCGTTTTGGATTCCTCTACGATGCAGAATGTCAGTGCTGCGTCCAATTCGTCGATGAGCTGATGGAGCGCAAATTAGCATCGTAACATCTATTCATTATGAGCACGTGAAAATACCTTCTGAACAGCCGACGGCTCTATCTTGAAGTTCGTCGGGATGTCGCTGCGGAAAACTCCAGCGTCCAGTGCTTCTACATGTCCTCCGACGTACGTCTCGGAAGCGAGCAAGTGGCCATCGTACATGTTGCCATGTGCCTCTTCGTGCCTGTTAGGCATGATGATCCCTCCGCGGTATGCCTCAACCTATTTCGCGCGGCGTCAGCACACCACAGAGAAGGAAGTGCAGATTGTGCTTACCATGAGCAGCGTCTCGCAGAGGGTACCGCTTCCTTTCCTGAGGACTTCGTCTGGACAGAGGGGAATAATGTTGCACAGCGAGAAGATGAACGGATGGACGTATTTCATGTACAGATAGTACGTCGCGACGGCGTCAGATACGGAGTACTGCGCCAGCGTCTGAGGCTGCTCCATCGCATATCTTAAGATGAAACAATCAGAGAGACCCATACAGAATGCTATCTGGTGGAACGTACGGGGTCATCAACTCCGGATCAAGCTCCAGAGGATTATATCCAAGCTTCGCGGTCGTCACGGCTTTTAAGCCCTGACTTCCTTGGGGTAAATACGAATCACGCTTGACCCAGCGGAAGCAGTCCATATGCACGCATCCGCGGCTCTTGAACTCGTCTTCTGAGTCTTTGCTAAAGCCGGTCTCCAGGAACATGTCGATCCCATGGACCTTGGCCCGAGCGCATAAGAAAGGAAAATCGAAGAAATCACCGTTGAACGATGCTATTACAGTGGGCTTGACGTCTTGGATGTGAGAGAAGAAGCGTTGTATAGTGGCAGCCTGAAAGAACAACGGAAAATCAGCACCAATAAAATCGAGATAACGCAGTGAGAATCACCTCGTCGGCTTCGTTGAACACAGTGAAAGGACCTTCATATCCCTCCTTCGGAGTGTACTCGAAGTCTTCGATATCCTCGCTTACGATGTCTCGGTTTGTGATAAGGAAACCCTGGCCGTCGACCATGTACGAAATCATCATGACCTGGTCAATAGCCTGGTCAGGAAATTTCAGCGGCGCCTTCGTCGTCTCGATATCGTACGCCATCACAACCGGGTCTGCTCGCTTGACACGCTCGACAATCTGGGTGAACGCAGGCTGACCAGCAGTGAACGTGACCGCGTACCACAGCCCAACTCGGAGGTCGTTGTCGATGGCGACCCGCAGGTAATAAGGGACGTCGAACTCCCGGATATCGATGACACCCTCTCGAGGATCTTTCTCCCGTCCCCCGGCATTGCGTGAGTCTCGGGCATCCATGTTCACATCAGCTCCCCACTCGACATCCATGTCGATTGAGATACCCACGCCTGCGGTGGAGTTAACCACTTCGGCGTATGCATCGACTGCATCTAGCTTCGCACTGTTAGCCAGTGCGAGAGGCATGATGTCACGTCGAACGGTGAGAAGGTCAGAAACATTCCTGAAATGTAGCTGCAGATAGAGGCGGCGGTGGCCAAGAAGATGGTTGGGCAGGCTGAGGTCCTCCTTCCGCTCTCGCGTGATCCGATATATGTTCGCTTCGTATTTCTTCATTAGCCACTCTTCAATAATTGTTTCCATTCCGCTCTAAATGACAGGTAAGACTGGTAACACTAATAGATGAAGACGTTCGCACCTTGCATGCAATATAGAAGTAAGGCTCGTACTGGTACGTGCACTTAAACATTCCTCCATCATCTTGTATAAAGTAAAAGTCTACCGCGGCTTTACCAGATGGCCAGTCTGCATCTTTCACGAGAGTCTACACGACGATTGTGAGCCCGACTCCCAATAACATAGACTGCCCGACTCACCGGATGCATATTTACCAACCACCCTTCCCTCCTTCCGCCTTCCTCAATTCTCTCAAAACCAAGCTTCTCATCAATTTCGTCATTCAGTTGGACCTGCTCAAACCTTTCTGCGAGCTGCGTCCCATCATCGTCACGCCGAGGCTGTGGGTCTGTTGGTGCCCCTCCTCGGCCTCGACCTCGACCTCTGCCTCGACCACCACGGAAGGAGCTATTGCCTCTGTAGTTATTTCTTGAGTTTCCTCGCCCCCGGCTGCGGAACGAGCCCGAATATGACCCTCGGGCCATGGTTCTGGTTGGTGTAAGGACGACCGTGAGCGCGTCGCGGTGTCACGGACGCCATGTGTCACATCCATTGTCACACCATAACACCCCGGCGCACAACGTGACAACCTCCAAGACCGTGACGTTCGGGCGACGAAACTAATGGCATAAGGCATATCCCCGACTACAGCAAAATCTCTACGTGCTATAGGCATGACACTTTAGTCAGGAATTTGGATTAAAACCAGTGGTTGCAAACTTCGATGAAGCAGACGCAATAATACTACTACTGTTAGATGCGCCGGTTGGCCGAGCCATGTCTCTGAGGAAGTGCACCGTGACATGGAAAGAGCTAAGCTTAAGATAGCTCCTTTGTGGCCGGCCGTCGGGGCACCCGCAATCGACGCTTGCTGTCGACACCTTCCTGAGAGCCTCTAAATCACAGCGGCGAAATCACATCCTGGCGATATGATCGATCCCCATGGCATAGCGAAACAGGCAGCGACGAGCTCGCCACTTGGTGGTCCAACAATCCTAGTAGGGAGTTGTACTCACAGATGACAGCCTAGCCAGAGGAATTTCTCGCTCGCAGTGAATGCCTTGCCAGAAAGCTGCACGCGAAGGATCATTCTAACAAAATACTGAGCAAATTTTAACACGGGGAGTACACCAAGCTTATCATTGTCCTGCAACATCCGTTTGTTGGTCATCTAGGTCATCCTATGCGTCTCGATGTGCATTGAACTTCATAAGACGTGTAAGGCTATCAGTCGAAAAAGAAGCACAAATGCAAAGCAAGCACAGTGAAAGCAACAGGAAAAAAATGGAACAACAAGCAACGAGACCGGAGACAAGATGAATAAAAAATGTCCGGCCACGCAGCACAAAATTCACGACATTCTCCGCTTAATCGGAGCTCCAGTGGTCGACGAGATAGTCCCCATTGTCATTGTCTGACGAGACGACAATGAGCTCGCGAGGTCCGCGTGTCGACAGGAGTGTCGGAACCAAGCTTGACCACCTTCAGCAGCTTCGCGCGCGACAGCTTAGTCGCGGATTTGGCGAAACACTTCGTCTCAGCACTCCAACCACAGGCCTTGAATACCGTTGGCTTCGAGGCGTCAGCGTCCGATTCCGCCCTCGAATTTCCGCACACGTGCCGGTTGGGTACTGGCCGACCCTTTGTAAGTGACAGCGAGATACTTCCAAAGAATGAGACCGCACTCGACCTGTAAAGACATAAATGATAATGACAAGAAACCCACCGGCACTCACAGCAGCACCCGCGAGGCCCAATGCCCCAATGGGTCGGTCCGGACTTAGGATCTTGTGCCCATCATCGCTGGGGGAAGGCTCTGGGTATAGTCCTTCGACATCAATAGCTCCCTCGATTGCGGAAAGATGAGTGGCGAATATCCGCAAGATAAGGAGAGATCGGAATAAGCCTTTGAATTCCTGGTATGACAGATCAATTCAGACCTTCGCGGAAAGCACAAGTTTGATGCTTACCTCCGGATCGCTGCCCTTAGCATCTTCGTAGGCGAAGCGACGTAGCTCGAGCAAGCACCGTGAAAACTTCACGCGGTATTCAGGCTTCTGATATTTGCTGTCTGACTTGAAGAACAGCTCAAGCGCGGCGATGGCGGTGGACCCAAAGCTGGAGCGCCATTCGTCAAGTCGCTGGATGGTCTGTGAAGTATTTGCTTAAAGGTCAAACCAAAATATCTGAAGGTAGCTTACCAATGCACGGACAATGACATGAAGCCCATCTGTATACTCGATGCCCGTTGTCTTGTAGACAACATCCCAGATACGCTCGAGCGCATCCCTGAAGACATCTTCGTCCACGTTCCATGGATTATCCACAGCGCCGATGAATCGCACAATCGTAGGCATGAAGCGACGTCGCCAGCGGTCATGCTTCTGCGCAGCGGGAGGGAGGGCCTTCACGGTGATCTTGTTGCGCCTGCCCGACTCCTCGCCATTGAGGTCCTCATCATCATCCCGCTCTACCTTTACCTTGAGTTTCGGTTCATCATCCGAGTTATCATCCATCTGACCCGCAAGAGTGTCAACGTTCATAGCAATATGGAAAGACTTGACCATACCTTTTCAACCCGTTTGCGTTTCCGGGTCTTAGCAGCGAGCTCTTCCGTTCGATCGAAAATCTCGACATCCATCTAAAATCCCTGCAGATCAGTTGAGATCATTATGACATAGTGATAACTTACATTGCTTGTCGTGCGAGCTGTCTTGAGAGCTGGTGTTGCATTGAACAAAATGTCAGGGTTTTCATCCAGACGGGGTTGAGCCTTGAAATGGTCTCAGTGAGAGATAAGTCAGAGTTTGATAATTACCTTCAACGCAGGCTTGGGACGGACTTGGAAAACTGAGCCACCAGCTTTACCCTCATCGCCGTCAGAACCGGTGTTGTGATCTTCAATGTGTACGGCATTCTTCGGATGTCAGGCAGGAACATAAACAGTAAATTTTGAATGAATATTGCAATGGTGAAGAAGTACTTACCAAGTTCGTTATCCGGGATGGCGCTGGCTTGATGGGACTAGAGAGGGCATGAAGTTTCTCAACATCCTCATCATCACCGAGTACACTCTTCTCAGCCACGACAATGTCAGAGCCTTGCCAAGGACCTGCAGCACCCTTGCTTTTCTGGGGCTTGGAGGTAGCAGGCTTGATCAATGTGCCAGTTTTGCTGGACATGGCTGGTTTTTGCGAGGAAGCCGTGTTCGAGGTCAAGCGCACTGCCATACTTGAGGGTGCAGTCCTGGTCGAGGTATTGGTCCTACTTGAGGTCGTAGTCTTGCTCGAGGTTGCTGTCATGCCCGAGGTCATAGTCTTGTTAGTGATCGAAAACACCGGCAGTTTCCCCGGGCAGCTCATCCCAGTCATATGGTATTTTCTTAGACCAGTTCTTGATCTTGTTCAATAAGTCATCATCATCACCATCAGAGCTGCGTGCCAGAGTGAAGTAGAAGAGGGTCGTTTCCGAGAGGATAAGGGGGATCATGCTGGGAGAGATTGGGAGATGCAATGAGTGCTCAATATGCTGAAGCGCTCGCTGATCATGAGTGGATGATGTGTCGCTCACTATACTGTGATCTGGGGAACGATCATTCTGCGTAACGAAAGTAGACCACATGAAGTTCGGTAATCCGCCATGCTCAGCCACTCAAACAAGTAGCGCACCACCGGCGAGGACCTACAGCAGCAACTTTGAAAGAGCAGTGTGGCGCGGAGTAGAAAAACAGATTTATTCAACGACGTACACACCAGTACCACATACCCGCGAGATGGAACAGTACAACGGAAATGAAATGAACACAACTAAGCGAACATCGACGACGACTAGTATCACACTACAAGTACTGAGTGACAGTGACTTAAGACATAGCAGAGACAGTGACAGATGCGATGATATCGTCAGAAGGAATAATTATAAGACGGAGGCAGACTGGACCAGAGGAAGAAAGGGATCCATCCAGTGTGCGTCGTTGGAGAAGAAAGGTGATAAAAACGAGATAAAGGTGGATAGCTGAGATGATAGAAGAGATCGCATAGAAACGGAACTGAATAGGCCTGACTGAGAAAACAGTGAGTTTATCTGCATGAAATGAACGAGGGGCGTGGGATGTAACTCACATGTCTCAAGCTTCCACCGGCACTGGGACCTCTGCCTCAAGAGCATCTTCCGCAGCGGCTTCCTCCTCCGGCTCCTCTGCAATAGTCTCCGGGGCATGAGCGGGTGCATCGGCCTCCGTGTCTGTCTTCCCCGCCTGGATACGGACAGAGTGAGATCGGACGAACAATCACATTATCATCAGCGATCTACCTTAGAGGCGGGCTTCCTGGACCCCGCTCTGGAAGCAGGCTTCTTTGCACCAGCGGATGAGGCTGGCTTCGCTGATGCTCGGGACGCAGGTTTGGCAGAACCTGCGCGGGAAGCCTTGGAAGCTGGCTTCGATGAAGGCGCGGCGGCCTTTGATGCCGGCTTAGTGGCTGCGGCGGCCTTTGAAGGTGGCTTGGACGCCGCCTTGGATGCGGGTTTGGCCTACAGGATCAGGAATGATAGTCAGAACACATCACAATGACAATCGAGCCACTCGCACCTTCTTGGCCGGGGGTTGTTCGTCTTCGGAGGCCGCAGCTCCGTTGGGGGCATCGGCATCGTCCGCCTCCTTCTCTGCAACCTTGCGCTTTCTGCTCTTAGGCGCAGGCTTCTCTTCGCCCTCCACCACAGAGGCCTTGTCGGCCTTGGGCTTTCTTGCCCTCGGTTTGGCGGCAGCCTTTGCGATAGGCTCAGTTTTGGGCTGAGCTTTAATCCGTGTAGACCGGCGAGGAGCCGGAGCATCAGCAGCAGCGGTGGTCGTAGCTTTGCGGGGCATCGCGGAAGTTATGACGGCGGGGGTGGATGTGGGTTGAAAGAGAGGAGTGAGGGCGGATGAAGGAGGGTCCGTGTTGAATTGGCGAACCCTATTCACGATCAACAACTCCTTCACGTGCCGCGTGGACACCCCGTGACACGCGTCGCACGGGTCCTTCCGCGCCACACACGCGAGTCCCAAATGGGTTCATAGTCTTCAGTAAACACAGCTGTACCAAGCAACATCTACTGAATTAATGACCTGTTTACACCACAAAAGCTCTGTATTTCCCAAGGTGAACTAATAAGATGGCCCAGCGCAATTTTCCTGCGGCGTCTCTGAAATCTTTCCAGTTTGAGAATAACACGACAGTCCGCGCGATCGAGACATAACTAACATCCTTCAAACTCGTTGGTTGACGATAATTTGGCAACACGCTATCGCCTCCGTGGACGTTTCCCTTGGACCCTGCAGAGGCAACGCACCCCAACGTTCAGCGCAACAAACCTGTAGCAGGCTCCTGCAGCTTTGTTGCACCGATGTTAACGTTGGCGTCAGCAGTGACAGATCAATTCTGCCCAAGCTCTCCTGAGCACAAACGTTTAGCCGGCCATGACGCACAGAGAATTGTGCCAATTGGCCAATCCACTTTACAGCCAGCAGCTCCGGTGGGGGTGGCAAAAGCCAGTATATCTAGGAAGAAAGGAGACATAAAGGGGGACAAAATGGCAGACATCGAGATTCAGAAAGCCACTGACATTTTGCCAAATTCATCTCCCGTTGTGTTCAGGTCAACATGTCCGCAATAACCTGCTGCGGAGATGACATATCCTGATGGCCACGGAGCTATCTCACGCAGATGAGAGGCGATAAGCAGTATGTATTACAGATACAGATGGTGGACGAATGGAACACACAACTGGACAGATACCGGATAGCAGAGACTGCACAAATCGGCCTACCAGGCGCAAGGACAACAGCGTATCACGTCCTCACTTCGACGGCTCTGTGCGGGAGTCGAAGAATGCCCGTATATCCCGTTCTGTGACTACCTTGCCTTCTTGCGCGAAAGGTCGGAGGTGGTTCATGAGGTCATCACTGCGCAAGCGCCACAGATAATTTGAGAACGGAGCGACCACAAAATTTACGGCACAAGCAGGACACATGTCAGCAGTCTCCACGAAACGTAAATGCCCCAGACGCACCGCATCTCATTGAAAGCGCGTATGCCGTCTATTGCCCGATCACGAGGAAGACGCTGCAAAGCACGCAATCCAAGTTCTTCCAGCGATAATCCTGACCGACAGATTAATGGCAGAAAAAAAGAAGTGATGGCAGCAAACCTGAGTCAGGATCTTCTGGTGGCTCGTATGTTTCCTCTTCTTCCAGTAAATATTGATGTGCGCGAAGCGAAGGAAGACACTAGAACAAGATGAGATCGTGGGCTCGAGAATTCGGAGGGAAAAGACTTCACAGCATCACATCGACACCACCGTTCGCGCCAACCCTCAGTCAGAAAAACGTCTCCGCACCCAAGGGGACTGAACGCTTGGAGACCTTCATCGTCTCTTGATTCTTGAGATGAGAGCAGTTCCTGTGCACGCGGATTCATTGCCGGAGCAAGACACGGTTGAGAGGACAAGGGGACAGGGGACAGTCGTGCTCGCTTCGCGTCGGGGGCGTCTGGTTTTGTGGGCGAGTGTGCTCGCTTCTCACCTGCACTTGATCCAGGCTCAGCAATGTCAACTTCCACCGTACTGGATCCTGCGTCCTCGTCGCCTATAATTCTCCATTTGTCGCTGGGGCTGTCCCGGACAACCATAAGTACCTTGCTCGTGCCCGCGTAGCGCTTGAGGGTGTCAATTTTGTGAACACAAGCACCGCACACAAAAGAGTCATAGTCTGAAGCACTGATAAGTGGCGGCGGAAGCCCAGAGGATGATGCCTCGGAAGCTGCATCGTCCTCATCAGGTGACTCTTGCGTTGGTTCAGGGGAAGGATCGCGAGATGGAGGACGTTCACGGAGGTTCAGACATGACTCGTGGAACCAATCCTGATGGGCACAGGTGAGCCACGGCGGCGCAGAGCCGTAAGGGACATACCTCACAGGCAAGACACTGTATCATCGTCTCCCGTTCTTGCTGTGCGTCATACTCCCTGCCACACCTGCAAAACTTTCCAAGAAAATTCTGGCCATACACGTTCTTGCCGTTCTCCGGCTCGAGCGTCCTGTGCAGTGTACACTGCAATGCGAACGCGCTCGTGGGGCAGTCGCAGCGGAAGTTGCGCTTCGGAAAAAGCTCGACCTGCTCGTGATCAGTATGGCAAGCGATAGAGCATGCTGAACATATGCCACGCGTCTCCCCGCAGGTCTTGCATAGGTAGACTGCTTGGCGGCGGGGTCCCAGGGAGTACGTGCACTGCGAGAACTGGTGCGGGAGCGCTTCGGACGCTTCTTGGACGAGCGATATTTGAGAGTTTAAGATGGAGCCCAGGGTGAATGACATGTCGGCAGAAATCTACAGACTGGCGGTATGTATCAAAGGTTGGGTCGGTTCGCATGAAATGATGAAAATGAAGGAGCGCGGAGTGGAGGAATGTGTTTTGAATATTTTTCCCATGCAAAACCAGCCAAAAAGGATAACCTTCAATATCTGAATTTTGTCGATGGATGTCATTCTGTGGTCAATCTTCTCCCTCCTGACTCGTCCTTATTGTTATCTCTTGCCAGTGATGGGCAACCTGAAGGCGGAACTCGTGAACAAGGTACTTCCCTGGCGACGGGCAATTCGTGCTTTTTGTTTCTCCTCCGACGTCTGATCTAGGCTTTTTGTGTTGCGGCGTATGTATACCTGCGATGAGTGGCTTCATTCCCGAAACCCAGAGGTTCAGGATCAGGTCTCCCCAGGGCTTGTATTTCTGAGAGTTCCGTCACTTTGTCTTCTGGAGTTTCTACTTCGTCAGCATGTCTCATCCCGTCATCACATTCCCGCCGCGACCGCCTACTGGTAACACTTTAACATCCGAGCAGCGCACTCAGTTAATGCGCAGTAGCAACAAACTTGAACAGGTGCTGGGGAGCACTCCGCATGTCCTTGATTTCATATATACACATGGTGAGCGACTGTGTGATCTGTGTGCTACTTGCGGACCCTGACACTGATTCAGTTGCAGCGTGCACCTGTAGCCCCGAGAACAAACCTCGACGTAGATTCTTCCATTTGCGATCTAAGTCTTTACCCAAGTCCGCGAAAGACGACGACTGTACAGACGGCCTGCGGTCTATCGCGTCGGCGCCATCGCTGTCTGCTAGGTGTCATGCAGACTCCGTCCACAGCGGTCAACAGTCGTGGCGCTCCCCGTACCATTCGCAGCAGCCGCCTTTGGTCCTGCCCCGCTCCATTTCAGAGTCCATGTCGCGACCTACCGTTATGTCACCGCATCGCGAGCACAACGATGCGATTTCTGACTCCTCGGACTCTCCTCTCTTCACCATAGTCTCCGAAGCCGCCGTGCGTCGCGAAAAGATGCGCCGCCTAACCAGGAAGCTGGGAGAGGGCGTACCCTCGCACCTCGTCTTTCCGCCAGAAGACGAGATGGACTCGGATGAGGAGACGGTTGCGACCTCGTCGCCGACATCCACCTTGTCTGGTCGAACCTGCACCTTGCCAACGATTCTAGAGGTGGAGCCTGTGCGGCTACCTATGCGCCACGAGGCGGCGGAGCAGCCCCCACGCATCTCGCGTTTCGCGAATTCTGCGACGAAGGAGTTGTCGCATCGTGATGCTATCTATGTCATCGAGAGCCCAGACGAGCTCAGTGAGGAGGGGTTGTTCAAGGGTGTTCGCTTGAGTGCGCGCTGCTATTCGTCTAGAGAACAGTGGTGATTCGAATTCGTTGCATACTGCTATACTTCATGTACGTTGTACGTGTACGTGCATTGTATTCTCTACTCTATCTGCGTTGTCTTGATAGCCTGCTTGGTATTTATTGATGCCAAATAGATATGCGCCCGATTTTCCGTATGCGCCGAACGTATGCTCATGTCATAATCAAGTCATAATCGTTTTTCTCGCTCGTTCCGACTCAACCTTACTCCGTTCCTCAACGATAGGTTAGCAGTGGCGTGTCTGGGCCAGCGCCACGACATAGATTCAGTTCCCCCTCTTGACTAGTCTACCGTTTCTTGCTTTCGAAACCGGAAGCTGCGAAATGACCGCATGCAAGCCACCTAGAAAATATATTTCTGAGACTCTTGAGTGCAGGACGAGTGTCGTCGACTGTTGCACGATCTACGTCCGTATAAACAGGTCCACCGTGAGCTCATTGAACCAGTGGATACCTTCGATCTTCACAGACCCGTAAACACCTGTCGCTGATTCGCTTAGTGCAAATTCTTCCTGCCGTTCCTGTTGACGACAAGCTTTAGCACCTCCTACGTTCGATTTAGTGAAGTTCGGTGTGCACCACGCTGGGGGTTCTTGAGCATCAAGCAGGATCACTCCTGCGAGATCCCGACCTTTCCACATTTTGCAAGCCTTCTCTGCGACCGCCGCTCAATCTTGTGTGCAGGCAACCTCCATAACGACTAACTCCCTCGTCAGTGTCTTCTCGACCACTCCATCTCCAGTTCTTTCCAGCTTAGTCTTTATTAGCTTGAGGAGGAGGTCCGGCTGAAACTGCATGCCATCATAATTTATTACATCTGAACCCCCATGGACCTGCAGGTCTTCACCGGGGCTGTCAATGTATGGGGTTAGAGATGACCGGAAGAAGGTTTGAACTTGAAACGTGCTGGAGCACAGAACACGACAAGGCTCGAATAGATAAGGTGGATCTGTGTTGGCACTTGGATCTGGTAAGTGCGCCGATCACCTTGAGATAAGATAAGAGAAGTCGGAGCCGCGGCTGTCCTTCGTTCCTGCTAGCTCCCTCCATCGGCATTAGTTAGTGACCTGACAGCATTGGTGACAACCGGAAAGCCGACAGAAAAGTTGCCGCTACCCTTTTCAGAACAGATATCTTCACACTTCTGGAGTGGCGGATAGCCCTGACAGCATTGTTTCTATACGGGTATGTGTAGGAACCTCTCTTGAGTGGATGGCCTCTGACACAGTACTTGAAAGCATAGATAGATTGGACCAGTGATTATCGGATTACTTTGCGGTGAATTGGACCTCAGAGATGTCGGTCCCTCAAGCAAACTATGGTGCACCCGACCCCATTCTATTGACGCTCTTCGCCAATCGGTTCATGAGCGTTGCGGAGGCGATGGGGCGCTCTCTGCAGCAGACTGCGATCAGCACGAACATCAAAGAGCGCCTTGACTTCTCGTGTGCATTGTTTGCGCCTGACGGAGACTTGGTCGCCAATGCGCCCTTCATCCCTATTCACCTTGGATCGATGAGTTTGTAAGTAAGCTATCTTGGTGAATTGCATTATTCACAACGTTCGGCGTAGTGCCGTGAAGTTTCAGATGAATCTGCACAAGACGACCATCAAGCGCGGTGATGTCTTTATGACCAACTCACCGCACGCGGGCGGCTCGTGCGTTAGTCCATCCAGCTATTACCATCTTCTTACACTAGTCGCAGCCATCTACCAGATATCACCATTATCAGCCCTGTATTTGACCCCAACTCGGACGAAATCATCTTCTTCACGGCCTCGCGCGGCCACCACGCTGATATTGGCGGCATCCTTCCTGGATCGATGCCCCCCACCTCGACCAATATCTTCGAAGAGGGTGCCGAGATTGTCAGCTTCAAGATCGTTAGCGGGGGCATGTTCGATCGCAAGAGCTTAGTCGACTACATGATCGACAGGCCCAGCAAGTATCCTGGAAGCTCTGGATGCAGAAACCTCAAGGACGTGGAGAGCGATCTCAAAGCGGTCAGCTCAGTGTGGTGCAGTTAGTGTTCGGAGAGGCTGATGTGACGACACACCTAGCAAATTGCTGCCAATCACAAGGGAATACAGCTCATCCAAGCCAGTGCGTTTTCTCTCCGTGTCATCATCCCCTGCTCAAAGTTTTTATTCGAGTCAGTTGTTGATGACTACGGTCTACCTACCGTGCAAGAGTACATGTTCCATATTCGTTCCAATGCCGAATCCTCCGTGCGCAACCTCCTCCGAGACGTCGTCAAGCGAATGGGGACCAATGTGCTCAGCGCCGTCGATTACCTCGATGATGGTTCTCCCGTTCGTGATCAATCTCATCCGCGATTTCTATGTGATCTCATACATGTGTGTGTCCGTCTCGTAGATCCAGCTTAAGGTTGAGATCAATGAAGATGACGGCTCAGCGGCGCTGGATTTTGAAGGTACCGGATGCGAGATACGTGGTAACTTGAATGCGCCGATCTCGGTCGTTCATTCTGCGGTCATCTACTGCATGCGCGCTATGTTGGATTTGGACATCCCACTAAATGCTGGTTGCCTGGTCCCACTCAACAGTGAGTGAATCCTCCGATATTTTGACAGGAACCGGCTGATTGATGCGGTGAACCTGCAGTAAAGATCCCGGAGGGTTCATTATTATCGCCATCTCGCACCGCTGCAGTGTGCGGTGGTAACGTGCTCACCTCGCAGCGCATCGTCGACGTTGTTCTTAAGGCCTTCCATGCATGTGCTGCCAGTCAGGGCTGCACAAAGTGAGTTATTTCTCCCGACTGTCTCGCGGCCGCTAACCTGGCATACTTACAGCAATCTGACGTTCGGTGCCGGAGGGAAGGACAAGGATGGAAACAATGTCGTTGGCTGGGGATACTACGAGGTCAGTGATTCCGCAATTTATAGAATTGGTCAACGCTTAATGCGCGCGTAGACCATTGCAGGCGGTTCAGGTGCGGGCCCCGGCTGGCACGGCACCTCCGGTGTGCATACCCACATCACCAACACTCGCATTGGCGACGTCGAGATCCTCGAGAGGCGCTATCCTGTCATCGTCCACCAGTTCGGGTTGAGAGAAGGCTCGGGGGGCAAAGGGCTGTGGAAGGGCGGCGATGGCGTCGTCCGGGAGCTAGAGTTCTTGCAGGGCCTGCAGGTTTCCATCCTGTCGGAGGCGAGTGCCCGTCCGAGCTTCGCTGTTTCGGAGGCTGACATTTGTCACACGGTACAGAGGCGGACAAGGCAGCCGTATGGGCTCGAGGGTGGCGGCCCCGGCGCACTAGGCCGCAACACTTGGGTCAAACAATCACGCAAGGAGGACGGTGATCTGCCGGAAGATGCGCGCCAGCCGCTGAAGCCGCGGAAGATCAACATCGGCGGGAAGGCGTCGGTATGGATGGGCAAGGGCGACCACTTGCTGATCGCGACCCCCGGTGCGGGCGCGTGGGGTGCTGAAGATCCCGACGTCGACAACGGGCATGTGGACCGTTCGCATGTAAAGGCGTGGGTTGCCAGAGGCAGCTTAGCAGAGAGAGAGGCTGCACAGGCTGGATTCTGAAGCACGGAGGCGCACATACATCGCAGACGATTCCAAAGGGACGTTGTAATAGCTTCTGATTCGGTCCAACCTCCGGAGATCTAGCAAGCAGTCGTTCGATAGTGACAACTTGCATAAGTATGTGTGACTTGATTATAGCGGTGCTCAAAATCGATAGCAGGATGAACAAACGTAGTTAAGCTATTGCGGACGCGGTACTACCAGACTAATAGTCTCCCAAGGCAGATACTCTTTGGCCGCACTCTTTCCTCAGGATATCCGTATATGATAGGATTAAGCCGCGTTTGTTTGTACACTTGACATGAAGATGACGCCTCTTCCACCTCGTCGTCGACCGTCATCACTGACGTAGACTCAGTGGACTCTGCGGTTCGAATAATCTCATCTCGAGTTTGTAGATCGAATGCCCAGGAAGGCGTACAAGAAGATTGCGGCGTGGTTGTCTTTTGCTGGCAAGCACTGACAGGCAACCGAAGTCCAACGTGCTTGCCACTGCATTTTTGCTTATTCTGTCCCTGCTAAGAAGTTGAAACGATGATTACGAGTACAGAAACCGGCAAACGAATACACCCCCCGTCTTCTCGTATCATCACGTCTGTGTCTCCAAGAAGACGGCACAAAACTTTAGCACTGGTAGTTGGGGCAACCACAAGAGCCAATTATAGAACTCACGATGACAATTTCTACGCTGCGGGACCAGGTATCCACATTATGTCGTCTTTCCCACTTCGATACCACAGAAGGTCAGACCTTGTGACTTCGACGCCGCAGTCGTTGAGCTTCAGAAAATTCCATTGCAGGTCCGCCACGAAGACAAGACAGTAGCTCTCGTCCTTGCACAACTTATCTTCGGTGTCAACTTCCCTCAAAGTTATAGGCTGAGGGAAGACGAGACACCCCACAGCTTTCTCAATGCCTTCCAGCCCGTCCAATAGGGATCGAGCTTGACACCACCTGCCGTGACAACGGGGATCGACTTGACGTCACAGTAGTGGAAGAAGAATTTGTGCCAAGTTGGGAGAAGGAACCTGGAGTATTGTCGCCTGTTGTCTTTGGGTCTGCGCTCCGGGAGACCTTAAGGCAATTTCAGATGTTGTGAAGCAGCGTGAAGCATTCACAGAAAGCCTACCAGGCATCATTGGGTTCGATGACGAGCCAGTGTGTCTGATCAAAGTTTGTGCAGACAGTAGATCTGAGATCTCAGCCTCGCCACCGCCGCCCTTCACCAGTACCGTCAAGTCGGTTGTGCACGTCGGGGCCGCATGCATGTGTCGGTGAAAACTATTCGATGGCTGTACCTCGGGCCGTAGTTACTGAGGAACACACCATCTGATCCGAAGTTCATGTAGTCACCCTGTCGCACTTGATGCAGTTGCATAAAGCTACCTCTAGTCTCGATCGCGCAACAGGAAACGGAACGGGGGAGCACGCACTGACAAGAAGTCATTCAGCGCAGCAGCAAATCCCTGCCCTTTCCCAAGAGACGGACTCGTCACCAACGTTCTCCGTGTTCCCATCGCCCTTGTCCGCAGTGCCCGCCCGCCGTGGAGTTCGTCGCCCGCTACCAGGTTACTGGACCACTGTTACATATCATGTCGGTGAGTCTATGGGGCTAAGGTATTACTTTTGGTCCTGTGAGATCTCGATGCGCGGTGCTTGCCTCCCGCTTGAGACGGGTTGACTCCGGCGCATGCAATGCCTCTGACGTGTACTACGTTCAAGTTAGTGCCCCATCTCATGATATCGCGCGTCTGCTCATCCATACACGCTGTGATTGTCGTTTCGGTAGGCGGTATTCCAGTACCGTTCTCAAACCAGGAGGTCGAGGGACCATGTAGCTGTATCATACACAGGTTCGAGATATGAGAGAATAGTATGCGACGCACGAACGAGAAAATGCACTTATCACGAACAGCGGGATGTTCTGCAGCACGAGTTATACGTGCAGTTCCCTACAACGAGAATAGCAGTTGATCGTGATACTTGAGACTTGATGCTGGCAATCATAAATCGACGCGCAGTGGAGGTCAGAGGTACGGTCTTCAGATGGCGAGTCCCAAACAAGCGAGGCCAACACCAGCACCATCCGACAGTGTTATACTGGGGATTTCCAATGGAGACTTGCTCTGCCTTGGTGGGGAAGCGACGACAACACAGATATGAAAATTGCAGGGCTGATTCGGACATTCAAGTCCTAATGACTTCACTCCACGTCTGCCAGTGTAGACGGAAAGGTAGTCACCACGGTGTGGGGTAGAGCGCTTTTGCTCGGATTCCTGCTGGCAGCACGCAAGCAGCCACATAGTTGGCTCATGGTACTGAGTTCGATGATACATATCTGAGGTCTTCTTAGCTGTATGCAGAAGATTCAACGACAATGACAAGTAGTGAAAACGGGAACTGAACAGAACATCGAACCAAACATTTTCCCGCTCTCGTTGCATCTCAAGGAGGAATTGTACTGGAGAAATGAGCATTAGTAGTCACAGAAGCCACAAATCAGACTCACAAGAAAAAGTTCTATGCTGAGGGATCATTATGTCCTCGAACATCCCACCTCGATACCACAGAAGGTCCGACTTGGTGACTGCGACGCTACAATCGTTCAGCTCTTTGATGATAGCACGAATATGTTCCTCCGTCGGATTGGACTTCTTCAGGTAATTGATCCGATGCGAGGGCAAGACAGTAAGCTTCTCCATCGAATTATGTGCCTTTGGTGTCGTCTTCTCTCCCAAAATTACATTCTGAGGAAGGGTTAGACACCCTACAGCCTCCTCGAGCGCTTTCCAGTTCCAGCCCATCCAAAAAGGATCGAGCTTGACACCATCTTCCCTGGTAAGGGAAATCGACTTAATTTTACAATAGTTGAAGAAGAATTTGTCCGCAGTTGGCAGAACCCGTAGTATTGTCGTCTGTTATCATTGAGTCTGCGCTCTGGAAGACCTGAAATCGATTCTATATGCTGTAAAGCAGAATGAACTTCCAGAGAAAGCGTATTGTGTCGAAATTGCGTCCGGTGAAGTTCTCCGATCAAAGTTTGCGCAGACAGTAGATTTGAGATCTCAGTGCAGATTCAGATTTACTCAAAGCTTTAGTCCAGAAACACCTTATACAAATCGCAATTATCACATCCATGAACACACCCCGTTTAAGGCCTCCCAGCGCCTTTACAAATTCACATATCCGATGTACTGCCAGTGGTCATGCAAAGGTAGCCTTGCTTGCGAGCGTAAAGTTGATGACGTGGCGTGAGGATGGTTAGTTTTCACCCGTGCACCCTATGGTACTTGGTCCTATGGCCAGTAGAGAAACCAGCGCAACTTTGCTGGCGAAATGCGCAGTATCAGCGTCCTCGTAGCCGTGGACTTGATCATACGTGACATTTGCGTATGTCTCGACAGCAATAATTCGATGGTGGTTCTTCGAGCTACAATGGCTGAGGCGCGTAGCATCTGGCCTGAAGTTGGTGCGCAGGTGTACCTGATGCTAGTTCTGGTTTCCGTCTCGACTGCGACGTGGAAAACGGAAGGGTACGGACAGCAAGAACATGTAGCCGTTCGACGACGCGATGCTTTCCAAAAAAGACGCACTCGTAACCAGCGTTCTCCTATGTGTTTACTTTCTCCTGTTGGCCTGGTTTCGCCTGTAGGTGAAAGTGTTGGATTTGTGGCGTAGCGGGAGAACGACTGTAGCGTAACGTTATTGAGTGGTGAAACAATATTCCGTCGGTGAGTCCACACAAATGAGGCACTTCTTAGCAAGCGATGTATCTTTCTCTGCCGAGGGCACAGGTACGACCTCCGAGCGGCCCGGAACTGTGCTACATTTGCATGCGATGCCAGCCTCTTGCGCGAGACGGTCAAATTGTTACTGCATGCAGCGTCTCTGCCCTGTGATACACCCACGATATTGCGCGCCCCCTCATACACAATCACGCGAGTGAGTGACAATTTTCTGATCGGCTGTAGTCACTTACTCTATTGCTCTTGCTCCGCCTTCAACTACGAGGTTGAGGGGCTATTCTAAGAGCTGTATCCTGCGTAACTTGGGTAAATGTGTTAGTGATGGTCGAGCAAATGCATGCGGCATATTAGTGGATGACCTCGCGCCGACCAGAACAGAGCATTCTGGGCAAACTGCACGTGCAGTCCCCTTGAACGAGACCAATAATTGTTGGCGGTGTTTGAGATGACGATTATGAATGGAAGCACAGTGGAGCAGATGACAACTCACCCACCAGACGATCCTCGCCCAAAGTTCGGCGGCAGCTTTGAAAGCAGAGAGGCATCCCCAGGGTTACACTGGGAATTTCTCAGGAAGTCCGTGGAAAAGCGACAAGTTAAACGTACATACCTCTGGCGTAGTAGCTCGAAGTAAGTGGTGAATCACTTGATTAAATGAGGAGAAATCACGACTTGCAGGACAGGCCGGTGACCGCCGTGTTTGAGGTCTCAATCAAGACGTCCCGCCTTGCGAGCTTCCCTGCGTCAAATTATTCAATATTATTCACCCGAGCGCCTCAGGGTCACGCAGGCGCCGGTGGAGCGAAGACGGCGAGCGCATTCCCATTTCATCCACTCACCTTCGCCCGCTCACTGTCCCGCAGGGTGCCGTCGGCACCTGGCGATGAATTGTGAACGCGTCTTGGGGGACAGCGGATCTGGCTGGGCTTGCTCTAGTATTTTCTGTGGCTTCTTTTCTCTGCAGGAACGGTGCGGGAGCGGGCCCAGAACGGTCCCTGGTCGTCGGAGCATATGAACGTGCAATAACGTCGTCGACGTTAGTACGGGCTGTACGTATTCCTCCATTCAACCGTCACGGCGTACGTAGACAGTGTCGTGGTTTGTAGCCGAAAATTGATTGCACGATGTTCCAAGTGGTCTGGGCGGGTGTGGGCTGCATTTTTTCGGGCTACAGTAAGTGACGGATGACTCATCGATATCCACACTTTCAAAACAGAAGTTAGGGGCGCAGCAGTATTTGTAGGCGTCGCGACGTCCACAGCTCCCAAGGAAAACACCGCTGCCATAGCTGGAAGGAAGCCACATATAATGAACGTCAACGGGTGCGGAAATTGCGGCGTGTATTTGAAATGTGTGTCCTTTCCAAGGCGGGTGGAGTGCCGCGACGCGACCGCGTCTGAAACAAGGGGAACGTGAGCCAACCGATATTCCTATCATACGACGGAGACCCAGGGACACACCGCGCGAAAATTGGGGTTGGCGAATGGCTCCGCCTGGGCTCGCGTAGCGTCAGTCATGCTGCTCATGCAGGCTTGTCGCAGCACAGACAACGTATAAAAGGCGGGGGAAGGACCTACAGACCCCAGCCCAACGCACTCGTCGTTCAGCACTTCCACCGAACTCCCATCCACCGTTTGAAAAAACCACTTACTCGCAATGTTCTCCCGCATCGCCACCTTCACCGCGGTCCTCGCGCTCCCCTTCCTTGCTGTCGCAAGCCCCACCGGCCAGACCGACCAGTGCAACGTCGGATCGCTCCAGTGTTGCAATAGCGTTATCTCGGTGAGCCTACTGCCGAACTGCGTCCGCCACTGAACCTTGACGACGTGCTCCACAGCCCAACTCAACAGAGGGCTTGGGGCTCTTGGGTCTCATCGGTGTCGCCGTCGGGTCCGTCACGGGCAGCTTGGGTGTTACTTGCTCGCCCATCACCGTCATCGGAGTTTTGGGCGGCAGCAGCTGCGAGGCCAACCCTGTCTGCTGCACAGATAACAGCTACGTGAGTGTCGGCGTGTGTGCAGTGGTGTTCTGATCTTCTGATGAGGTGGGGTGTCACAGGGCAACTTGGTTTCCCTCGGCTGCATCCCAGTTTCTCTTTGAGCGTTGGAGAGGTGGGTTTCGTGGAGGTACATAACCTGAGTACTTGGAAAGGATGCTGAGCAAGATCTGATTGCAGTGGAGGATTGGTAGCATACACATTATCAATACACCTAGTCCTCGAGAAAATAGTAGTGCGTCCGTTAACGTTAAAGGCGAGGTCCCAAAGTCTGAGTAAGCGAGTACGTTAATTTCCACACGTCAAGAAGTGACGCGCGAATGGACGCGTGACGTCTTTCTCACGTGCAGGTCGCGTCAGCGTGACACTCAGTAAAGTTCGAATCGCACATGTCATCTTGAAAAGGTTTCCCTCAAGCCCGGACGCCACGTAAGGAGAAAATCAGGCCTGGGTGAGTACGGTGAGTAGTCGCATTTTGAATATGCTATCTTGAAACTCGTCATAACTCCCTGTGCACTGTATCCTTTGGAAAAGCTCGTTGTCGACACCCTGGAAGAACCGCAGTCACGCAGTTCACGTTGGTTCCAGGAAGCCCTCAGCATTACGAATTCGCTTGTAGTCATCGTTCACCACAACTGAATATGTAGCAGAATGCGGCGTCAGTTCGGGCTAGTTGGCTGTGCCCGAAGCGAATTGGGATGGCAATTTATGAGGAACAGTGTCTGGCTGTCAGAGCAGTGTCAGAGCGCGCTAACCGTACTCCCACTCGCTGACAGAATTTGGACGCTCCTTCCCTCTCTCCTGTTCTTTTGGCTGGCGTTATTTGATTCCTCAGGCTCAAGTCATAATTACAGGTAGGTTATTTTCGTGTCTCGAATGCCGTGAGGTTATGGCAGCTGGGTAGGTAGAGGGCTGTTCCTCCATATGATTTTTCACTAATCTCAGGTTCGATGCAAATCTGTCGATCGCGATCATCCATGGCCAATTTTGGCATGCAGACTGCCCAGTTCGGCAGGAAGCTTGGAAGAATGTCACCTGCAAAGTTTCTTACTTTCAAACCGTTAAGATCCCGAGCTGGATCTAGATTTTCCCAGCTTTCGGCGACGTGACCTCCGACACAGAACGGCGTATGTTGAGTTTGAATATTTCTTACTCAGGACACGGCACAGTCTGTGGTATATAACAGCGTCCCTTGAAGAAAATCCTTCGTTCTGTCTCTTCCTCCCACCCACCACCTAGCTCTTCGCTCTCGCAAGGTCACCCGCATCCCGTCCTTCTCGCCACCATGCGTTTCACCGCCGACAGCTCTTCCCTTGCGGTCTACGCCCTCACGCTCCTTTCCCTCCCCGCAGTCCTCGCTCTTCCCCCTCACGGCATTGCGACGCGTACACGGCACGGCCAGACTTCCCGCGACATTCTTGACCTCGATACGTCCTTGTCTCTGGATACTCTCGGCGTCGATGTCGCGCTGCCTGATGTGGATGTTGTCGCGCGCCGCCACCTTGTTGACACTGATACCTCATTGTCTCTTGACACCCTCGGCATCGACGTCTCGATACCTCCCTCAAATGCTATCGCCCTTCGCCAATATCACGCGCGCCGTGGTCTCTCAGATACTTGCGCATATGTCGACCTCAGCGTCCTCAGTCTCGGCATCCTTCCCGTGGACCTCAATCTCGACCTATGCTTGTGCATCGGCTTGCTCCCGTCGTTGGTCACCCTCGACGCGACGTTGGAGGCACTCGTCGACCTTTTCGGTCTTGATGAGATCATCGCGAAACTTACCGTCGTGGTACGTCTGCCTCCATACGTTTCGTTCGTGTCGCTCACCGAAAGCGTATTGGCATTGATAGATCAATGGCTGTCCCAATGCTCAGCAGTGCCACTACCCGGACCATTCTCAGGCCATCTGTACAGAAGGCAATCCTTGTGGATTCCAGTGCGAAGCGCCTTACGTCGTAGAGGGCGACGAATGTGTCTGCCCTGCGCCGCTGACGTCCTGCAACGGAGTCTGCGGTTCGTTCCCGCACGTAAGCATTCTTCCCTCATACATTTGGCCTTCTCCTGATCATTCTGCTCATAACTTGGATCTCTGACGACTGACGTACCATCGTATGTTGTTTGCTCACGACTCTATTTTTCAGGGTTGCGGGTCGGCTGTTCCTCGCGCTCTCAATGCTAGATCTGACTCCCGCATGCAAAAACGTGTCGTCAACGCTGACAAGGTTCTTACTCTGGCCAAGGCGCAGCTGACATGCAAGCAAAACGAAACGGTAAATTTTATCAATTATCTCCCAATTGGGTCACCCATATATTACTGTACGCTAGGTCTGCGGTGTGTACGGCGGTTCTTCCAGGGCATTTGAGTGCCTGGACGTGAACACTCATGTCGAGAGTTGTACGTGTCCAATATTTTCACTGCAAGCTCATGTGTCTTAGTTTGTCGTAACAGGCGGCGGGTGCGCTGTGCCTCCCCCCTTCCTTCCTTACGACGCTTCCACGGGAAGCGACTGTACTGCGATCGCCGGTGCCGAAAGCGTCTCGTGCGTCGCCGGACAATGTGCGGTTATTAACTGCAGGGAGGGTTGGGAGCCCAGCATGGCTGGCGAGGAGTGTATCAAGATTCCGAGGGGGCGTGCCAGTCCCTTGCCTCAGGCTACGGGTGTAATCGCTGAGGTCCTCCGCCCGCAAGGCTACATATCGGTCATGGACACGCTGCGTGCTGCGTTGGATCTCGGCCGTCTGGCTGGCGCTGCCTGGGACTTCGTCTTCGTCCGTATTCCGTAGATTGGTGCGCGCGCTGAGGGCGATTTTGAACACTTCAACCGAAACCTTACCCTCCTTCGGGCCCTCCACTCCTTTCGCAGGCGTTCTCGTTTTCTCGGGCTGTACTTCGCTGTCGTTCTTTAGTCTGTTGTCTGTCCGTGGACTTCCCTTCTTTATGACCGTGCATGTGTTTTCGATCCTCACCATTGGACTTGTTCAGTGTAGTACCATACACTATCGTACCACGTGGGGCAATGTCAGTAGAGTAAAGCTTGTAGATAAACGTAGCTAGCTGTATTTGTTGTAATTCTGTCCAGTTTAGAGTTTTGAAGTTTGGCTCACGTTTGCCCAAGAAGTACTAGTGTTTGATTTCGCCAATGGGTTGCGGCCCGGTATCTCCGGTGTGACAGACTCTAAGAGACTCTAAGGCGCTCTCAGGCATCCACGTACGTAGTCTCCCAAAGGCAGTGTAGCTACTCTGCTTCAACCTTCGTACCTCAGGATATCCGTATCTGATCCATGGTCTCTTTCACCTCCACGTTGTATCCTAGTCTAGGACCATGCACTACGTATCCTCTGAGTACGCCCCAAGGGAACATCGAAGTGGCGTTGCCGTTGACAGGCTGTCACGGCATCCCTTGCATTTGTAGCATGTCGAAGTTCGATATTGTCGTCTGAGAGGACGAGGTTGAACTGACATGTTGCGCCTACACGCTCAATTCTCGCCGTATGTGCGATATATTGTCCTCGCTATCCCGTGTGTTCATTGGAACTCTTGCCCACCACGAAATCTGACCCACGAGGTAGTCCCCAGAGGGCAGTTGCTCATAATTTCAGCCTCTATTAGAAAGGAATGACTGTCTTCCGCTAACTCGAGGCTGTATCTATCTAAATACTGGTCTCTGATAACTCAGTCGCGAGAATATTATGGTGTAATAACTGGCGGACGATGGTGGCGAGATGTCTCCCTTTTTCTGACAATCTTCTGATGATGTTGTATAACTCAGGTGAATGTCATGCATAGTGCATTTGCTGCTCTCAGCGGCATGACCTCAAACTCGCACACCATGGTAACAGAACCGCTGGCGTTGTTCCCATACTAATGTCCCTCTGGGTGGAACGGAAAAGCGAGCAACAGATCGACTCCCACCATGGAGATCACGTTCCCGAAAGTTACCACTTCCGCCGTGGGGCGATTTCTACGAAGGCTTGAGCGGAGGGGCACACAGCGGCTCTTATTTTTCCTCAAGCCACTGTTTCTCTACTTCTGGTATCTAGTCTTCCGTCGAGCGGTGTAGCTGTACCGCTTCTTTCCGTGTTGATTGACCCAGTCATGCAGTTGCTTCAGGGCCTCATCCCTGTGCTATTCCTCCGGCGCGTCCCGCTCTTGCTGCAGCCCGCGAGTCGGCTATTTTTGTTGCGAACATTCTTCATCGCGTGTATCTCACCGTGTTGCTCGCGTTCTCAAGCCCCGTATAGTTGTTGGCTCGTACTCTTAATATCATCTGCCGTTTGTTTGAAGTGATGTCGGCGCACTCGCATGCATACTATACCTGCCGGTACGTGTATTCTCTGTCAGAAGTTACCGGTTACTTCCACGCGTTCTCCAGAAATTGGCGCACCAATCTATCGGTGCAATTTGGTGCACCAGTCAATGTCGTCCTCTCTGGCATGATTTCGAGTTGCCAGGAACCCTGTCAAATGAACAGTTGCTCCTGCTGAGGTCCTCCAGGATGCGCTATGCGAACCGGCGCATTGAACTCGCTCGGCTGCCGTTGTGATCACGGGCGAAGAGAAGCGCTTGAAGGCAGTTTTCATTGTGAGGCTAGCTTCGCGGAGACCATTGATAACAAATTACTTCGGGGTTCTCTGTCCAGCGTTGCGGAACAGCTCGTCCCGCTCCAGGAACGTCCAACTCCTTCCTTGGCTGATACAGCGGGTAGCCCCTTACCCATGCGGGTGGGGTTACAACGCTCTCAGAGACGTATTCTTCGAGGTTCACCATTACAGTCTAGCAGTCCCGGGCGTGCATTCCTTTCCGTTTGTACTGGCAGTCGTTGGATTGGATTTAGAATCTCTGCAAACTGGCCGTTGGTAAGTCAGAGGCTGCATCTTCTGCGCTGACTTACTGAGTACTGGAAATCGAACAAACAGTCCCTTCTAGATATTCGTAAAGACGACGCAGATAGGCATGTCAGTGGGTACGGGTCGATTGGTGCACCTACTGGAGATCCTGCCTAAAAACGAATCCTGTTGCCAGCGGAAGGGTGAACGATGTGTGGATCGTTGTTAACGTCCGCACCCAAGACTATTGCTTACTGCTTTACGCCCTACGCGGCTTCCAAAAAAAATTAAAATTCTGAGTTCGAGTGTAACTTCTTTTAATATCCGTATTCGCTGGTCAAAGATGAAAAATTGAAAAACTCAAACGATCGTCTGTGATGTTCTTCCGGCTCATTTGCACCCGTTCTCTGAGTTAGAAACAGCGTTTCCGTCTTTGCTATGTCATGGGAGTAACACTTCAGTCTCACGGCACAAGAACCAAGTCATGAAAGCTTCTACTTATGTCCAAAACACAACGAACAGGGAGTGAGGTATCCGCAACTTCGAGGCGTTCCTAGCTCGACCTATCACTGATGGGCTAGCGCGCAGGCCGTAATGTCAGAAAACATTGCGCTCGTAACCCCGCGAATAAACTCACTATCAAGAGAGGCGAAGGGACTTGTTCTCGTACCCTTCCCACTTTCCGAGATCGTCATCCACGTCAAGCACTCGGGTGACGTAGAATATGTGCGCGGTGGGTTTCACCACGCCCCAATCTTTGATCTTCCCATCCTCACCCCGCTCTAGGTGCGGACCCCATATGCTCCAATTGTCCGTCTGTGCGTTGTGCCCCGCAACACATACGCCGCATTGCTTGCAGCGCCAGCGCGTCTTCCAGGGCTTGTTCTCGATCGTGTAGGACTCTAACTGAGCACCGTGGGGCGGGGGGTGGGTCCAGCTGAACGCGTCAAATTCGACGTGCACGGTGTGTATGAACGGGCATCCTAACTGACACGTCAGTAAGTCCCGTTCAAGAGAACAATCCGTGCCGAAATCCTTCTGGCGCGGTACCACACCCTTGCCACACCCAGTGAGATGTGTATTGTAACTTACCGGACAAACGTTGACAGTTGATGCAATGGCAATATGCGCTGAGAACTGGACCACCAGCCACAGAATACGACACCGAGCCACAATAGCAAGATCCCTTCAATAACGTTTCAGGCATCGAGAATAACGAGAATACAATAGCCCGCGCTATGCACTGGTAGTGTTGCCGCTGAGTTGAGTTCAACTCGGTAACATCATGGAATCACCGAGTTGAACCAGTCCTGGATCCTGATTGGCCCGCACTCAACACGAGGATCACTAGCGCTCAGCGCTCAACCCCGGGCGGTGCCGCCATCGGGCCGCTTGCTGGGGCTTACCTACATCCGGATCCTGTAAGAATACATCCTCAGCGAATGCGACAAAGGCGAAATCGGTATTGACAAATGGTCAAGGTGAACTCAGTACACCTCACCGCATTCATCATATTTCTGAGCGTGGTGGTGGGGGTTCATTCACCTCGACCCAAACACGCGGCAAACCCATGATATCGATCGGGTGAGGAAAGTCATATATATGGGGATATACCTGATGCGAATGGCACAGGGGATACACATCTTGGCACAACCCGTTGCTAGACGAGGCCGAACGCACTGTCACGTCTCGTCCGGGGGCAGTGCAAGTTTTCGCAAGGCGCTGCTCTTGGCCGGCGGCAAATGAGGGTATCTGGTTTCCCTGCCTCACTGCTTTCAGGAAGCACTGTTCCCCCTTGACCAGCATTTTGATGCGCATGGCTATATAACGCTTGCTGTCGCACGGGCTGCGCATCTCTTCGACTTTCACCATCCGCACCCCCTTGTTCTCTTCCAGCATGTCAAGACACTTCTGTTTCTGCATCCCCGTGAGGGCTGGCGTGTTCATCTTCTCCTTCTTCTCTTTCCTCCTCACGGCGGCTGTAGCTGCGTTAGCGTGGTACGCCACGTACAGTGCGTCTTCTATCTCTCAAGTTGCTTGAAGTCTGACCACCACTCGCGACGCAGAGGTGCACCATAACCCTGGAACGAACGTGACCGAAGCTGGGAAGATCATCGTAATCGTAGTCGGGAGTGTCTTCACATTGATGGCTCTCATCTCGCTATTTGGGTGCGTCCTGGTGCCGTGTCTCACCAGGCCGAACGCCCTCTAACCCAGTGCATGCAGCTTTATGGGCTCCGTCACACGAAATCGCCGCTTCGTGAAAGCGTATTCGGCGATGTCGTGGATTCTCTTCATCCTATCACTCGTCTCCGCGGGCTTCTTCCTCTACATCGTATACGCCGGCAAGGCGCTCGTCCACAACTGCGTCTCCATCGACTCGCAGGGGAATGTTAACACGAACGTCAACTGCGACTTCCACTTCTCCACCGCGGTGAAGATCGCCGTCACGGTGATCGTCTTCCTGGAGGTGCTCATCCATCTCTGTGCGTGCATCCGTAATCCGCGTGTAGGGACCGTGCTGATGATGTTCTTCGCCTGCAGACATCGTCGTGGTGATCCGGCGCTATGTGGAGCAGCTCGATGACTCTGCCTGGAAGGGCCAGTACTCCCTGACCACCACCGACGTCCGGCAGGGGCTGCTTAACCCTGTCTCGGGCCCATATCCGTACTCGGATGCGCACAATGCATACGGCCATGCATAATTTCCTACCGAGGCGCGCTGATGATGGCTTGTGATCCTTGGTATGATGATTCCCTAGGAAAACGAACACGCGTTCGCGGGTCGGATAGACCATCCATTGTGGTGAATATACATATAATTTATATCATGGACTACTGCTTTGTGTAATTTCTTGTGCAACCGTAATCTTACCCAGTACAGCTCGTGCAGTTGGTAAGCGTCCTCTGCCATGGTCGTCTTTCAGAGTGTTCGACATCATGTCACCAAGATCCTGACAAAATGAACGATCAACAAGCGGTGGACGCGAGACTGCAGAGGTTAACGGATCTCAGACGGTTGGTCCACTGGTCTGATTTTCACTACACACTATGGCAGGGACGTGCTTTTGAGCCGGGCGAAATATCTGTCGCTGGCTGTGGGCTCCGAGTCTGGCTAAACATCTGAGGGTGACTCATGTTTCGCCATGCTTGTCAGTGGGCAGAAACTCTGGCTGACAAGGAGGTCTGTTCTCCGTCGTTTTCAAGAGATAGGTGATCAAGGAGCCCGACCAGACACATCCCAGAAGCGTCTCCTCAGCGCCCACGAAGCTCCAAGAGCATGAAATAACCAGAGAACATCATGATCCGGGATGTTTCTGACCGGTGCCGGCGCCTGATGAACAAATCTCGTCGAATGCATACGACATATAATAGAAGCACACCTTCCACAGCATTCTGGCGAAACAATATCGCGGAGTGCTAGATAAACAAGACCGCCTGCGCCTCGCTGCATACTACACCCGGATCCTGGTAGGTTGAATGGACCGAAAATGGAGCTCGAAGGGCAACAGTCGAAGTGCATGTGAAGCACTGGTATCGGTCTCTGCCAATAATTAAATAGGGTGCTTCCTCGACCCACCTAATCAGATCTGTCAAGCCAAAGGACAAAATCCGAGCGTCCTTAGCACAGGCCCCGGCCCATTCTATTCTTGAAATGCACCATTACGACGACGACGAGATGGCATTGAAGGTTGCTGTTGCGCTGAGATGAGCGCTGAACCTCTGTCCGGCTCTAAACATAGGAAGCTAGCAATCCACACAAGCTTTAGTTAGGAGCCGCCAAATTCAGGAGAGCGCAGTGAGCGCCGCAGCCACGCAGACGCAAAGGCGGTGCTTGCGCAGTGGAAGAAAACAGGACAGATGGCGTATTGTGTGCACCCGGCACAGCAGAGGGAGAACTGGCGATGTCGAGGCCTCGAATGTGGTTGAATGATGCAGTGCAGCCAGCCGAGGGCGTGTATAAATCGATATCATACCTGAAACCGCGAAGACGCTACTTGATCTGCCGCGCCCCTGCCTTCGGGCTCATCGTATCTTCTGCTCGCCCCCACTTGTTGGCGCCCGAGTCCCGAACGTTTGCCCGACCCCCCACGTTATAACCTCTCCCGACATCCTCGCTGGCCGTGCACGACCTATTTTTCACGACTTGAGCTTGATCGCGACCAGGAATGTCGAAGCACTTCTGTTTCTGTATCCCTGTACGAGCTGCGGTCTTCGTCTTCTCCTTCCTCTCCTTCCTAGCCACCGCTATCGTTGCAGCGTTGGCATGGTACGTCACATATGGTGCGTCGCCTCTCTTGCTGTATCGACTTTGGTTCAGTGGTACAATGACTCTGCAGAGGTCGACCACGGTAAGCACCCCAATGGCGACTTCGAGAACGTCACGAATTCCGCGAAGATTATCATCATCGTGGTCGGGTCCTTATTCACTCTCATGTCGCTCATGTCGCTGTTCGGGTGCGTATGCTTTAGTCCAGTTCTCCTGCTCCTTCTCACAGTTTGCATGCTGTGGTGCGTAGGTTCATCGGCTCCATAACGCGCAACCGGCGATTCGTGGAGTCGTACTCGAGCCTGCTCTGGGTGATATTTTTCCTGTCGCTCGGCTCATCGGTGCTCTTCCTTTACTTCGTCTACTCGGGCAAGAACCTCAGTGGCTCCATCGAGCACTCGACGTGGATCAAGATTGTCGTCACCGTGATGGTGATCGTTGAGCTGGTGCTCCACCTATGTCAGTATCTCCCCCATATGAGTTGTGAATCGATCACTGACCTCGTGTGTGCGTCGCAGACATCGTGATCGTCGTCAGACGCTACGTCGAGCAGCTACGGGATGAGGACGCGTGGCAGGGCCCGTACAAGCTCACCACGACGGATGTGAACCAGGGCCTCATGAACCCACAGGGCCCGTCGTACCCCTACTCAGATCCCTCCCACTCGTATGGCAACGTGTGAGCTGCCTGCGTGTCCCCGGTTGGATATATGCGTCTTTTACGAAAACGCGAGACTCGGTGCGGGGACCGCGTGGAGGGTGGAGGGGTTACAGATGAGACAGCGGAGGATGATGAGTTGGTTGGTGGGTGGTGGAAGTGGGTTGTCTCTGCACCTCGTCGTTGCATGCTGCTTATATATTGCTGCTATTTGTCTTTATATATCCCTTCACATCTATTCGGATAACTAATTTGTGGAACGTCTACTTGATCGCGACATGTACGAGAGCGAAGGTATTATGGGCGTCAGTTATCGATGATGATCTCATATGCTCACGTGCACGCGTCGGTGAGCGCGTCCGAACGCGATGCGATGGTCTGACTCAGTCCACTGTCTATCGCCTTCCCTTTAGCTATTTAACAGGCCAGCGACACTTAGGCTAGGCCCAGAGATATATGCGTGTGCTGCTACCGTCATCTGGTGCCCGGACGGCGAATATTCGCACAAGTCGAGCGTTACAGAGGGCCTTCCTCACTCGGCAGGCAGGTCAGCCCGTCCATCTCCGTTATGCCAAGCTTGTTCCAAAGAACGGCGACGATGAAAGTTACCCATTAGTAATTCTCCATGGCCTGTTGTACGTGCGAGACCACTCCCGTCGGATAGATGTCTAAACGGCACGATTGCTCAGCGGCACGAAGCAGCACTGGCTGTCTCTGTCCAAGGCGTTCTTGAGAGACTTGCGCAGGCCTATTTATTCGTTAGTGAGTAGTCGGCAGCGTTAAGTATCCCGGAACGGATGTCTTGAATTTTACTGAAGGATCTGCGAAATCATGGATCGTCACCGCATGCTGCACCGATGACCTATGCGCATATGGCGGACGACGTTGTGCAATTCTGCAAAGAACATTCACTCGCGAGGATCTCTCTCCTCGGCCATTCGATGTGGGTGTGTTTGCCGTATACTCTCCGTCCGATACTGTGATTCTGAGCTCCATCAGGGGAGGAAAAATAGCGATGACCGTCGCACTCAGCCCTGAGACTCCGCCAGACCTACTTAGACACCTGATCGTCGCCGACATCGCGCCTTCCAGAGGAGCCCTGTCCCCTGAGTTCAGCGACTACGTCATAGCCATGCAGACAATCGAAGAGCGCAAGGTGACCTCTCGCAAAGAGGCGCAAGACATCCTCTCAGAGTATGAAAAGGTCCTGCTAATGCGTATTTCTCAAAAGTTCGATCCTGACGGTGTAACAACCAGGACCCAATGATACGTGCCTTCCTCTTGATGAACTTGATCGAGTCACACGGAGTGATGAAGTTCCGGATACCTCTGGACATCATCAGCCAAAGTATATCGGAACTTGGCTCCTTCCCGTATGAGCCGGGCGAGCGACAATGGAATGGTCCCACATTGTTCATCAGAGGCAACCAGAGCAAGTTAGTCTGCAACCGTGCATCCGCTCGTCCGGGTTCTCACTGTTAACACACAGCTATATTAACGAGAAAAATATCCCCATTGCTAAAGGGTTCTTCCCTCGCATGGTGCTCAAGGCCCTAGATGCCGGCCATTGGGGTAGGTTGACATGTCTCTTCCCCCTTCGTCACTCACTGCTCTCTGTAGTTCAAGCAGAGAAGTAAGCTGGATGTTGTACGCGCCGTGCATCCGTACTGAATTCCACGATAGGCCGAACGAGTTCAAGGAATTCGTTACCGACTTCATTAAGAACGAGGGATGATAGAGATCTGGACGCGACGTAAATGCAAGGTACAGGGTACCCACTGCTGCGTCCAAGAATATAGTGACTACAAGCGAGCGCCAGCTTTTCGAGCATTGCTCTTGTTATTTCTCGTGACTCGGTGATGAAGTGGGTGAATAACGTTCTGGCGATATTTCTTCCTCCGACAGTAGCTGCTCTGGACAGGGAGTGGGAGTCCACAGGCGGTTGATGACTGGTTTGGATACTCGTCCTTCCTTCTGCGCGCATGTCGTGATCATTTGTGTAATGGTAGTTACGAGTACCACGACAGCGGCCTGAAGTTTCCTGAGCGCGAACACGGCATAGGATGGTCACCAGCCTATAGAGGTGTTCGCCATCGGCTATCGCAGCCGATGGTGAACACCTCGGCTACCGTCGCTTACTACCAACCTACCACCTCGTCTAAGTCTCCAATTTACAGTAAGTCTCGTATCGGGTTCACACTTGACCGTCCTAGCAGACCCTCTGAGTAATACCTTCATGTGCGAACAGTTCTGAAGAACGACCTAAGAGTGGTAGCTTTCTGGTGAGCCCGAGTTACTTACATTACTTAGTTTGCTCGACTGAACAGTATCAATACCGCGTCTGTGTAGTGCTCAGACTCGCTCTGGTGGAGGACATGCTGGATCTCTCAGAACGGGTCATTGTAGATCAGTCGAAGCTCGGATATAAGGAAGCTTGCGAATCGAAAGTAACTTTGTCACGGCAGGCGCAATTTGAACGGAGAAATGCGCTGTTCGAGGAAGTTGGAATCCAGAAATGGTTCGAAGATAATAGCATTCCATATGATACTCAACCCAAGATGAAGTGTTCGGGGAAGGATTACCTTACAGCCAGGTGAGTCTAACGCTTCTAAAGTTCCGTGATTTACTGGCTAATGTATCCGGAAGTAATGTATCTCAGAACCAACTAGAGCAAGTGTACAACTGGACGTTCTCCAAGGGACGCGTTGGTGAATCAGTGCCCTTGAGACACGTTACGCGCCATGCTGTGAAAATTCTAATAGGGGAAACGAGTGCTGCTAACAGCAGCACCATCAAGATACCGGACGCCTGGCTCGCAGTAAGACATATTATTATTTCGTCTGCATTTATTGAAACTACGCACCAGAATAGACAGGTCCAAATTAATGAGGCAAGCCCCTTCCGAATGCTCCGTAAAACCCTGCTCCTCTACCTGGAGTACGCCAACGAGGAACATATCAAGTATAGGGAAGGTTTAGACGAAGCCCCGACTCCTCTCTTTGATCTCTCGGGCGACCGGAAGACCGGCGCGGAGTCAATTCTAGATCTGTCCCTTTATGATTCGGAAAACGTGCATTCTTCTGGAGCCCTAAGCATAGAGTGTGCGATGTTGAAGCTTTTTGGATACCCCGGCACTCTGAAGACAATCTCAGAGATGGATGTAGAGCGTCACATTGGTCCTATTCTCTCAGGAATATTCAACATTCCAGGATGTGCTGGGCTTTCGTGAGTCGCCTACTTTACAGACTGCTCCAGCTCCTTCAAACACACCACAGATCGACTATTCTGAAATATCCTACGATATTGAGTTGTTTTGATTCCTACCCGCGGCCCGACCATGCCTGTCAGATTTCAGCTGAACGACTACCAGGGATCAAGTTTTGTCGTCCCCTTGTACTCGCAGGGGAGGCCAGAAGGCCGCAAAGCCGAGTACCGCAAGTTGAAGATACTCCCTCAGGCAGTGCCAGCAATTCGCGGGTAAAGTTTCCGCGGCCAGCATCACAGCTTGCTTGGGCATTCCAGCCCACGCTGGAGCTGTTCATCATGGATCTAGTGACCAAATACCGAAATCCGGGTGGAAAGACTTGGAAGAAAGAATGGGATGTGCGTCTACTATGTCTCACGATGCTGCTATCTTTGTCTAACATTTGTGCCATCCACAGCCACTGGCAAATGCAGCGATCCCCAGTCACATGGTTGTGTTTGGCATCGTATACGACACGGACGGCATCATCTTCTATTTCTATTCGCCCACCTACAAGGTTTCGGACGGTAAGGTGAAGTGGGGGTTTGAATGCGGGCAGGTTTCAACTGAATATGACGATTGCTTCCATGGTGACTATGCAGTATACAAGCGAGCGCTACTGTTTCGAGCATTGCTCGCTGCCGTTACTTGGAGTGACCAGTTGGCGACGACGTGGGCTAACAATCTGTCACTTCCTCCGATAGTAGCTGCTCTGGACAGGGAGTGGGAGTCCGTAGACTTTTGATGAATGGTTTGAATACTCTGCAGGTCACGATCATTCATGTAATAGTAGTTATGAGTACCACGACAACAGCCTAAGCAGTCATAGTGACTGCGCTACCGGCTGGTAGCCGATGGTGAGTACTTCGGCTATCGTCACTTACTCGCCATCTACCACCTCCCCAATTTACTGATCAGTGGCAGTAAGTCTCAGACTCGGTTCTCCCTTTACCGTTCTATGTTTCTGTGTGCCAAAATTTCTGAAGAACGACCTCAGCGTTACGGTGAGTTACTTACATTAATTAACCTCGCTCGACTGAACAACGCGAACAGCGCTCCCCTGCACGTTGAGACTCACTCAAGTGAGGACATGCCCGCTTTCCCGGAGCGGGTCATTGTAGATCAGTCGAAGCTCGGATACAAGGAACCTTCTGAATCGAAAGCAACTTTGTCACGGGAGGCCCAATTTGAACGGAGAAATGCACTTTTCATGGAAATCCAGAAATGGTTCGAAGACGGTGGTATCCCATATAATACGAAACCGAGGAGGAAGGCTCCTCGGAATTCGAATACTTACTCCTCAGCCAGGTTAGTCGAATGTTTTTCACATTCGTGATGGAATCACGAGCAAATACATCCGAAAGCAATGTATCTCAAGGTGTATTGGAGGTGTCCCGTTGGAGATTCTACGACAGTCACTTGGGTGCCCCCAGTGGAGGGGCCAGGCGACGCGTCACGCAGTATACTGACAAAGTCTCACAAACTCAAATAGCGTTGCCCGCAGCGGCACAATCAAGATACCGAAAACGTGGCTGCCGGTAAGTTATATTGCTATGCTGTCTGCGTTAATTGACACCTATGCGTCCAGGATTCAAACGTTGAAACGAGCCCGTTCCAACTTCTCCGTCAATCCTTACTTCTCTACCTAGAGTGCGCCAACGAGGAACATGCCAAGCTCGAGCCATCCGAACCTGCACTCGTTGATCTCACATCCGACTCGAACCCAAGCCCAAATCCAGTGCTGAACCTGAGTCTTGATGATCCGGACAACCAGCATTCCGCTGGAGCTCTAAAAATGGAGTGGACCGTGTTAAAGCTTCTCGCATTCCCTGGCACTCAGGACATAATATCGGAGATAGACATAGAACGTCACATTGGCTCAATTCTTTCAGGAATATTCAATATTCGAGGATGCACTTCGCTTTCGTGAGTCGTATACTTTAGTTTTTACCAACGGCATCGGTCTCCTGATAGGGTACGCACCAAAGGTCCGCCGCTCTCAAATACCCAACTATATTAGGTTGATTTGGCTCCTACCCACCACTTGACTCTGCCTTTCGTGACAAACATGTGGTTTACGAGTGAGCGCTCCTTCGAGCATTGCTCGCTGTCGTTGATTCGAGCGACCAGTTGGCAAGGGAGAGGGCAAACAATCTGTCGCTTCCTCCTATAGTAGTCGCTCTAGACAAATGATGGTCTGTAGCCTTTTGACAACTGGTTTGAATGCTCATCCAGCTTCTCCCTCTTCTGTTGCTCTACGGTTTCAGGTATTCTTTCTCGGACTATACAGTCTTTCAACGCAGTGACTGGCTTCAGAGAACATCTAGCTCCGCTCCTGCGTGATATTGCTCGAACAAAGAGACCGCTTTCACCCGATATACTTCACTGCATAGTCGCTCTGCCTTTACTGCTCCACCTCTTCTCATCCGATATGTTTCACTGTGTAGTTGCTTTACGTTTCCTGCTCCGCCTCATCTGTATCCTCCGGCGCCGTGATCGCCGCCTGCTCCCCTGGACCCTTGTCGGCAGGGCGCGCCTAATCTTCCACCGACGGTGGCTGCGCCATGCGCTCGTCCGTGTCGTCCTTGGGTACCTGGTGCGCAGCATCGTCCCCCTGATCCACCTTCTTGAAGGGGTCCTCCTGCAAGACCAGGAAACACTGAGCATCGTTTCCCGGGTATATGCGTGCAAATGCAGACTCACAGCGTTGTCCTGCTCCTTCTCACGCTGCTTCAGCATGCCGGTACGCAAGTCGCGGCCGTGCTGCGCGACGTCCGGCTTCCGAAGGACCTTCCCCTTCGCCTCCTCGAAGAGGCCTTGGAACTTGTCGCCAGGTCCCTGGTCCGAGTGCGCATCAGCATACTGCAGAGAACGAGGAAGCCAGAAAAGGTAGAGGTCAATGCGTACCGCGCCCTTGCCATACTCAGGCCCGTACCCGACCGCACCTGCATGTCTCTGCTCGGGATACCCGTTATCCGGCGCAGGTGGTGCGTTCGAAGCGGGCGCGGGTGACGCCTGCGTCCCGTTCATATCCTGTACTTCTGTCGCAGACATTGAATATCGAGATTATTATAATCGTGGTAAGCAGTGGGAAGGTCGTTATGGCTTGTGGTAACCAGCTTTCAACCGCTGTAGCCATTTATACCTGGCGATTCGGGACGTGACCGTCGGTTGGATGCCGCACTTGCGCAACGAATTAGTGACGTCACGGTCTGATAATGTCAACGGGTGACGTCATGGCCATCACTGCACTTTCCAAACCGGGAATATGGATAACTACATAATAATTTGTAGTTTGATATCTCAGCCGCGACGTTCCCAAATCCTGTAGGAAACGAGTTCAGGTTTAGTCGATAGGACCCTGAACTAGGTGTACTCGATTCAAATCTCGCATGTCTCGGTAAGTTGTAGCCGCTCGTTGGAGAGCATTTGCCGCTGCCAACATTGGGGTTCGTAGGCCCACACTCCAATGCTCAGAGACATCTGCGTTTGATCCCAGCTACACACTCACGCGGCCTGCGAACGATGTTGTCCTCCACTTCGAGCTACACAGAGTCCGCCATCAGAAAGGGCGCGCAATCACAGTCAGTTGTGGAATAATTCCAGACTCACCATCTGGCCTGGCTCGATTACAGTGTTGTAGCGGCGGAAGATGTTAGCGACGCACAGAGTCATTTCCACCATAGCAATGTTGCGCCCGATGCACGCACTATCACGCGGAAATCAGATGCATAGCGCTGAGAAGGGACCAGCACCGAACATACCGCGGCCCAACAGAGAACGGGGTGAACGCCTTCATCATCTCACTCCTCCGCTCGGCGTCCAACCAGCGCTCAGGGTAGAATTCATCGACGTTGGGGCCCCACACCTCGTTGGAGTGGTGCAGACTATAAGTAGGCACGCTGATCTCCGTGCCCCCCGGGAAGGTGTGCCCTAACACCGTGAGGCCCCCTTTGGGAACGACACGAGGAAGACCAAAGCCGAGGGTAGTGAACAAACGGAGACCCTCGTTGATGACGGCCTCGAGGTACGGCAGCGACTTGATGTCCTCGAAGGGCAGGATGCTTGAGTCGTTATTAGCGACGGCGTCGAGCTCCGCCTGCAGTTTCTTCTGCGCCTCTTGGTCGCGAGCAAGGTAGTATATGATGGCAGACAAGGAGCTATATGGATCACCGATGAGTACGGCGCTACTGTACATGACCGATGACAATAAATGGACGCACTTGGAAGTTGTATCCGATCCAGCGACGAGGAGAGTGATAGCTTCAGCAGTGAGCTCCTCCGGACCCATCGGATCCCCGTTCTCATCCCGGCCATTCAACAGCCTGTCAAACATATCGTCGAAACTCTTCTCGTCCGCCCCCTCCTGGCGCGCAGCGGCGAGCCGCCGGGAGACGACGTCCGCGCCCATGCCAGTCAGCTCACTTAATGCCTTGGCGCCTCGGTTATACTTCGGCAGACGCTGCATGAGCGCACGCATGTATTGTGGCAGGACGCCCACGGTCCCCGCCATCTGACCGCGCAGGCCAAGAATCTCAATGGCGGAGACCTCTTTGACTTCGTACTCGGTGCGGTCCTTCGCTACCGTGGCCTCGGGGAGCGCATACGAGGCCATCCCCGCTTTCGCGGACTTGGCTATTCGCACGGTGTCCTCGCCGCGCACGAGCATGCCGAAGGAAGAGCCGAAGGCAAGTTCGCCTAGGGATCGTCACGTCAGAGAACTTGATTTCCGTGGTGCAGCGGAAAGTACATACCGATGACATCAAACGTGAATAGATTGCACCCTGTTGAACTGAGTCAGACTCAAGTCGTCTCGTAATCAAGTGTGTCCCTGGCTCACAGAATCGCACATCAAACCAGACGTAGTCGCCACGCACCTCCCAGGCGCTGTACCCCAGTGTGCCCTTCGCATTATTCGCGGACCCCGCTTTGACACACAGAGAATCCCATTGCTTCAGCAACGTGCTCAGATAACCGCGAACCTGTTCCTCGAACGCGAGCACGCTCTGGGGCGCAAACATGTGCGCCATGACGCGGCGCTTACGTGCATGTTCGGGGCGGGACCGTGTGTTAAATATGCCGCGTGTGCGGCGGAAAGCCTTGAAGATGTCGTAGAAGGATGCCTTGGTCGTGCCTGACGAATGGCCGTAGACGGCAGACACCGCCGCGGGGGATGCAACGGAGATGTGGTTTGGCGCAATGCGTACGAAAGGTCCTAATTTTGATGTTGTGGCGGTTAAGTCCGGTCGCGACCGTAGTCATATGCAAGAACTAATATCTCACCGTATTTCTGGTGCAGCTCATCGACAGCGTAGCTCCTTGTGGAATTGTGGGATACCCAGAAGAGCCAACCATCGGTGAATTTCGCGAGGAAAGGACCAGGGTACTGGCGCAGACCATGGGCGTCGATGAAGTAGGGAACGATGTGGACCAACAGGCCAATGACAGGCAGCAGACAAAGGGCGAATGTGAAGAATCTAACCGAGGAGTCTAAAGGCACATCGAGCATAGTCATCTTGAAGTGGACGAGAATTACAATTAACTTTGAAGGACAGAGAGAGGGGCGCGGGAATAGCCAAGATGCACTGACCAGACTGTACTGGAAGAGTGTAGTTTTTATACTGCTAATCATGATAGTACCTGGATCCGGATGTCATGCAGAATTATTGACCCTGGCAGTGCCTTGCAGGGATATTTGCGAGAGTTAGTCATCGTGTAATTTTCAGAGAAGGTCAACGTAAAGCAACCATATTTCCCACCGCGATATAGTTTGAGATGCTCCACTGAAGTCGGGAAGTGCATACAGAATACAAACGCGGATATTCAACAGCAGTGCTTCGACCTGTTATCCAAATGTCAGACACCGACGGATGTGGTGTGGACACATTGAAAACCTTCCAGCATCGGCGTAACATGAGAGGAATGAAAAGACATTATTGACGTAATCCTGTTCTGACTTGCCTTCCATGAGCATGCCGAGCGCTGTAGACGTATACGGCACCGCGAGGAACGGTTCCGTAGGTTCATCGCCAAGCATAGACCCTGTGGTACTGTCGAAAAAAAGAAGCAGAGATCGGACTCCCAGGACGAGGTAATCACAGCAACACTTGTGTTGGTATCAAGACACTGGGTCGAACTTCCTGCACACGATTAAGTCGGAGCCATGTCAGCCGCACCTACTATGTCAGTCATCAGTGCCGGGGAGGCAGCTGATAGTCAAACACGGCGCTCACCATGTTTGCTTTGCAGATACACAAACGTGCAGCACATGGCTGTTCGGTAGTCGCGGGTAACACTGAAAAATCAGCGAAAAGAGTACATCCAGAACAACGGCGAACATGGCACTTATATTCAGCCCCATAATGGGATAAATGCAGCCATTGTTACTGCATCCACATAAGTCGAGTATTCATGCTCGAGGAAGAAGCACACACCGAATGAATTTCAAAGCAATTCTTTTGAATGAAATCCAGAGCATGACTGGTAGTTATTGAATGGTCATGGTATTTCCATCCCTGTATCACCATTTGACCACGGTATGCACCAACTTGTGAGGCATTGAGCGACAGAGATACGGTCCCGCGGTGTGTCCTGACTGGGCAAAATGCAAAGGAGTAAAACGAACGCAGATCCCTATCTCCCCAAAGAACGGTCACCGAGTCCTCCTGGCTGTCGAACGTGTCACCTCCGCCGAATGCTTGGTTAGCAGAAGGGCGGAGAAAGCTACACATCTCCATGGACTGAAGGAGGGGGAAAGAGCTTACACATCATCGGTTTGGCAGCTTGCAGAACACCGGGTGGTCCAGAGAAAACTGCTATGAATACCAGGCTACATACACAATCTAGTCCATTCTGCCCTTGAGCGTACGCTTGATCACCTTATCTTTCGTTCTAATTCGCGACAAAAAATCAGCATTTCCGTTTCGTATGCGCCCATATAAAACCCAAAGAAGCACTCACATAACATGCACGACCGCCCCCCAGCCTGAGTACGCATCGCGGTCGACTGCATTCAGCAGCGTCTGCGCACACGTCTCGAAGAGATCCTCGGGCTCCAGATCGGGCTCCCACAGCCCCTCCGCCATACCGAACAGCTTGCTGCTCGCGGTGCCGGACACGACGAAGTCCTTGGCGAAGTTGATGCAACCTATGAGGTCTGTGGCGGCGATGAACGGCTTATAACCACCTGCCGCAGTCTTCTGTAGCCCTGCGATGACGGGCTCGATAAAGTACGGTCCGAACCGCCGCTCATAGAGCGTCGAGGAAACGAGGTGCGCGAAGGTCTCCGGTTCGATCTCGCGCTCTTCTTTGATTGTGTACATGTTCAGGCGGTATCGGAATTGTTCTCGCCTGTGCAAAATAGATGACGCGTATGCGTGGATTTACGAAGAACGGTACTCACAGTGTTAGAACGTCTGTCGCGAGACCCGGAAGACCAAGGTATACTCTGTCTGTCATCGGGAACACCTGCGGGAGTTATAGTTAACAATATGCCTAAAAACGACTTGAAACTGACCTTCTCAAATTTTGACGAGATACCCATCGACTGGTTCCCTAGTCGCAGGTCGCAAGCAATGGCAACACACTCCTTCCCCACCATGGCTATGACGGAGCCACCGTTATATTCCATGATAGACTGGGAGCCGCATAGGATTAGTATATTCGTCGAGCTCAATACGGCTCAGAATCACCATGATGAGCAGAAGTTCGTTGGAGGAGCGCGGGAGGTAAGCAAGCTGGTCAGAGTCGCAGTGGTACTGTACGCGTAACGCCTATGAATTTGCGCGCCTCTTGCTCGATAAGATAAGATAAGATCCAACCTTCCACCGTGGAAAAGCGTATATCACCAACCCATGCTCATGATTGTATGTAGTCCACCAACAGTTACATTGCTACAATCTATCACCCCGGACCGAAACGACGTAAAAGCTACAAATATTGTAGGGCCGTTCAATCAGCAACCCCAACTATGGACACCTTCCACCTCATCCCCTGTTCTCGGTATGCTTTTGGCTCTTCTGATTTAATTCTGCTGCCCTCGCTCTCAGTTCCTCGCGGGTCTGAAGATGTAACGCACCAACGTCAGTTGATGTTTCTCCAGACTGAGACGCCCACGCACCTTAGGCTGCTCCACATTCTGCATGAGCGCGGGGCTGGGAACGTACGGCTCACGCGCATGGAACGCCCCGATCTCAGGGTTACTGTTCAGCCCACCGCCAAGCTGTGGGCCTTCGAGATCTCTAGGATCATTGGTCTTCTACGTGTCAATGAAGGTTAGTCGTTAAGCGTTCATCTCAAGGTCGACGTACTGCAGGATGGGGAAGGATATGGAACGAAGCCTCCTCCCTCTTTCCGCCCGACGGCGACTTCTGAGTAGAACTCTGCTTGCCAGAGGACTCTGACTCGGTGGATGGGGACATGATTCACTAAACGGTGTCGATGAGATGTGGATACGAGTTGTACGTAGTGGGTCAAAGTTCTTGATGCAAGCGCCGCGAGATCCAATGCTACTTATACGCGGCTGCGCTGCGGGGCCGCAGCCAAGAGTAAGTTCATCGGGAGCCTAGAAGGTGAAAGCCGCAGCAGACAGTATGACGTATGACAAATGTGACTTTCCTTTCCTGGATATTATATCGGAATCTTGCCGTCGTGCTGCTTCCTTCGCAATTGTTCCGTGTGATGATTGTTATGTCAATTGAAAGTCTGTTGACGCTAAGTACCAGCTGCTAGTGGATGAAGATATAATCGAGTTTTGCCGGTTGCCTGATGTGGTGAGAACAATACCGTCCGGTTGCGCGCTCTGATGACCGTAGGGACATGTCCATATAGTAAACGGACTGGAATCGCCCTCTTACACACCTACCACTTTCCATCTAATGGCGTACGTCGAATCCGAAGCACATAACAGTTCTACATGCCTGGCAGGGCTAATGGCGAAGGCTGGCATGTATGTACAATGCTGAATCGTTTCCGACTTGTCTGTTAATTCGTTCTGCCACCAGCTATCCCGTCCACCTATCCAAGTGGCATATTGCGGACAGCCTCTCTTCTATCGAATCACGCGTTAAAGCGGCCTGTGGTCCTCAGCTAGCGCACGTACAACGATTGCGGGACACATGGCATAAGCCGTTCCACATTCCTGACGAGTGGAAGGTGAGTTGTTGGCACTGTGATGTTGATATCTACGGAGTACTGAATTTCTAGGCCCATAGCCTCAACCTCTCGTTCATGATGTACAAGATATCCCGGATCCTATCGACAACCTCGCTGCGTGGGAATTAGCACCGTGGCTCGAAATCATCTCCAGCGATGTGATGTACATGTCTCATGACGATGTTGTTCGCCGGCACATGGATCCAACGTCCTTTCAGCCAGACTTTCTCTTGTCTGGCCTTCGTCGTCATGGCCGTTGGGAGAAAGTTGACACCAAAGATTCTTTCTATTGTGATCCCAAGGTGTCCATTGTGGCGTTCAAGAATGCGGTAACCTACGTTGGAGATGAAGAAAGTGCTGCATCAATCGTACCTGATATGTTTACGACTACGCCTGGTTGTTGGCTGAGATGGTTCGTTCTCACCCTTCATGGCGTGTGAGAGGCTGACGTAGGTGCAGTAATCCAGGCTCCGACTTTCCATCGGTTTTGGCTGGAGAATACTCTTGCATGCCAATCGATTTCGTGCTTCTTCTACATCCCATAGGCCCGTCAACATATCTCGGCGTAGAAAGGGATCATTTTCTGCGCATCAGTGTCCTCCATCCCGCACTGGTAGTGGGCATCAAAGGTCCTGCCCAATGGCTGACCTCAAAAACTCCGTCTGACCGGTCGCCGCGATTGGAGGATGTGCAATACGAACTTGGACGCTCGATCCATCCCAGTTTGAGCTCCCATCTCCTCAACTGGTACCTTCGCTGCGAGCAGACTGAAGATGATTCTGAATCGCTGGAATCAGCTTTTCGCCACCCACCCGATTACCTGATACTATTCGGCATCAGCTATGATGCTGAGTGCATCCGCCTTATAGCGCACATCCCCTTCGTGGACAGCGCTAGTGAAGGCTCGCCTCAGTGGTCCTATCTCTCCTGCATCGTCGATGAGCTGCCCTTCGGCCCGATGCCGCAAACCACGCCAGATCTCAAAGCTTGGTGCGTGGAGAGATTCCAGGTAGCTTTCGCACTGCTCGCGATGAGAAAGCATGCCTTCCGCCTTGCCTGTCTATGGGATGACATCCTCTGGCCTACTTCGATCAGACAATCGGAACATATTCACGAAACTGAGTATTTGGGACCTACGCCTACGCCTTCCGAGATAGATGGCTCTGAGTGGTTCACTGTCTATATTCCAGAGGAAGATGATGAGGAAGATGACGAGGAGCCAGCACCAAGCGAAGATGCCGAAGAGCTCAGGTTGGAGATGGAGGAAATAGAGGAGATGGCCAAAGCATCACGTCCAATTGTAGAGAGGTGGGTTACTGACGTCCAAGTTGACGAAGCTATTGGCGATGAGGTGGACACACCTGAGGCCTCTGGTTAAGGCTGTGTATTACCAATAGTTATCTGTTGGCTCATCAGTGTCTTGTAAGGGACATCCTGGAGCTCGAGGAGCGCCGAGCAGAACTCTGACTCAACGTCTAACTTGGGACTGGACCTAAGGGTCGAACACATTAATGGTCGCCAGATGCTCGAGGTTCTTGAGAATGGAAGTGATGCAGGTTCTGGTGTGACCTCATTCTCAAAATTGGTAGGTACTCGAAGGACCGCCGGGTGGCGGCAGATCTTGCTCGGAGATGCTCGACGGTAATGACCAGGTGACGACGTGGTTAAATGGACTTTGTATAGGTTGGCAATACCGTAGCAATACAAACAGATAGAATAGTGGGTGCACCAAAAAAAAACCCACACCGCAGGGGAAAAAGCTACCACATTTTGTCCGTCTCTATATGTTGGCGCAGTAGACGGTAGGGAAGTAACAGGGACAGATAGAATAGTGAATGTATTAAAAAAAGGACGCGCAGGGGAAGACCATATTTTGTCGGTCTCGCATACCTATCATCCATCTTTGATGATGCGTGTAAGTTATGTCTTCTAGAGCATCACATTCCATGTAGCCGCAGCGCTTCCTGCTGCTCTACCTGCGGCTCTTCGCGGGCGGTGCAGACTTCTGGGCGAACTCGCAGCGGCACTTTGACCTGCGCATGGACGTGGTGACGGGCTGCCCAGATGAGGCCGTGCTGGTCATCGCGGAGATCTTGGCACTCGTGCACTGGAAGGTGGCGGAGTGCGTGAATCGTGCACTGCGAGGACCTGAGCTGAGCTGCATGATTGAACAGAGTGGTTGCCGGATACAATTCATGCAAAAGTTGTCAGTGCTGGGTAAGTTTTTACATTGGAAGATATATCTACACATATAGAGAATCCATCCTCAGGGGTCTGATATGTTATGGAAACCTCCTGTCTGTTGCAAGTTGCAGGTTTTGGAGTGCCCAAAAGGTCCAATTTTCGTTAATGTGGGTCAGCTGTGCACGTGATTGAAGAGAGTGGTCAGCTACAATTCCTGTGGGCACATTGGGTATGATTTTTTGGGTGGTCTGGCAACTCGAACCATCACTGAATGTGCTGGAATGTACCATGGTCTTTCAAAAACCAGCCCGAGCATGCAAAACCCAAGTGCAATCAACGAGCATTCAACTGGGAGGCACCTAATCATCCCACGATCAGCTACTAATTAGTGGCATCACACGGGTGCACGTGTGCCGCCTAATTAGTGTAGATCCCTCTTATCCTCTTACCTGTGGAGAAAGTGCTGAAGAGTGTGGGTACTTTGAGCAATCCTGCGTGTCGGATGCCGGCTATCTCCCACCGGCATCGTTGGCGGTGCCGACGAGCCGGTTCCCGCCACCTCCCGACGAGGGCCTTGGCCGCTCCCCGCCATCAAGCACATGCCTCCTCCCATCGGGCACTCTGGAAGCCACCCTCTGCCCTCCCGCCGCGCGCTTCTTTCCAAATTCAACTTCCCACGCGTCCGCGTCGCTGCCGCCACCCGCTCACAGCGTAGGACGTTGGCCTCGACATTCAACTCACATTATACTGGTTTAGTAGCTTATGTACACCACTTACTTCCCTTACACTGAGGGCAAAAGTGGATGTTCTGCCTTGGAACAGTGTCTGAACATCCAAGGAACAGATTACGTTTTTGGACATGTCACATGTTCTGAACATGGTAAGGAACATCTAATATGTCTCGCACAATGTTCTATTGGAGAGCATGCTGGAGACATGTTGCATGTACCATTCTGGAACATATAATATGTCTCACACAATGTCTCATTGGAGAATGTCCTGCAGACTTGCTGCATGTTTCATTCTGGAACATTTATCATTTTGCTACTATATTCTGGGCTTGTCTCTTGATGCAATATGCTCTGTATAATAAGGATTTTCCATGGCCAAACATATTACATTTCTGGCTGCTGTTAATCTTCAGAACATTGTGAGAAGATGTTAAGTGCTCCTACTCCAAACATACAAGATGTCCTGGGCACCAAGAACATCTGCAGTACATGTATGATACATACTAAAATTTTACTAAAATTTTACATGTACTGCAGATGTTCTTGGTGCCCAGGACATCTTGTATGTTTGGAGTAGGAGCACTTAACATCTTCTCACAATGTTCTGAAGATTAACAGCAGCCAGAAATGTAATGTGTTTGGCCATGGAAAATCCTTATTATACAGAGCATATTGCACCAAGAGACAAGCCCAGAATATGGTAGCAAAATGATAAATGTTCCAGAATGAAACATGCAGCAAGTCTGCAGGACATTCTCCAATGAGACATTGTGTGAGACATATTATATGTTCCAGAATGGTACATGCAACATGTCTCCAGCATGCTCTCCAATAGAACATTGTGCGAGACATATTAGATGTTCCTTACCATGTTCAGAACATGTGACATGTCCAAAAACGTAATCTGTTCCTTGGATGTTCAGACACTGTTCCAAGGCAGAACATCCACTTTTGCCTCCAGTGTTATATCATCAATAAACTATCTGAGTCATTGAATCAATTGGAAAATCTACGGAAAATCTCGTTAAAAACAAGGTAAGTACATTAACAGGTATCAGACGGGGGAAATGCAGCAAGTGTTCACTAGAGGAGAGCTAGAATGAGACATAACTGAAGTAATGTCCAGCAGAGCCAGGAGATCGAAGGCGGAAACGGTATATGGTGCCATCCACGAGGTGCGATAGCGAAGAGTGGAAGTTGAGGAATAGAGGATGATGGAAGTAACAGGGCGGGAGCAGACGAGAGATGGTCGCAAGGAAATTGGCCTCCGCATTGACACTTGAGTGCATACGATCAGTCGTCCGCATCACTCGGGATGGTCTCCGTGCTCTTTGGGGTGCGTGAACTTGTCTTGCGTCGACGTTTCAAAGGCCACCTCTTGCTGCTGCCGGCGTTTGCATCATCGGAGGGCCTCTTCTTGCCGGTGTTCATGTCATTGGAGGGCCTCTGCTCACCGGTGTTTGCGTCATTGGAGGGCCTCTGCTCACTGGTGTTTGCATCATTGGAGGGCCTCTTCTCACCGGTGCGGGCACTCAGCACCTCCTCCTCATTTACCTCGTCATCGTCGTCATCCTCCATATCTGCATCTGCATCTTCAGCCTCCACGCGATGCTTCCGCCTCATCCCAGCATGCTTCCCGCCTGTATCCTTCCTCTTCTTTCGAGCGACGGCCTCTCCTGCAGCTACTTTCTGATCATATTCCTCTGTCCTCTTCTTCAGCTCCTCCGATGTCAGTTGTTCAAACTTGCAGGTGCCACTCTCCAGTGCTGCCAGGAGAGTACGAAGAGGAAGAAGGCTGGTGCTGAGGTCAGAGGGGTTCGCCCACTTCTCGTGAGTCCATCCTTGCAACGTGATGCCGTATTTGAGTACGATATCCCTCTCATAGTTGACGTAGTTCATAACCGCTTTGCTGTTCCCGGTGATCTCCACTATGTTCCTCAAATATTAGTACATCTCATTAACCAGTACATACTAACTCACCGAGCATGGTATTGATCTTGTCGCGAATTTCTCCCTTCAACCAGTCGGCCTTTGATTTCGAAGTTCTCAGGAAAGCTAGGTAACTCGTTAGCCAAAGGGGAGATAAGAATCAGGATAAACTCACACATAAAATCGCAGCTGGCCACTGCAAGGGCCTCTGCCAATGCACCGATATTGGCAGGGTCCCAACCCTTCTTGATTGCACCACGCAGGTACTTATCGAGTTCCTGCGAGCTGAAGTACCAGCGCGGGGGCATGTGGAAGTCGGTCGTGTTGCGCACAAGGCAGAAGAAGCCCTCCACACCGACACGGCACTTCAAACCATGGAGCTATGTCAATTGTCAGAAGAAAGAATGTAACAAGAATGAATATAACATACAAGGGCTTTGATCTTCTTGCAGACATTGTTAACATCCTGAGTACGGCCACACTGATTAAGGCGCAGCCCGACCATGCATGATGTTTTCTCTTTTTCGAGTTCTTGAACTAGCTCTGCCTTCTGAGCTGTGGTGAGACTGTGATAATCATCAATATTTTCCTGTTGCAACTCGAGTATATTTGAGCCCTCCCCTGCCAGAACACCTGAGGCTCTGGATGAGTTACATTTCCAGTGCAAGGCTGGCCTAAGTCACCGACCTTCATTGGCAGTCTTTGCCAAATGGTGAGACCACGAGTTGAATGCAGTTGTCTTCCTGCGGTTCTGCAGGCTTGCACCTCCTGTAAACATCATGTGGAGGTAGTACTCGCTCTTCTTGCCATACTTGTCGGAGAGTGTCTTTGAGTATGTCACTGCGTCATCATACCACTTTGTGAGGTCAGCTTCAAGTGCCGCTGTCTTCTCTTGAGACTTGTTCACCATGTCTTTGAGAACGGATGAAGCAACACGTGGTGGGATGCGGCATTTGGCAGGAGCGATGGGTCTCGTGGCCACACCGCTGTTGGCCCATACGTGATATTCGACATCACAGAAGACAGCCTGAGAATGAAGAAGCTTGATACTGACCTTCGAAGACATAGCACGCTCTCACCCATTCAACAAGACGTGGTCACGTTTTATATTCTACACATGACATACATGTTTTAAATACAATCAGAAAGAAAGAGCTACGGAGAGGTTTGGAATGCAGAACCAGTGGTCTGAGAAGCATATAAATCCTCTATCATTGCACGAGCCAACTCTGCTGCAACATCCGGTGCGATCTGGAGGTGATGTTCAATATCCAATTGCCAAGCCAAGGTCGCAGACGTCCTCTCGACGTGCCATAGCATGTTGTGCATGATGGCCGGGATGTCATGCGAACACATGACAGCATCGGTCGCAGGCCCAAATGCCTCAATAGGCCGATGTTCGGTAGTTGCCATGTACTCACGTGAAGCCGAGCGCGACGAATGGGTGATTGAGGAAGGAGATGACAGCGATGGCGACATAGTGTTCATGAGGGGTGGAAGTGAATATGTGCGTACCAGAGGAGAGTCTACACTCAATCGTGGTGGGGTGGATGGATTGGTGATAGCAGTCTGATGGTGCTGCCGAGGAGTTGACGGAGTAGCACTACGAATGCGAGATGGACGTGATGGCGACGAAACAGATGGCCGGGTCAGGGACATGGCAGATGGGGAAGGCGAAGATGGATCAGCTACATGCCAAAGTGGTGAAAGGGCTCCCGGTAGTGTATGTACTGCCCAAACTTTAGACAGGGTGGCTTGCTGTCGCTGAGCTGCAAGAAGTGAATGAGATCATTGTGCGATCTGATAAACGACACTTACCAGTATGCATTTGCTTCATCTCATGCTTCAGGCTTGTGATCTCACGTTGTTGTTACTCACATAGTTTCTCCAGCTCCGAAACATGCACTTTGAGTAACCCATTTGTCTCTGCCAACTCCAGGACACCGCTAGCTTGTGCACGCTCATACCAGGCATTGTCGTCATACTGGCTGGACTCATCCGCAGCTTCATCCTCTGGCTGTACCTCTACCTGCTCTGTGATGACTGACCCACCAGCAACTGGAAGAGCCGACACTCCTCCACCTTGCAAGTCCAGTATGAGGGTCTCGAGCACACCAGATGGATGACCGTAGAAGGTGTAGAGTGAGCCGCGAGTTGGGGAAGGAATGAGTGTGCGTGCACGATAAGGTTCACAATCGTGTGAACCTTTTGGAGAGAGCTTGAATCCTTCTAATCATGCTGCGCAATCCCAACGTTCAATTGCAGGTATCGCCATCCCCTCTATAAATAGTTGAATGATGCGTGCGATAGTGTACGATGTCTCGGGCAACTCGGATTGAAGGCCCGGCGAAAAGTAGGATATGACCTTGACCTGCTCTGGAGCTACAGCCGCGCCAGGCCGCTGAGTACTGTTGGTGTGAACCATAATGGTAGAACTGCCCGTAAAGCGGTCCCATGCAGTGAGCTGTACATGAGAGTGAGCTTGAGATTAGGTCACAAGAATAGCACTCACGAAGTCGAACACAACCCCTGTAAATAACTCACGGAATGACTGCCTCTCGTCTGTTGACTTTGGACCCGGCGGCATTCCTTCTGGATGAGTGCGAAATAAATCGTGAAATCAGTCGTGGTTCAAGTGGTGACGGTCGTCATTGTGGCTGCCAGAGACCAGAAATGCGAGATCTGCAGCATTGAACTTTTTTTGGTGCTGTCTATAGAGATTGTTCACACCCAGATGATGCCGTAGTGATTGCAATCCTAGCGGATTCAAGCAGCATTGATCGATGGGAACCACAGAGAAGGCAGTGACATTGGACATGGAAGCAGTGATTTGTTGAAGTGAATGTTGAGCTTAAGACTTGCCTTTTCCGTCAGCTGAGCGTAGTTCTTACTGCACGCGTTAGATCCTCGCTCATCTTTGAACGATTCTCGAGTGTCTTTCTACTCTTTGCACGACAGGTAATGTTACTTCGTATATAAGAGAATATATTTTATAGCAACTGTATCAAAAACAAGCGACGTAAGACCAATCTATCTACTGTCTGCCTAGATCATCAAAAAAGTCAACAAGATGTATCGCCTCCAGCTCGGAACTCAACCCTGGAATGCCATGAGAGCCATCGTCTTCTTCTTCATCTTCAGCCAGATACACGTCGCCATTACTATAGCACGCCCAGGACGGTAGGGGTATACCAAGGGTCGGACCAGTTTCACGCCCAATGTGGCGACTGCACACCACCTTCTCTGAGAATCCTGCGAGTTGTGAGGTCTGGTAGAGGTGGTGTGCAATCTTCTCATGAATCCTGTCATGATACTTCCATTGCATTGAAAGTATATGGGCCAGGGCAGGCTTCATGATGATACAGTGGGAGATGGCAATGTAGTAGTCAATGTGCTCATCGACTAGTGAGGTGAAGAGGCATGAGATCTCAACATTCAATCGTTCGATCTCCTCGCGTGCACATTGGATATTGAAGTACATATTCATCGCCTGGCAATTGGCTCACTGCGCCCATGGTAGGGTATGGATATCTTGACGTGCATCACGTAGCAGGTCAAAGTCCGCCAGGGACACCATGTCCATTACCTCCGACCACGTCAGAGTTGGGCGTGCAGGTGACAGTTCCAGGGCACAGCGATTGTACTCAGCAAGAGCCTTCTTGATGGCTTCTGCTCGTGTTTTCAAGGCTTTCCCAATCTTCTCACAAAGTTTGTATCCTGAAAATTGATCAGAACGTGCACTTGAGATGCTTGAAGTGAACGCACCGACACCGCTCATGCCAAGCTTCATCAGCTCAAACAGCCGCTGCACAACCAATCGCTCCAGGTTGTCCAAGGCACGCCGATACTTATGCCTTCCCAATTCTGCAGTCATCTCTATGTACTCCTGGGTCCCAGGCAACCATCGCTCGATGATACTTAGCTCCTCTTCTATCAGCCGCACTTCTTCGGCAACTCCTTCATACCAGCTGTAAGTCGTTCGATACAGCATCTGCACCTTCGCAATTTCCTTTTTCTGGTACCCCTTGTAGATGATGTTGTAGTCGAGGTTGTTGAATTCCACGCATGCCTGCTCACATTTCTGCCTTGAAAGAGGTGAATAGCTACCAAAAATGACAATTCAAACCACTCACCCAGCTTCTTCGAGATGCTTCAATGCCTCCATGTAATCCACCTTGCGTGCCACTTCGGGCGGTTCTACCTTAAGCCCGCTCAGGTATTCTCGCTCTTCCTCCAGGTATCGTTCATATTCAGCCGGCCCAATATTCAATTCCTCGGACAGAACATCGAGCACCTCCGAGTCCTGCATGATGATGTCGAGGGCTTGCTTGTAATTATTGTAGATGAAATTGCCTGCATTAGTTCTTAGTCACCATGATCCATGTAAAATTGATGCAGGACTTACCTGATTCAATGTGCTTCTGTTCATCCCAAAATCCGAAAAACTGTTCGATTGCCTGATGACGATGGAACGATGTGGCGAGTCGCGTGCCAGGGGCAAGCGCGTTCGACTCAGAGAAGCACCGCTCACATCCCTCAAAATCCTCCTTGCCAACGTCATCCATATATAGTGGATGCCAGTGTACCTGACATCCCCAGTTATGACCATGCCCGTGAAATGCCGGCACCACCCCAGACATGCGCGCTTTTGTGGCATGTGGTCCAAGAGAGCTACGGGCGAGCGTCTTCAAAAATGCACATGCGATGTCGTACCCCACCTTAACATTAGTGCCGTAAACCTCAATGAGCTTGTCAATGATGGCGAGGGGCTGTTTCATCCTTGGAAACTGTAAGTATGACATTCATATCAAATATGACAAACTTACAACTCTCCGCTGCGAATCATATCACAAAGAATTAGAAGGTGACCATGTTGACAAAGGCATACGAAGATGCCCATCACTGCGAACAATGCAAACATTTTTTGTGCACCTTTGGACCGGCATTGCGCCAGCGCTCCACGCATACTGTGATCGGCTTGAGCACGCCTTCTGTGTTGCCATGCTCTGCTGCAACATCGTCGTCAATGTCATCCAACTCTGCATGTGCATCGTCTGGGAGTCCAGGTGCACTGCCGCTGGATGTAGACGGTTGAGGTTGCTATGACATTCGTCAGATCTACTGCCAGATATTTTGATCAGGTACATACCTGATTTAATCGAGCAACCTCATCTTTGAATTGATCGACTGCTTCGGGAGTCAGCCAGATATCAGTGCGGTCCATGCGACCATCACTGCGAGTGACACCGGATCGAAAGAGGTCATCGACGAGCTTAAGAGACTGGTTACCATCCATAGTGGCAAGGAGAGAGAACTCGAGAGCTGGCTCATCCTGAAGTTGATACAAACATGGTGCACAGACATTGAGCATGCACCAGTTCGGGGTATTGCGGCCCAACTCACTTCAGGGTACCTCCTATCCCTAGCTCTTAGCCTCAATATAATCTACTGTTTGTTGTGGCTAAGAGCCTCCCAGGGGGTGGTCTGCCCATGGGATTAGTGCATGGCCCACTGGTCCTGTGGGACATCTCACAGCTGAGGAGGTCCTGAAGTGGGAGCTACTTGAGGGTACTATCTGAAAGGGCCCATGGGCTCTATATCTTTCCTGTTGTCTAGGTTCTCCCATGGACCTCCCTTGCATTATTACTGGTTAAAGGGTATCAGGGGGGATTCTGGACCTCCTATAGTCTGGTATTTTTCACTTTCTAGCTTATATCTTATTGTACTGTAGGTCTTATGCTACTTGCCCTCTTCTTACTGTGCATTCTAGAACTATATGTGTGCAGCTGTGAATGCAAATTCAGAATTTCACAGATATATATTTGCATCTAATCATGGTATATAGGTCTCTTCTCACATCTGCATGACTTGTTGGAGTAGGTGTCATTGCAGGCCTCCTTGAATGACTTGTTAGAGTAGGTGTCATCGCAGGTCTGCTAGAACGACTTGTTGGAGTAGGTGTCATCGCAGGCCTACATGAACGACTTGTTGGAGTAGGTGTCATCACAGGCCTCTTTGAACGACTTGTTGGAGTAGGTGTCATCGCAGGCCTCATTGAACGACTTGTTGGAGTAGGTGTCATCGCAGGCCTCATTGAATGACTTGTTGGAGTAGGTGTCATGAATGACTTGTTGGAGTAGGTGTCATTGCAGGTCTGCTAAAATGATTTGTTGGAGTACATGTTGTCACACGTCTGCTTGAACACATTGTTTGTCAATGCAGGAACAAAGCATTAATATCTGTATTTTTGCTTATCTTATGATTAACTAGGTTTCAGTGCAAAAGTAAATCATGCAACACCATTTTACGCTATATCATACAGAAGCTGCCCTCATTGCCTACTATTAATTTTACATTATACTACATTGAAATCTATTTGTATGTATAGTGCTCACCATTTACTAATTATCACTGACACATCTCTTATTAATGTGGTGCATCTCCTGTGTTACCCGCAATGAAGCTATGGTCATATATCAGATCAACCTTCTACATCATATATATTGGACTTCCTGTCTGACAGTGAATAGTCTTCCCAAGGTCTCTATTTAGTATGGTGGACCTCCTGTCTGACAGAGCATGGACTTCCCAAGGTCTGTAGTGGGTGAGATGGACCTTCTGCCTCATATAGAATGGACATCCCAAGGTCCCTACTAGGTGAGACGGACCTCCCGCCTCATATCAAATGGACATCCCAAGGTCTGTACTTGGTAAGATGGACCTAGTTACACTGGAGGCAAAAGTGGATGTTCTGCCTTGGAACAGTGTCTGAACATCCAAGGAACAGATTACGTTTTTGGACATGTCACATGTTCTGAACATGGTAAGGAACATCTGATATGTCTCGCACAATGTTCTATTGGAGAGCATGCTGGAGACATGTTGCATGTACCATTCTGGAACATATAATATGTCTCACACAATGTCTCATTGGAGAATGTCCTGCAGACTTGCTGCATGTTTCATTCTGGAACATTTATCATTTTGCTACTATATTCTGGGCTTGTCTCTTGGTGCAATATGCTCTGTATAATAAGGATTTTCCATGGCCAAACACATTACATTTCTGGCTGCTGTTAATCTTCAGAACATTGTGAGAAGATGTTAAGTGCTCCTACTCCAAACATACAAGATGTCCTGGGCACCAAGAACATTTGCAGTACATGTAAAATTTTAGTATAATTTTAGTATGTATCATACATGTACTGCAAATGTTCTTGGTGCCCAGGACATCTTGTATGTTTGGAGTAGGAGCACTTAACATCTTCTCACAATGTTCTGAAGATTAACAGCAGCCAGAAATGTAATGTGTTTGGCCATGGAAAATCCTTATTATACAGAGCATATTGCACCAAGAGACAAGCCCAGAATATAGTAGCAAAATGATAAATGTTCCAGAATGAAACATGCAGCAAGTCTGCAGGACATTCTCCAATGAGACATTGTGTGAGACATATTATATGTTCCAGAATGGTACATGCAACATGTCTCCAGCATGCTCTCCAATGGAACATTGTGCGAGACATATCAGATGTTCCTTACCATGTTCAGAACATGTGACATGTCCAAAAACGTAATCTGTTCCTTGGATGTTCAGACACTGTTCCAAGGCAGAACATCCACTTTTGCCCCCAGTGTTAGTAGCAACATATCTAGAAAAGTACAAGTGTGATGTATTTGGACTAAACTATCAAAAGAGCTCGCTTGCGAGGAGTGTACCTACTAGGAGAGACTGGTAAGAGTTCAGTATCATCCACAATACTACTGTCCAGCAGAAGTGTATCAAGATCAGGGTTAGCTAAGAGCTCATGATATGCATCATTAAAGGCCACCACCTCTGCTGCATCCACCAACTCTCCATCATCTTCAGAATCAGTAGGTGGATCAAAGCTTACCCGTTCCTCATCATCATCCTGATTCTCACCTGAATTATATTGTGCCATCAAGCTCTCATCCTTATCCCACTTGCCTGTCACCTGATATACAGCAGCATCTCTCAGCTCCTGCTCCGAAGGACCCCATGATGAACTCATAGGGGTCAAACAGAGAATCGCACGGACTTGAGACTGCCAAGTCACACATAAGCGAGATAAACGATCACGATGGTGATGAAGAAGATAGAGAAGGTCAATGTCATTATCTATTCAGACATCAGAACTGTAGAAGCATAAGAATAACAACAACATACCTGCATCGACACAGGCCTTCTGCAGGGTCAACCACTCCTCTTGAAACCATTCTTGCAATGCACAACGCTCTCATTGCAATCGGCTCTCCTCCTCAATACAACGATCTAAGAGCAAACACATCTTGATACCCTCACGCACCGTTTCATCTCCGAGCCATTGAGAAACTGCATCAGTGTCTGCATCATCATCCAGCCCAACATCCTGCCAAATGTCGTCATCAATGTCAAGCTTGAAGAGGCCGTTGCTCTGAATGGGAGGTGATACAATAGCAAACCGCGGAGCCTTGCGCTGTCGAATTAACGTTGACATCTGCATACATAAATTATTGTACATCTTCGCGAGCTTCAGAATACCGGGTTCACGACGCTTGATGGACGACTCAGCATGTGTGCTAAGCTTGTTGTCTACAAGCTCAAAGGCATCAACAATGAAGCCTAAAAGAAAGAAAGAGACATACTGTTGATTGTCTGGCGATACGAACGCTCGAGATGTTTGAGTTCGAACTTGCACTGATGAAGGCGATCACGGATCCGATGCTTGATGGCATGCGCATTCATTCGGATCCTCAGGAAAACATTGCATGCGAGTCGCACGAGCTGCGCACATTCACCTATGCCAAGCGCTGCTTTCTTGCATTCCAGAGCGGAAGCGATCCGTGCACTCTTTGACCTGGCATCAACGAGCTGCAAGTCTATTTCTTGGGTGTCGAGGACATCATTGTCAGCCAGAAGTTTGAGTTTGAGATCACGGATGTTCTCCTGGTAGGCAACAAGTGTCTTTTGCAGTGCAAGCACCGTTTCAATAGCGCGCTTGCCCTTGTCGCGCGAACGACCTGTTGCATGTAGTTAGCCACTCAGAACAACCGCAGAGAAGTCATAATGCACGCGGTGCCGGTTTCATCTGTTCTTCAACCTGTGCTACCCACTCAGCCCGTAAGACATCTTCCTCGATGCCAAGCATTTGAAGTGCATCGATGGCAGCACGCTTCTTCGACTGGCATACACTCCACTTCCTGGAAAGTCAATGCCCAAGCCCGGACATTGACTCTTCATCAAGATGTTTGACCTGCGTGTCGAGAATGAAAAGATGCTGATGGTACTGACAACGTCCATCAGAAGACAAAATTCATCAAAGTAGAAAAATGAGGACTCACTCTGGACACTCGTAACGATGGGATGAGCTTCCGAATCGCACTCCAGAACCTCTCGCAGCCCTCGCCATCTGTCAACCCAAACCCGATTCCCTTCCGTGGATGATATATCAGCTGGCATGGCCACTGGTGCCCATATGCATGGAATATCAATATCGCGAACGTGATGCAGTCGATGACATCGTGGAGAAAGCCAAATTTGATGCAGCTTCGGTGGAGTTGACAGCCGATATCGTACAGTATGCTGACAGTCATAGAAGCAGGGAGATTGTCGAAGAGTCGGCGGATAAGCGTAAGGGCGTAGTACTGCTTCTCGCCCGCAGAGGTCATGTTGACCAACCAAAGCACACGGTCATGACGGCACAGCAGCGTCATGAGACCCGTGTCAGCGAAGAGTTGCGTACTTGCCTTCTGACGTTTCTCGTCTGCTGCTAGGAAAGACTCGTGGCAGCCATTGAGAACTGATCTTGGCAGCTTGAGACCAGGCTCATACTCGTCCTCCTCCTCCACTGTGGGTTGTGTACGATGCGGCCTGTTGTCTGAACTGGGTCGAAGGCTCTCGACGTATGACTCCATGTCCTTGACATCCGACTCAGGCACAAAAACAGACTCTCACGCATGACGAGGATCATCGCGCCCACCTCCCTGGCCCTTCCTCCGCTTCTGCGTAAAGCATGCATCAATGCAGACGATGATATCAGGTCTGATGTTGACGAATGTTAGTTTGATAGACATGGAAGCATTAACAAATAATACTCACATGCCATCCTCACTACTGCATGTCGTTCCGCCGAAGCACAGAGGACAACGAGCACGTAGATACTCGCTCGGTCTCTCGCCGTGAGATGCACCGCTGAAAGGAGTCCCTTCCGGTTGCTGCACATTTTCGGGATCAGGTTCGATCCCCTCTTCTGCATCATTAGACGCTTGGAAAGTGGGGAGCCCTGCTGGGTTTCAAGTCAGTTTTACCTCACAGATGGGGAGGTCTAGCAGATACTCACGTTCGGCCCGCTCGGCGGCAGGGGGAGTTGAAGCGTCACGCAGCGGGGGAGGCCGTGCTCGTTCCAGAATGCTTTGAATGTGCCGATCAGTGGCGTTGACGAGATTCGAATACCAGAGGAGGGCATTGCCGAAGCGCCGATGTAACGAGTCCTAAAATGTCTGAATGAGTGCATGAATGTTCACGTAGGGCAAAATACATACCCGTGTAGTCAGTTTGTATCCACGTTCACCAAGGAAGTACTCCAGCATGGTGCAGAAGGATGTTGTGTTAGGCGGCAGCTGCACGAAAAGTTCTTGAACAAACTTGAGCAGGGAGAGGTCGACCACCAAAGTCAGAGCTTGAGGGGCACATGGGAAAAGGCCGCGAGATAGAAGTTGAAGGGCAGCGGGCGAGCACTGGCAAACGTGGATGGTGATATGTCGTAGACCTAAAATGAGGCCGTGTGAGTGCCTGAGGGTTGCGACGAAACAGAAGAAAAAAAATTGCTACTTACGTTCAAAGTATACACAGATGACTTGAAGAGTTCGCACGTGCTCGCCACCGCAAGTGCATGTCTTCTCCTGGTTAACGGATTCACGCAAATAGTCCGATCGTCGAAGGAGCTCCATATGGGGGTGCAGTAATGACGGGATGACCTCTGTTGCCCACCTCTTCCACTGCTGCACCTTCTTCTGCCGATCTCGCCCGGATTGAACACCTGGATCCTCTTCGACGTAAGAGGTATACAGCCCGTCAAAAGTGGCAGCCTCGGGAGGGTCAGGGATGGATGCAAAGTCGGTGGGGAGCACAAATGGGTCGTCAGAGCGGGGTGCTCATTGTAGAGGGCGTGAAGATCGAATTTCAGGACCTTCTGCGCGACCCCGGGATGGATCTGACTGTGTGAAGTTGAGGCGTCCAGGAAGCGTCACCAATCGCTCCGGCCCAGGCAGATGGAGATGTTTTGTGCTGCGAGGTCGCCGCTTGCGGGGAACGTCGGAAGGTTGAATCAGGTGGACGTGCGAGGGGGGTGTTTTCTGAGGGGATATCGAACAAGAGGAAGGCCGATCTGCCGACAAGCTCAACCGTCGATAGTGAGCAGTTGGCCGGCGAAAAGACATAGGGACGGATTGGGCAATGAGCTGTGAACGCGAACAATTCAGCGAGTGTCTGTGGGCTCAAAAACAGGGGGGATTACCTTGCTGAGTCTTCGCGCTCGGAATAGCCAATCACGGCGAGTGACTACACTAGTCGAAGCCGTTCGGTGCCTGTAAGTGCGGGCTAGCGTTCGCCGAGTTAGAACGGCGTGCGCCCTGGAAACGAGATGGATTGTACGAGGTGTTTCAGTGCGGTCAGAACAGGAATGTCAGAACTACGTATTGCAACATACCGGAAGATTTCGCGGGCAGCATACGCGATCTGTATGATGCCCTCAAGCAGGACATCCTGAGTTCGCACCAAAGGAGCAACGTCTGCCTCATCTGCAGTGTCGCCGTTCTTATGGCCGTTGCCATTAGCGCTAAGGCTCGGGCTGCCATCGCCGCTGGCCTGTTTCATTCCCTTGCTCTTCTTCGAGCTGGCCTTGGGCGGGTTTTTGAGAATGAACATCGTCGGCTTGTAGCGTATGTCGATGCCAGTGCGCTCGCCACATGCCTTGCAGTCACGGATGATCTCATCGTTCTTGGTGATGATGAGATCCGTCTGGGGGGTCTTGCACGACTTGCACAGCACGAACTTGTCGATAAACCCATCCAGAAGCTCATGCAGCTTGGTTACGTCATGCGCGCCATTAACAATGTAGCCATCGTTCTTCTCGTCGAACGATGTCTGCGCGCCAACTTCGCAGGTGAAGAACTTGGTAGGGTACATGGGCGGTCGGCTTAGCACGCGGGCGACGTCAGACATGTTGGGTATGACAGTCTTGATGCCGTTGCCAGTGCCTTCTATCTTGGTCAACAGAAGAGACATGCTGTGGAAGGAGAAAGGTCAGGCAAAGTAACACGAGGCAGAAAGGTGTCTGCGCACTGGGCCATGCACCGGCGAAATGAGACTGAGCGCAGCTATTTGACGGAGACTGCATCGTGGATAACCGGTGGACAGTGGAGTGCTAGCAAACGGAGGAGTACTCGTACATATGAACTTGAAGCTTTGAAGGCTGTATGATGTTTGAGAGCCTGCCAACAGGACTTCCCATTTTCGGACTTAGGACTTCCCACTACAAATTTCTTTCCACAATACCCCATCGATCTACTATCCTCCTGCTGCAGTGCGTATCGTCTCGTCCATCTCGTTCAGGCTGCAATCATTTCTATACCTCTCTGTGTTGTGTTCATCGCTCCATCGCGTCACGACGTATGTACTTATCTTCATTTCCCATATCTTGTGTGCGCCTCACGGTTCTGTTTGCTCCTCTACCAGCCGCATCGTCCGATTCGCATGCAACGATGTGGGCCAGAGCACATCGAGGACGTCCTCCTGCAGACACGGGCCCAGCAACGTGCCGGACACAAAGCCTTGCGGGGTCAACCTCTCGAAACTCATCATTCACCCATCCAGCCACACTGCCAAACTGCTGAGAAAGCGAACGACGTGATGCATAGTTGCGGTCAGTACTGCACGTTATTTAGTATACATGGAGGGATCCAGAGGAGACGGTACGAGATGAGACAAAAGTGCGAGTCTGCCGGGGATGTAGAATAGTAGCTGAAACCGTGCAAGATACCGTACGTACATGTCGTACTCATCATACTCGAGCATCCGTCCATGTACACACACTCAATCAACAAAAACTATCACTCCGTAAATCTACACTGCCAGAACCAGGCACCGCGGCTAGCACACCACGCGGCAGCCGTGCTCGTGGTGGGCGGCGGGGACGTGCACAGGGACGCCCTCGCGCATGAGCATGCTCGCGCACGTTACGGTGTCGAACACGTCGTCGACACCCTCGACTCGACCTGCAGCACACTGCATTCTTTGTAGGTGGGCGCGCGGATATCCGGGGCGACGCACTCGGCATCGGCGCACCAGATGAAGGTGGGGGAGGAAGCTTGGGGGAAGTCTGGGTGGGTTCAGCATTAGTAGGGTGGGAGGTAATGAGTGGCAAGTGGAGGGTAGACGGGCGGGGATGAGAGGGAGTGTGAGAGTGAGGTTGATGAAGAGAAGATGGACGTACTTTCTGGTTGGCGGAAGTCAGATTTGCAGCCGATGAGGATGACGGGGATGGATGGAGCGCACTTCTTCTATCCACTGCGCGAGTCAACCAACCAGGGCAGGATAGTCAGAAAGCAAGGAGAAGGCCGAGTCACACCTTGATGGAGACGTTGTCAAGGGAATCGGTATGTGATAGAGATTGCGTAGTGGATGACAGGTAGCCAGACAATAGAGTGCGCGCAAACGGAGGACTCATACATACTACGAACTTGAAGGCTGCACGATGTTTGAGAGCCTGCCACCAGGACTTCCCATTTTCGGACATAGGACTTCCCACTTCAAGTTTCTCTCATCGATCTACTGTCTTCCTGCTGTGCATATCGTTTTTTCCATCTCGTTCAGTCTGCAATCATCTTTATCCAAGTGTCTATCCCTCTCCGTGTTCTCCTTGTCGCTCCACTGTCACTACGTACATATTTCTCTTTATATCCCATATCGTGCATGCGTCTTACGGTTCTCCTTGCTCGTCTACCAGCCGATTCGTCCGATCTACAATTATTTCTATCCAGGTTTCTATCCCTGTCCGTGCTCTCCTTGACACTCCACTGTCACTACGTATGTACTTATATTTATTTCCCATATCTTGCGTGCACCTCACGGTTCTCTTTGCTCGTTTAACAGCTGCATCGTCCGATTCGCATGCATCGATGTGGGCCAGAACACGACGAGGACGTCCTCCTGCAGACACTGACCCAGCGACGTGCTGAATGCAGAGCCTTGTGCCGCTAAACCTTTGCAGCCTTTCGAAATGTGTCATTCACCTGGGTGACGTGTGCTGGCTCACACATGCAGCAAGCTCGGCGACGCTATTCCACGTCCCGGTGAGTGGTCATGATGCTGAGTTTATTCGTGTGTGCCTGGATCGCGCCTCGTGCACCATATCCAACCCAACCCGCTTGCAGTGGATGTGACCATCCATCAGTTTCTGCGCTACGAGCGGATAGTCTACGCACTTTTACAGCACCCGCATTGCTAACGTCGCTCCGCAGATGTGCACCCCCGATCCCGATGAGTCTCGGCCATTGCAGACAGTTTTCCTCTGCGAAGGCATGGCCTGTGCTCGGGATGCCTGTGCGTTTCTCTGCATGAGGTGCATGGTCAGGCCCCGGGCTTGGTCCACTTTGCTGAGTAGTAGAATATGTGATACACTTGTTGGCAGCCAACCACAGCCCGTGAATATCAAGGGGACAACAAAGCACCACGGCGATTCGTGAGTACTACTTCCGCACTTTGTTTTCTGATGAGTCTGATCTTTTTTCAGTAATCTGAACAGACAGATCTCTCAGCAACTGTATTGTCGTCGTCCGACGTCCTCAAAATGCGAGCATTGTCTGGTAAGTTACCTTCGCTCGCATCCTCTGTACCATCCCGTCCTCGGCGTGTTCGCGCATGTCTGTCTAATCACCTTCCCTCGCAGACAACCTGCAATATGGCTCGGAGGAAAGACACCGGTCCTCCAGATGTCATTGAACCTCGCACTCTGAGGTCTCGGTCAAAGCCCGACAAGGTCGCTTCAGAAGCTCTCCCTCCTCTACCTCGCAGGGCGAGCGCAAAGAAGCGTGCTTCCCTGGCAGTCGGTGATATCCATGTATCTCATGATGAGGATGAGAGTCAGGTTAGTCATGCCTATCCTCGATAGGATCGGTTTCTAACATTTAATTTGCAGGTTCCACCCAAACCGAGGCCTAAGCCAAAACTGCAGGGGAAGGGGAAGAAGCGCGCCCGGTGCAAGGCACCAGCTGGCAACGTTGATGCTGACGAGCATGACGCTGCTGATGAGCATGACGCTGCTGACGAGCATGACGCCGCTGACGAGGTACTTCAAAATGTTTTTTTTGGTACTTCAACTAACACTCCACTCTCCGCTATCCTGCAGGATGTTCCCACGGATGTGTCGAATAATCGGAAGCAACCTCTGAGGAAGAGCACCATCCAAATGACACATTCAACAGTAGAAGAGGTCAACAGTGACGATCTGGAGGTACGTCGATCCAGCGTATATTTCATTCTATTGTACTGACAGCTATTGAATGGTCTGTTAATTTTTCAGGATGTTGCACTGCCTCGGTCGAAGAGGACTCGACGTGATCCGGTGACAGATATGGCGCCGCCACTCGTGCCGCTGCCATCTGAGGGAATGGAGGAGCATGCCGACAGCGATGTACCCGTTGGTAGCGTGAACCCAGGCGTTGACATGCCAGCCATCCTCAGCGACGATAATGAGGAAGATGCACCCGGTGACGACGAGCTAGGCGTAGAGTTCGATGTCATCATGCACGAAGACACGGCTGCCGTTACTGATGTCATGGGAATCGACACTTCCACTGATGGCGATGTTCGCCAGGTGCTCGATCGGGAGGGCAACAACGTCGGACAGGAGCGACGTTCAGAAAGTTGTAACGAGGGTAAGTTCATTTTGATATGCTGGTGATGTTCGCTGACTCAGATTGCAGAGCACGACGAGTTGGACCCTTCAGGGAGTGACTACGCTAAGACTAGGGATCAGGAGATGCTTCGGCGCAGCAAGAGCCTCAGACGTTGTGCTGACAATGTCGATACGGAGACAGAAGACGACGAGGATGATGCAGAATTGCAAGATGAGGTGACCTCTGACCCGGCCGTGTCCATGCATCGACCAAAGATGAGCAGTAACATCCAGAAGAGGGGAAAGGACCGTGCCACATCACCTCAGGCTGACGACAGTGAAGTGCGTGCAGCAGACAATTGGCTAAAGACTCCGGGACCGTTGTCGAAGGAGGCCAGAGAGCAAGCCGCTGAGCTTGGGGAGAACATCTTGAAGATGGCGGCGAATATTGGTCGCAAGTATGGGAAGAGTACTCGCGATATTCTTGTGCATGCCGGTCTCAGTTTCAAACCCTCTCGCGCCGCGAACCCCACCAACATATACCGTCATTGGTACTCTCGGAAGCATCCAAAGATGAAGGACGGTATGTATTGCATTCATATTACATGAGCATGGTTGTACTGACAAACTCGAAGTCAGCTCCGCAGATTACTTGAAGATGATCAACGTAGCTTACAAGAAGCTGTTCAAGAATGTTGACCCTGACGACGAGGATGGACGGAAGGCGGTCATTAAGTCGATCCATGTCATGTGCGATGATCGCGAGTTCGACGATGCAAATGTCGGGCCGACCTCTATGAAGTCTATCACAGCACGGATGATGAGTGCGAAGGACCAGTTCACGGATTTGGTATGTGAATTCTGACGTTATTTTGTTCTGCATCTGATGGTCAAGTAACAGGCAGCTTCATATCGGAATCTTGCTGACATGGAAGTCGTCGGGGCCATCCTCTATGTCGGAACTGATACCGCAGGACGTCAAACGTCTGCGATCTTCGGTGGTTCGCCGGCCGTGAAGAAGCTCGTCGAAGATAATGGACTTGATGTTCACACGTTCCTCGACTTCCTCACTACGAGCTTGAAGTAAGTTTTTGTTTAGTGTCATTGTCATTCATCGCTCACGATCAACCCAGGTCATCTCACTTTAGCTTGGAGGGCTTCAACTTGCCAACGAAGTTTGGCCATAGCATCGTTGTCGAGGCGAAGGTTAAGGAGAATCCTCATGATCGCTATCAGCATATCTTCACTGGCATGATGCAAGAGACTCTGCGTATGTATTCTTTTCACTCGTGTACCTGCCTCATGCTGACATTACATGCTCGCAGAACAATATGATCCCACCGTTGTACGCGTCCACTGGATGAATTGGTTGAAAATCGCATCATGACATAGTCTCTGCATCGTAGACTGGCCTGCACGCATACTGGTGCCGGGACCCGATTTCAACTATAAGAACTTGAAGACTAATGAACTGAAAATGCTTACGGAGGGCTATATTGAGGAGCGTCTGCATGGGCACACAAATCTCAAGATTCCGCGGATCGTTAAATGGCACGAGGGTGAGTTGATGCTCGCCATGTTGCGATGTTAGTCTAACAGGTCTCTTCTAGATGACATGGAGTTGTCGGTGCTCGATCCATGCCACGCACTCATCCCACTTGTCATCAATGCTGAGGGCACCAGGCTCCGGCTCGTGCGCGACGCAAAGGATTCGCTGAAGGTGCCTGGATGTTTAGCGACCAAGCCTGAGCTTGATTCGAACTCCGAGAGTGAGGAGGAGGAGGAGGACCAGGAGGCACTGCCGCCACCGCCGCCGCCGCCGCCGCTGCGGAGCAAGCGTTCCAAGTCCAAGTCAGCTGGTACCAAGGCTCCTTCTGCAACAAAGGTCGGCGGTACAAATCAAGTTCGCAAGCATCGCCGGGAACTAGACATCAACGAAGATGTTCAATCAGATGAGGTCCAAGAAGTTATTCCTGTCATCAGGGACATCCGCGGGGCCACAACACGCCTCCCTTTACAGCATGCTGCATCTCCCCATGGTCACGTTGCCCCTCGCAGTAGAAGGCAGTACGAGGATGAGCTCGAAGGATACAGCAGTGCTGACAGCGTGCATGCTGGCATCGACAATAGAGCTGCCACTCGTTATCAAGGCCAGTTGCCCAAGCGCCATGCCGCGCCCTTGCCAAAGTGAGAGGCACACCGATCTGACTCTCATACTCGAGGTATCAGGCCGCCCTCTGTTATCCCTCCTTCGTGGCTTCCATCGGGCAACGCGCCGAGCACTGGATATTCGCACGGCTACTCCCCGACCATTGCATATGTCCCACGGGCGAGCAATTCTGTTGGCGGGCATGCACGCGGCTACTCCCCTGCTGCTGGATTTCCTCCTCATCTGGCGTCTCATGCGCATCGGTCACAGTTGCAATGCGCAGGTCATCCTCAACCTTTAGCGGTGCCCTCCCATCAAGACCTTAGCATCCAAGAGGACGAGAACCACCGTTATCACTACCAAGCCCACACCCGAGGGGCGGGACGGCAAGACTTCGTGCGACGGGCAGATAATGTCATTGAGGAGGAGGATGAGTTTGTTGACAAAGGTAGGATGCCTCAGCAGTTGATGCATGCAGGTCGAGCGATGCCGGGCAGAACTTTCACTAATGCTGTTGCTGGGCCAAGTGGCAAGTACTCTCATCGTCATGCGGAGGCGGGGCCAAGCTATATTGACTATGCACCTGATGACGTCGGTGCGCTTTTCGACGATCCGGTGTACTATGACGAATAAGAATTAGGTAGTTAAATTTGGATTATCTCCGATACTATGACCCAGTTTGGGACTTGTCAATATATCATGAGATTTATCTGCGAGATTGTGTGTCTACAATATATGTGGGCACTTTGTGGGACATGGGAGGTCCACAGTACAAAATAAAGGCCTTGGGATGTCCGATCACCATAGGATGGGAGGTGCATGAAAAATCCCGAGCTTGAAAAGGCCATTTAATATGAGGCAGGAGGTCCGTCTCACCCAGTAGGGACCTTGGGATGTCCATTTGATATGAGGCGGGAGGTCCGTCTCACCCAGTAGGGACCTTGGGATGTCCATTCTATATGAGGCAGAAGGTCCATCTCACCCACTACAGACCTTGGGAAGTCCATGCTCTGTCAGACAGGAGGTCCACCATACTAAATAGAGACCTTGGGAAGACTATTCACTGTCAGACAGGAAGTCCAATATATATGATGTAGAAGGTTGATCTGATATATGATCATAGCTTCATTGCGGGTAACACAGGAGATGCACCACATTAATAAGAGATGTGTCAGTGATAATTAGTAAATGGTGAGCACTATACATACAAATAGATTTCAATGTAGTATAATGTAAAATTAATAGTAGGCAATGAGGGCAGCTTCTGTATGATATAGCGTAAAATGGTGTTGCATGATTTACTTTTGCACTGAAACCTAGTTAATCATAAGATAAGCAAAAATACAGATATTAATGCTTTGTTCCTGCATTGACAAACAATGTGTTCAAGCAGACGTGTGACAACATGTACTCCAACAAATCATTTTAGCAGACCTGCAATGACACCTACTCCAACAAGTCATTCATGACACCTACTCCAACAAGTCATTCAATGAGGCCTGCGATGACACCTACTCCAACAAGTCGTTCAATGAGGCCTGCGATGACACCTACTCCAACAAGTCGTTCAAAGAGGCCTGTGATGACACCTACTCCAACAAGTCGTTCATGTAGGCCTGCGATGACACCTACTCCAACAAGTCGTTCTAGCAGACCTGCGATGACACCTACTCTAACAAGTCATTCAAGGAGGCCTGCAATGACACCTACTCCAACAAGTCATGCAGATGTGAGAAGAGACCTATATACCATGATTAGATGCAAATATATATCTGTGAAATTCTGAATTTGCATTCACAGCTGCACACATATAGTTCTAGAATGCACAGTAAGAAGAGGGCAAGTAGCATAAGACCTACAGTACAATAAGATATAAGCTAGAAAGTGAAAAATACCAGACTATAGGAGGTTCAGAATCCCCCCTGATACCCTTTAACCAGTAATAATGCAAGGGAGGTCCATGGGAGAACCTAGACAACAGGAAAGATATAGAGCCCATGGGCCCTTTCAGATAGTACCCTCAAGTAGCTCCCACTTCAGGACCTCCTCAGCTGTGAGATGTCCCACAGGACCAGTGGGCCATGCACTAATCCCATGGGCAGACCACCCCCTGGGAGGCTCTTAGCCACAACAAACAGTAGATTATATTGAGGCTAAGAGCTAGGGATAGGAGGTACCCTGAAGTGGCCCAACTCAATGCTGATGAGAGTGCCGACATCATGGAGAATGTCAAGGTACACATCATAGGCTATACTGAACTGGTCGACGAATGCGCGTCGAAATGGAACCTATATTGGTAAGAGTTAATGCGAGTACGTGATAGAAAATGAAGACTCACTGAGTGCAGAAAGCACAATGCTCGCACCTGGCCTTGAATACTGAGGTGGGGGCAGACACGGTGTAATTGGCGATATGCTTCGAGGGCTCTGAATGAAACTGCTACTGTTGGCCTCACAGGAGCCATGCCAAAGTAGCCATTGCGCGCGAGGGAGACATTTGCTTGAGTCGCAGGGGTAAGGGAAATGAACGTTTGATCGCGCACATCTAGAGAAACTATTAGTTCATGGAGAACTGCAGCGACACTGAACATACCAAAAAAGTCCACCGTGTACATGCCCCATGGCTCTGCATCTGGATCTGCTGCTGCAATCGGTGTACCGGCCTTCCATGCCATGTAGGCCTCAATGAGCTCGGTGCGCTGTTCTTGCCATTCTCGTATACATATGCTAGTCCGATCTCAGCGAGTGTGCACATCTTTCCGTTTCCTATGATGCATCATCAGTGTTGATAAGTGGGCGGATGGGTAGATGCGCACCTTTTGCCTGTCTCCACGAAGATTTCCCTGCATAACTCCTGCTCACCACCTGCATTACTGAAAAACATCGCTTCTTCTCCCGGCGGAATTGAATCCAGCATCTCCTGATCTTTGCGGCTTGAGTCTTCAAGATGGCTAGTACTCAACAGACTGTCTTCAAGGTCCTTGAGAGTTTGGCGGTCCTCGAACGTTATTCCTGTGTTGAGGTAGCATAAGCTACGATGAAAGAACATAGGATGATCACACCTACCTGCAATCTGCTCTCGGCGGTATCGAAGGGCTTGTGCTCATCACTGTGGACCTTCATTGACATGATCGACCATAGCGGTGCTCTTCTTCCCAAAACTGCGGCCTACACAGATATTGACTGTGGCCGACAAGGCGCTCCTCATCTTTCTGTTGCGGGCCATAGCATTGCCGATGTGCGCAGAGAGAAGGACAAGAGGGTATGGGAAGCGCACAAGAGGCACTGCTGCTCAAACAACACGGGGCAGCAGGAAGTTTTCGAGTTACAAGGGATACAGCAGTGGACAGCGTGGTGGATTATGGCAGCTGTGCGGAAAGCAGCAGCGATGGTCAGGGGAACAGTGACGACGGAAGGCAGAGGCATGGGAAGTTGAATTTGGAAAGGAAGCGCACATCGGACATGCAGAGGGCGGCTTCCAGAGCGCATGGCAGGTGGACTAAACCAGTATAATGTGAGTTGAATCTCGAGGCCAACGTCTTACACTGTGAGCGGGTGGCAGCAGTGACATGAACATGTGGGAAGTTGAATTTGGAAAGAAGCGCGCAGTGAGAGGGCGGATGGCAGCTTCCAGAGTGCCCGACGGGAGGACTAGACCAATATAGTGTGTGTTAAGTGTCGTGGCCAACGTCCTGCACTGTGAGGTGGGTGGCGGCAGCGACGCGGACACGTGGGAAGTTAAATTTGGAAAGAAGCGTGCGGCAGGAGGGTGAAGGGCAGCTTCCAGAGTGCCCGATGGGAGGAGGCACGTGCTTGATGGTGGGGAGCGGCCAAGGCCCTCATCAGGAGGTGGCGGGAACTGGCTCGTCGGCACCGCCAATGATGCCGGTGGGAGATAGCCGGCATCCGATGCGCAGGATTGCTCAAAGTACCCACACTCTCCAGCACTTTCTCCATGGGTAAGAGGATAAGAGGGATCTACACTAATTAGGTGGCACACGTGCACCTGTGTGATGCCACTAATTAGTAGCTGATCATGGGATGATTAGGTGCTGGGAGGGAGAGATAACAGTTACCAGGAACAAACAACTATAAATATCTGTGCAGGATGGACTGCAGAAGATGCCGCGTCAATTATGGGTTGGGATTAGGGCTCGCAACGTACTGTATATGTTTACGGCCATAAAAGTACGTGGGAAATACTGTACAGCTCGTATTTGTGGTGCTGCTTATGGGGATTCCCTTATACGATACTGGCGTGTCTGTACTTGCGCGCGTATTGGGGAAAATACACGTGATGTGGGTTGGAACCAATCAGACACTGCTGCTATTGGCTCCGGCCCTGGGTGCTTCATCTTGGCTGAAGCGCCAGACCACAGTCTGGGGAGGCTCTGAAATGTGACGGTAAACACGTATGCAGTCGTAAACGTATGAGTCACAGCATATCGTATCAGTAACATTTTCGGATCTTGCCGGGCATAAACGATGTGGTCCCCGACTCCAGGAACTGGAGGAGGGCCTTGTCGAGGGATTTCGTATCGCGTCTCTACTAGCTCCGTACGATGCACATAAATATGTGTAAATAGATGACAGACTCTTTTTTATGCAAGGAGTTTTGATAACTAAGACTAACTCATTCTGGTAAGATAGGGCTCGTTCAGGGGGCAACCAGCCGGGAAATTATCGACCTCAACCTGAAAAAATGAAGAGGAGGACCCCGTACACTGGATCTCCTACCCCCCGAGCCCGATATGGAAATAGATGAGATAACACCATAGATCTACTACTAAGTACCATACCTTGCCACCTTCCTGCGAGGCTGTTTAACTACTATCGATGGTGCTCTATTCCTCTTCTGCACGAGCTCTTCGCGCATCTCTTCTATCACATCGGTATTCAGAATTCCATTTTCCAACCTCCACTCTTCAGTAACCTGCTCGTCAATCTCCATGAATGCTTCTTTGGCTCGTGAGATATGCAAGTCCATGAGAAGTTGCGGGGCAATTGGTGGTAGTGTTCCATCCTCTTTCGAGTGCTCCATAGTGATGTGGAACAGTGTGTTGTACTTCCATATGGTCCAAGGTTGACCCGATGCTGTGGGAGGACAGAGAGAGCAATGGATAGGGACATTGGTCTTCATACTTCCCAGATGATGAATTGTAATGTGCCCATGCTTATTCACCGGTTCTGAGTGTGAGTAGTACGGGTGGATATCCAGGATTGAGGACGGAAATGTCTGACATGTGCATTGGAAGATATGAAGGAAAGGGATGCACGGCGTCATGTTCTTTATCTTATCTCATCAGGTCCAAAGCCTGAATGCTACTGCCCTCGACAATGGCTGTGAACTCAAATAATGGAGGAATATCTTAAAGTTTTGCTGGAGGTACTGTATACACATGTGAAGAACACATCCCGAGATTCTGAGCGCACAAAGTGGCCCAGGTTATGTGTAATCAGAAAGTTGAGTGAAAGTGCTTGAAAAAAATAGAAATAGACCCTGTACACCAGTGGAGGGACAACAACCACATCGGTTGGAGTCATGGAAAGTCCTGGTGGGTGCCCCCTGAGCTCGTTCATACACGACTGTAGTGTTGCTGCAAGGTGAGGTCAAGGTACCTCGAGGTGCCGGATTGGGTTACCCGGTTACCTCGAGGTGACCTTACCTCGAGGTAGCTTCACCGCTTTTGGATCCCTTACACATTACTAGTGTATTAGAAAGGTTGCTAGGTGACATACTGTAGATTGTTGATGGACTAACAATCATTACAATTTCTGTATTCTACGGCTATAGTACTAATAATAGGAAAAGCCACATCAATTCGTCAACACTATTTGCCATCAAGAGCCAATGACTCTCAACAGGAGTAGCATCAGGGAGAACATCCTTTATTGTCAACCAGTCATCATAGTACACTCCTGTCGAAGCAAGAACTTGAGCAGCCAGCAACTAGCAGGAATTCTTGCATGCCTGGACAGGTAGAGCATCCAGCACAGTGCACTACGGACTGTCAGAAAGACCTGCCTGTGAGTCTGGCAGCAATGCACAAGCACACCGATCAGCAGGAGTAAGCCTCATTACAGAACCAACTACTTAAAGAAGCCTGGATCATGCTCGAGCTGGCACAGCACTGGCAGTTGCTTGTAACAAATATTTTAGTCTACGTATTCCTTTGCAATGCATCTCCTGGCATCTCAAAGCATTGCGACACTGCAGTCTCAGACCGGCGATGCATTGTGAATGTGACCAGCCTGCACCTTCCTTATCTGGACATTGTTACCTCCAAGGTAGTTCGAGGTCAGCTCGAGGTAACTCGAGGTGACGTGCTGAAATGCCGGCAAAGGTGAGGTGCACCTTACCTCCGAGGTGCCTTACCTTGCAGCAACACTACACGACTGGTTTGAGCGTCCATGACATTAAGTGATATATCACGTGAAATTCCTAAAAAGGACGTAAGTGGCACATTTGAAGCTTCAGAATAAGCCTAATCCCGACATGGTTTTGGTATCTCCTCGGTCCCCAGGTCAAAAAAAATAAATATGCTTCCTCACATTGACCGCAGTGAGTTTCTCTACATTCTGGGGAAGCAGATATGGCCTAAATGCAGTGTAGCATGAGTAGTTGCATTTTTAAAGGAAATCTCCCCCAAGTGTGACATCTTGGATCACGTGAGGCTAGTCGTGTATGAATGAGCCCTATCTTCCTCCGCCAGATTGACAGTCCTGTCACGCTGGTCACGCGCAGAATTACAGTCCATTTACAGTTCCTCCTGCCTAATCTGTCCACACGCGTCGCGTGAGCACAAGTCCTCGACCAGCCTGAGTGGATGAAAAAATGTGAGAGAACATGTGCATGCTGCACGTGAAGGTTGGTGAACCGCGATGCAGTAGATAAGGCTCCGGCAGGGCAGTGTGAGTGTAGAGAAATATATATGCAGTAAACTAGGTACAGAATAAATTAATGGGATCATGAACTAAACATATGGGTGTTACGCGGCAGTGAAACACGAGCGTCAAGTCGAGTTGTCACGAGACAAGGTCTTAGTCTAAGACACAAGTCCGTTCAAGTGACACTTCTGGCGATGTCCTCGCACTGAAGGTCGATCAGAGTTCGTTCTTATGACTCGTAGTAGCTGTCTGCTACTAACGGTCGATTTCAGTCAAAGGCAAGTGAAAAGCTGGTTTAATGGTAACCAGGTCGAGATGGAGATCCAGCTCGACAAGGTCGTCTACTTATACAAAAGGTATCCGCAGTACTACGCAGTAATGCGAGATCGTTCATTGGCTAGATAAGGTGAAACAATACCTGGGCAAGGTAACAGCGAGGAAGTAATATGTATGAGAAAGCTGAGTAAGGTCGTGAGAGATAATCAGTACTAATGGGGATAACGAGTCGTGTATCAGAACGAGGTAAAGATGAGGCGTACATGCACGTCTTGCATGCGCGATAAGAAGAAGGTCCGGAGTTGGATCCGGTGTAACCCTAGACTAGGGGTTCTGGACATCTGGGTAAAGAATTGGAGGTTGCGCTCCAATGAGTCACGTGTTGGATCACGTGGTCTGGTAACGTAAAGGGAACAAGGAAAAGAAAAAGAAAAGACGCGCCACAAGTGGGGAGCGTTGTAACATCAGCTCCCGTCTAACGTTTCTTGTCCCACAAGAAATATTGTGATCTTCATCGTCGTCAGGGGCAGTCGCGGACATAATGATCTCCTCCACATCTGTAGCATGTCCGCCGGCTGGTTCGTGATCCTTGTTCGGGGATACGTCCATTCCGGTAGGGATGACTGCGACGCGAAGAAGTGGATGCAGTCGAGAAAGATGGTTGGGATAACGGAGATCGTCCACTGGGTACGTGCGAACGAGGAGGGCGAGGTCGAACGGGAATTGGTTCTGGCGACGAGCGAGGAGTGGATGCGGGTATTCCATTAGTGGTGTATCCGAGGATGTGTCCGATGTCTTCGTCCCCATGCTCCCTCCAAATCTCCTGTGCTGTACGAGTGACCGCACTGCGCATCAGCGACCAGACTTGGTCGACTCTGGTCCGGGCTCTACTCGTCCTTTCTTCTGCTGCGATGAGCTCTTGTCTGGCCGTCTGCATCCACTCGACCATTTCTAATGCT